AAAAAAAACAAGTTAAGCTCAATCTCAGGACTTAGACTACATGGAAAACAACAATATTGCGCCAATTCTGTATTCGACTGTGGTATTAAACACCCAAAACCACTAAAAGCTCCGATTGACCGCCTCTACCCCTCCAGAGCCTCGTCTCCTTATCGCGCCGCGCGCAAACTTGTTGGCTTTCACCTCTCCTCGCGACGGGCCACCCTTCCCCATCCCTGATCATAAATCCGGTGGAGACCAATCCAATTAAAGACTCATCTCGCCATGGAGCAAGAACTCCTGTCGCTCCTGGCAGACACACAGTCGCCTCGGGCAGATGCCAGGAAAGCCGCGGAGGCCCAACTGGCCCAGCTCTACTCGAACGAAACCTTCCCCATCTCCCTCACGGCCATTGCCTCGCACGAGTCCGTCCCCGTGAATCTGCGCCAATCCGCCCTTTCTGTCCTCCGTACTTTCATCGGTACCTCCTGGTCCCCCAGTCTGGACGACTTCACCGGTCAAATCCTCGTCACCGATGCGAACAAGGCTCAGATTCGCCGCGCACTGCTGGAACTGGCGACTACCGTTGAGACCCCCGAACGCAAAGTCAAGGCTTCCGCCAGTTATGCCGTTAGCAAAATTGCCAGCGCAGATTTCCCGGACGACTGGCCAGAGCTGCTGCCCACACTACTCCATGTCATCAACGACCCTGCCACAAGTGACAATGCCCTGCACGGAGCATTGAAGGTGCTGTTGGATCTTGTAGATACTGGTTTCAGCGATGAGCAGTTCTTTAATGTCGCCCGTGACCTTGTTTCGTCCCTTTTCGCAGTCGCAACGTCCGAGTCCCGTCGGCCGATGCTACGGGCGCTTGCCGTTGCGGTATTCCGGTCCTGCTTTGATACATTGGAAATGGTTCTGGAGCAGCACAAGGCTGCGATCAAACAATTTGTGGATGAGCTTCTGAGCGGATGGTCGCCATATTTTGTCGAGACATTAAAGGCTCCGCTGCCTCAACCACCAACCCCGGAGGAAGCAAACAAAGTGGGCGAGATTCCGTCGCAATGGCGTGGTATCGTTGGTCTGAAGCTTCAAGTCGTGAAGGTATGATTTGACAAAGGAATGGGCCCAGAATCTGTGAAGTTGAGCATTAGCTAACCAAACTCTGTTGCTTTTAATAGACTGTGATGAAGATTCGCATGGTCTTCCCGGGGCTTCTTACTGCTCAGAGCCCAACTTTCTTCTCGACTGTGTGGACGGAGCTCTCCAATGCTCTACTCATTTATCAAAATTTCTATATCGAGGATGAACGCCAAGGACGCCTGGAAGATGGCGACGGTCTTCCTTACTCGCTGGATTTCCTCATCCTAGAGGAACTGGATCTGATTCAAGCCCTCTTGAAGGCGCCACCCGTGAAAGCAGAGTTGACACAACAATTGCAAAACGCTGGCGCCGCTGCTAGCTCTACTGGATGGGTGCCAGAGATTATGAAGCTTGCCGGTAGCTATTCACAAATTACCTGTGAGGAAGAAGGCCTGTGGGAGATTGATGTGAACATCTTCTTGTCGGAGGAGACCTCGGTTACCGCAAACTACACTCCTAGAACTTGCAGTGGGGACTTGGTTATCAAGGTCGGCGAATGGCTGAAAGACAAGGCGGCTGAAGGGATTCTGGCCTACTTGAATACCCTCTTCGCCGATAGCTCTGCCTCGTAAGCTGTTCTCTAATACTAGAAACACGTGTATGATGCTAACTCTCTCCATAGGTGGAAATCCCGTGAGGCAGCCCTCTACATTCTCAATGCCCTGCTTCGGGACTTCGGCGAGGTCTCCCAGCCAATCTCCCAGGAATTGGCCACTCATTTCACTCAGTTCGTCCACTACGCACTTCAACAAGAGCAGGATCTGCTGCGCGCGCGTGGCTACCTCGTGGCTGGTGCCCTGGCCAAGGTTGCCGGTGAGGCTTTCCAGCAGACCACCGTCTCCTACCTGGAAGCTGTCCTAAAAGCTATTGCCGAGGACCCCTCCGAGGTGGTCAAGGTGGCCTGCATTCGCGTTCTGCAAGACCTGATTCCCTCTCTGCCCGTTAGCGTCGCTCGCCCGTTCCAGACCACCGTCATCTCCGCCATCTCGGAGTTTGTCTCTGCACATGACCTCCGTGAGGAGACTGACGCTGATGACCTCAAGGTCACCCTGGCCGAGACGCTCCGGGACACCATCATGGCCGACCCGTCCGTGGTTTTGTCGTCTTTGGCAATCGACGTGCTCTTCAACATTGCCAGTAGCGGTGCCGAGAACTTCCAGCTCACGATGACCGTGACCGAGGCCTTTGAGGATATTGTGGATCAGATCACCGAGCATGGACCAGATGCGTACGTTCGTCTCTGCGAGAAGGTCCTTCCTTCGCTGATGGGTGCCATTGACGTGGGCAACCTGACTGAAGAAAACGAATTGACATTCTTCGCGGCGGAACTGCTCCGTGCCCTGGCGGAACGCAGCCTCGAGCCCATGCCGGCCGGCTTTGTGGAGACCGTCATGCCCAAGCTCAACCGCCTCCTGTTAGAGTCAGAGGAGGGTGAGCTGATCCGGCCCGCGACCGAGGCCGTGCGTCATATGCTCGCGCACGATTTTGCGCAGTTCGTCGCTTGGCGCGACCCCCAGTCTGGCAAGGAAGCCATTGAGGTCGTTCTGGTCATTATCGACCGCCTGTTGGGCCCGGCCGTGGACGACCACGCCGCCACCGAGGTAGGCCAGCTGGCCGCGGAGCTCGTGGAGCGTGCCGGTTCCGAGCGCCTGGGACCATATCTTCCGCAGCTCCTGCAAGCGGTCGCTCAGCGCCTGGCGACTGCCGAGCAGGCCCAATTCATCCAGAGCTTGATCTTGGTGTTCGCACGACTGACTCTCATCAGCGCGCGGGAGGTCGTTGACTTCCTGGCGCAGGTGAACCTCGGCGGACAGAGCGGGCTGGTCGTCGTGCTGAGCAAGTGGCTCGAGAATTCGGTCAACTTTGCCGGCTACGACGAAATCAAGCAAAACATCTTCGCCCTGGCACGCCTGTATGAACTGTCCGACCCGCGGCTGTCCGAAGTCCCCGTCAAGGGCGACCTGATCATCACCGACACGGGCCGCATCAAGACGCGCTCGCAAGCCCGCGCCAACCCGGACCGGTACACCACGGTCGCCGCACCCCTGAAGATTGTCAAGGTGCTGGTTGAAGAGTTGGCCGCCGCCTCGGGCAACAAGGAGATTGACGCTGCACAGGCAGCGGCATTGGAAGACGCGGCGAGCGACGACGGTGACGACGATTGGGAGGATGAGCCGGGCCAGCTCTTGGATCTGGGATTGGGCATGACCAAGCAGCAGTTGATGAGCTTTGGCGAGGGTGGATCGGAGAGTGTATTCGGGGTGCGTCGTCGGGATGACGAGACGCAAGCGTTCCTCGCCGACTTTTTCCGGCGGGCGTCACAGCAGCCAGGCTTCCAGGAGATATTTACGGCGTTGACGGCGGATGAGCAGGCCAAGCTGCAGGCATTGGGTTAATCGAAGAGTGGATTCTCTGAAATTCGAGAAGGTCCCCTATGGGGATAGATTATGGAAGAGCAGAATAGTTGCCGTATGAAGTGTGGTCTCGTAAAGATTCCCGCAAAAGCACCGAATTAGGTCATGAATCAGAATTAAATTCCAGCGAAAGCTGTCCGTGAATCATGATACTGGAACACTGTGTATTCCCCCCTCTACTTTTGTTGATTTTGTTGAATGTGGATGCTACAGCTCATATGCGTTTCCCTCCATCTCGTTCATGTATGGAGAACAGGGTGCATACTCGGGTCTCCACCTTGGCCCTTCGAATGGGAGTTCCCTGAATCATGCTCTCTCTGCACTCTCTTTGCCAAGCCCCCCCCGTACGAGTCAAGCCCGAGCTGCAGCCATGGATCGGTCAGCCAATCATGATTTATGGTTATCCGCCCCGTCTTTCCGTGAGCCCGAGGCCTTGGGACCCAACCCGGGGAACGGGGGGGTAATGGGAAAGCTAGGGCAAGGAAAAAAAAAAATGCGTTGGAGCTTAAGTGTGTTGGAGGGGGGGGTGCAAAATTCATTTGCTGTCTAGCTTGCTGTCTGGCTTGCTGTCTTGGACGTGGTTGGTTCGGGATCTGATTCGGGCTTGATCTGGTTACATTCAGAGTTTAGTATTCCACGTAGTTTGTTCGTCAATACGGGTACTAACTAACTGCTCCAGTACTAGTACACTAGCACCAGGACCACGATCGCTGAATATGGCCTTTGACTCGAACCGGACTTTCTTTTGTCTGTATAATTGGTTCTATCGTTGTCAAGCACGAAACGAGCTACTCGTCGACTGTCAACCCAACGGGCCATGCTCCGGTGACTCCAGCCGACTTTAACCAGCCCCTCGGGATTTCCCTGCGGGGTTCCCGTGAAAGTCAAGGAACTAAACGGATTCGATGGATCATCTTTCTGACTCGCCGGGTTCCCAGCATCCCCTCTGTCGGGATTGCTCTATGATTTTTAATCTTTGAGGGGGTCTCAGCTAAAACAGGTTCAGGCTTCGGGTTTTCTTATTCGCTGGGATTCTTTCTCTGGGACTCTAGAAGAGCCCCGTGCCTCTTCAGCAGAATCAGCCTCGTTCGTCAGGTGGGGGGTTATTTTTCTGATCGATGATATTCGACTAGTTGGATCGATCTCTCCTCCTTCCTTTCTCTTTATCTTTTCTGCACTGACCATCCCCTTCTTTTTTTTTTCTTTTTCTTCTCTCGCTTCCCCGGATAGCTTCATCATCTTCTTATTTCTCTCCTTCGGCCCTCTTCTTGACTCCTCCTCCTCCTCCTCCTCCTCCTCCTCCTCCTCTCCTCTCTCTTTCTCCATTCTTCTTCGGCGGGGGCGTGGCTGCCCTTCTTTTTGCTCGTTCTTCCCCCCTTCCTGCAGCCATGTCCCAACCAAATCCCTACGAGCGTATTCAAATCGACGTGAGCTATTTCCTTTCTTGATTGTCTTTCCCGTAGAAGAAGGTGCCCCCTTTCCCCCTCCTCCATTATAGACGGTGATCTGTTTTAAATTACCGCCAACCCATCCTCCCCCCTCCCCCCGCTTTCACCACAATCACCACAATCACCACATCCTCCTTGATTTCCCCCCACCACCACTCACACGTCTCCCACAATCCCCAGACCAGCGACGATGACTCGCTCTTCGACACAAAAACCCTCGGGGACTCCAATCTCTCTTTCGCCTCCTCCGTCCGCGACTACTCCTACGAAAACGGGCGCCGCTATCATGCCTACCGACACGGCCAATACCCCTTCCCCAACGACGAAGAAGAACAAGCCCGGCTGGCCTTGATGCACCACCTCTTCAAGCTCCTCTCCGGCGGCGACCTCTTCCGCGCCCCCTTTGCCCGCGATCACACCCCTCCCACCCGCATCCTCGACATCGGCACCGGCACCGCCGAATGGGCCATCGAAATGGCCGAAGACTTCCCCACCACCACCATCCTCGGCACGGACCTCTCGCCCATCCAACCCTCCTGGGCCCCTCCCAATTGCCGCTTCTTCATCGACGACGCCGAGTCCGACTGGACTTTTTCCCCCGCCGAGCCCTTTGATTACATCCACGCACGCAGTTTGGGCGGCGGGATCGCCGATTGGCCGCGGTTACTGAGGCAGGCCTTTGCGCATTTGAAACCGGGCGGGTGGTTCGAGGCGCAGGAGTTTCAGACGTTGGTGCTGAGTGACGATGAGACGCATGCGAAAGCGACGAGTATTTTGGATTGGCAGGATCAGCTGAATAGCGCGAGCGAACGGTTTGGGAAACCTATGAACGTGGCTCCTCGGTTGGAGGAGTGGTTGGGGGATGCGGGGTTTGTGAATATTCACGATGATATCTACAAGGTGAGTGACTTCCACTGCGAGGGGAGGTATTTCCGGTATTATGGAGTACCCAATTGGACATTCCTGCCGTGAAGCCACGGGATATACGTTCATTTTTCATTGACTTCATTGCTAATTCTCGATATCCGTTTAGTGCCCCGTCGGTGGCTGGGCCAAAAACCGCCGGCTCAAAGAAATCGGGCGCGTCGGCAAAGTGACTATCCTGGAGGTCGTCGAGCCATACACGCTAGCCCTCTTCACCCGCGTCCTGGGCTTCTCCTACCAAGATGCACAAGAGTACATGGACAAAGTACGCGCGGAACTAGTGAGCAACAAGTTCCACCTCTACGTGCGATTCCATTTCGTGTATGGGCAAAAACCGCTCCACACGAACGGTCATGGCCCGACGCAACGGGGCGAGGGGGTTCCGAGCCCTTGAGACACGAGACTGACGGACCCGGTTTGGGGTTTCTATATCCCCCCTTTTAACGACTTATGGCGCGATGACTCCCGGAATTTAATGTATAAAGGCATTGACTTGTGTATTAGACTTGCAGTTTCTGTTGTGGTGTTTTTTTTATTTGCATCGCTATTGATTTACTCTGTGTCGACGGATTAGTTCCGGAGTATATCGGGACGCATCATGGATCGAAAATCGAAATTATCAACATTGAGTTGGAACTGCATGGCGAGAGGGTGAGAGGCCATTTCGTGAAAGCGAAAGTGAAGCTGATCGAGGTGAGGTTGGCCTGCGTCTTGGCTACATAAACTCATCGTCTAGCGATAAGATAAAACATGGCATGGATCGGTGATTTCATGGACTCGTGGTCTCGTCAATTCGTAACTATTTCACATATCCGTGCAAGTCCACGGATTTCCAGCGTAGCACTGGCAAATTCAGCTACTAATGAGGTGTAATTTTAGCCCCGCAAGTTTTCGGGCAGTCAACATCGCCCCCCGCAGCTGAAGACATTTACAGCGCCGAGGGCTGAACTCCTCGAGGCAGCCCGTCTTCGGGTCATCGTATTGTATCAGGCCCGCCTGATACTCAATTCCACATCTGCCTGGTCCCCCCCCTCCCGCGCGCACATCATGGGCAATCATCAACGCATAAGCGAAGCACCAGACCCATCCCCGGTTCCACTGATCCCTAGAACCTGGCAGATCCCCGAGACGGCCTCTTCGGGTGTCTCACTTGTCCGCACGACGGCGACAACCTGGGCGACTCGCTCTTCGTCACAGCTGGTGATGGTTTCGAGGAGTGTTTCGAGGAGGGCTTGTTTGTCGGGGCCTTTCCAGGAATCCGGGATGGAGTTAATGGCGCGGGTTTGGTATTCGGTTGGATGGGTGGGTGGTGAATAAGTGTGGGTTGGGTTTGTAGTCTGGTAAGATTGGGAATGGGATTGTTGATGTGGGTGTTGATGTTGATGCTGTTGGGAATATGGGTGTATGGTGGATTCTGTTGGCGGAAACGTATTCGTGGTAGAGGAGTAGTACGTTGAGTCGGGGTAGTGATGGGATTGAGGTTGTAAGGGTCGTTGTGACTGCAATTGGGGAAAGCAATACCCTTGACTCCAGGGCTGGGTTCCAGGGCTGGGGTATGGTTGAGGGGGATCATGCTTGAACGTATTCACGTTGGTGTATTCGTATAGAGGGTGGTTATAGTCCCCACCGTGACCGTAGCTGGCCATGTGAGACTGCGCATGCGCATGCGCAGGGCCGGGGTCGTAGCGTGGACTATTCCGATTATCGTGCATATGCAGCCCCGATAGGCCTTCGTCGGGCGTGGGTTGCATTGCTTGGGGTGGGAAACCCTGCATTGGGGTTGATCCAGGGATCTTAGGCGCAAAGGCTGGCACGTTGCCTGCATGGTATTGGGCTATCGTGTCGTCATTGAGATCTGATAAGGTGGGGTGATTAGTGCTGGAACAAAGAGAAAAAAAAAGAAAACCAGTGTCCCCCCCCAAAAAAAACAGAAGCGTCAGGAAATATCCGCGATTGCAAATGCAGGAAAGGGACCGATCTAGGTGGAAACGTACAACTCCCCACTGCCGTATTGTCTGTCGTCGTTGACCCCGGATACGCTTGCTGCTGGACATAGCCAGCACCACCGACACCGCTATCACTACCGGTACTATCAGGGCTCGTCACGGTCACGGAATTGGTCCTGGTCGTCGTGGAGATGGACGAGGGCGATGATCCAGCCCAACTACCCGCCTCCGTTGGTTCCGCCGAGCCCGTCGCAGATCGCGAACCAGACCCGGACCCGGACGATCCAGGTCCAGATGCAGTGGCATAGCTCCCGCGCGACCCAATCGGTTTGTTCTTGCGCGCATAGACTTTGTCGCGACGGCCGGGACTGGGGCCCCTCGCGGAGCTCTGATTCAATCGCGTGCGTAGCTGGGCGACTTCGCGGCGCAGGCGGTCGATGATCTCGGCTTGGCTGATGTGCGCGCGATCTTCGGCGGAGGTGAGGTAGGTGCATTCAGATTCAATGCCGCGATGGATACAGGCCTCGCAGGGGATGTTTCGGTCGCACTTGATAAGGACGAGGACTGCTTAGCTTGAACACTTTGCGAGTTGGTTTTCCTCCGTCGCGTCGCGTTGGGGGGGAGGGGGATCGCAGGGAAGAATCGGGGGAATACCTTGACTTTGCGCTCGCGACATTTGAGGCACGACTGTTGCGGGCGAATCTTGGCTTTGGTCTCGGTCGGAGACATGGTGAATGGCTGAACACGGGTCGGTCCATCGAGGTGTGTCTGGGTTGCATTTCAGATCCCTCCTCCACGGAGAGTTGGAGGGAGAAAGGGAAGAGAAAAAAGGGCCCGGCCGAAAGGGTCTCGAGAGACCCCAAAGTGCAGCTGTTCCCCGCCGACCAGCCAGCCATGCGTGAACCGGCCGTTAGGTCTAACCCGGTCCATCTGGGAACCCACCGAAGTCGAAAGTTAACGGAGAATGATTGGCTTTCTTCTTCACGCAGGAGGGACCCGATTTCTCCACTCTCAGATCTCACACCGTCCTTGCGTGCAGGTCTAACAATTCAGATTTATTACTTCAATGAATACGAAGATTTGAACAAATTGACAAGTCGACTGACACGGTGATTCAGAATTCCCCTTTCAGCCCAGTCCTTGGTCAGATTCCTCTTCGAGCCTTTTCTCCGAGAATATGATCGGTCACAGAATCCGGCCATGCCGATCATTGCTGGACAAAAGTTCGGCCTCTCCGCTTCAACAAGCAAAATGGGCAGCTTGATCCCGGCGCGCCCGGACCGTACGGGATCGTAGATCGTAGATTATGCAGGAGTCGTACTCCATTATCCTCGCAGAGTGATCATTGCCCGCTGGTCATTCAGCAGAAAAACATTCGTTTGTTGTTGGCATATCTTGTCGGCTCCTGGGTCTACTCCGAGCATTGGTCTCTGTGCTTCACTCTGTGCGTAAGCAGTTCAATGTATGATGAACTTGGGTACAGGTCGATTCAGTAATCACTACAGACTAGCAATGGAGGAAGTGGGATAGTAGAATCTATTAGGAAGTCGGTCATTCTCCGATATACTCGGTCGGCAATGCCCATCTTCCTGCCAAGCCGTCTCGAAGGAAGTTGATATACTCTTTCGCGGGTCTCTGCCCTGCTAGCCGATCGGATAGAAAATGAAATGCCCAACTAGCAATTTCAACAAATACTCTATTGCTCTCATACCATGGCACCACGGCGCTCTGCGAGAATTCTAGATCAAAAGGATCATATAGCCAAGGTAGAGTCACTCAAATCTGAACAATCTACAAGTGAGCCTTTTCTCTCCGTTGCATCTTCGGTCTAGTTCTCCACCCGCGGCACAGCCCGACGCCGCCACTTCTCGGGTGGTGTTAAGCTTTGTCGAGAACCGGCCAAGTATCTTGGAAGTCAACAACGCTCGATTAGGGACGAACTCGCCCTAACCCTTCTTCGCTTGACTTGGAGCGATTAACGTACAGATACGATAGACAGATTTCTATTCACCCGATGCTCAACTGACAACACAGCAAAGAGGGGCAGGGACTCGGTTAAAAACAAGGTCCCAAAATGAAACGCCATCCAGACCTTCGTATAGCTGCGATCGACAATTCGACCACGACTTTGGTGCTAATCGCTGACTTCGCTTGAAAGAGTCGCCTACGAGGACTTCATCATTACCGTTATCAACGATGCCACCGTCGCAACGCCTTAGATACGACTTGCCCCGACGTATGATTCGCGTCGATCTGTATGCACCTCCGGTACTTTGAAAACGGTGCGGGGAAGCAAACATTCCAGCCGGAGCTGCGACGGAGTCTCTCTGCAGTCTCGACCCTTATAAGGCGTGGTCCGTGTGCCGGTCTGCGAATTGCCATACCAGGATCAAGATTTCGAATTCACAAGCTTGACCAAGCTACGCATAGTGTCCCCTTATCCTCCACGATCTTCAATCTCATCTATCAACAAAGCATGTTACCACCACCCACCACCCGCTGGGCGGTCCCAGCTCGGATGGCGAGTCTCCTCATACTCCCATTGCTATCTGTCCATGCCTCCGTCGAAGATCCCAAGCTCCTCCCCACTCCACCAATGGGCTTCAACAACTGGGCACGCTTCGAATGCGACCTCAACGAGACCCTCTTCACCGACACCGCCCAATCCATGGTATCCCGCGGTCTCCTGTCCGCGGGCTATAATCGTCTCAACCTCGACGATTGCTGGATGACGCATGAACGCGCCGCAGACGGCGCACTGCAGTGGAACGCAACCCTTTTCCCCCACGGGATCCCCTGGTTAGCCGATTTCGCCCACGGGCACGGCTTCCACCTGGGTATCTACGAGGACTCGGGCAATGCCACTTGCGGCGGGTATCCCGGCTCATATGGATTTGAAAAGAAGGACGCAGAGACGTTTGCCAGCTGGGGAATTGATTATCTCAAGCTTGATGGGTGCAATGTCTATCCCAACATGGGGAGGTCCCTGGCGGAGGAGTACAAGCTTCGGTATGGGCAGTGGCACCAGATTTTGAGTGCCATGGAGGATCCGTTGATATTCTCCGAGTCTGCGCCGGCCTATTTCGCGGATAATAAGACTGAGTGGGCGAGTGTCATGGATTGGATTCCGTACTATGGAGAGTTGGCGCGTCACTCGACTGATGTACTCGTTTATGTGGGCGAGGGGAGCGCTTGGGACAGTATCATGGTGAATTATCACTATCAGACTCTGCTCGTGAGATACCAGAAACCGGGTTATTACAATGATCCGGACTTTTTGATTCCGGATCACCCTGGTTTGACGGATGCCGAGAAGCGCTCGCATTTTGCGCTGTGGGCGTCGTTCGGTGCGCCGTTGATCATCAGCGCGTATATTCCGGATCTATCGGATGAGGATATTCACTTCCTGTCGAACAAGGATTTAATTGCCGTCGATCAGGACCCCTTGGCCCAGCAAGCGGCTTTGGTTAGTCGGGATGGTACCTTTGACGTACTGACTCGCTCGCTGGCGAATGGGGATCGACTTCTTACTGTGCTGAACACCGGTTCAAGCTCAGCAAAGCTTAGCATCTCCTTGGCTCGTTTAGGTCTCAAGGAAAAGTGTCTGTATAAAGCCCGCGATCTCTGGACGGGCAAATCCTCTACTATCCACAACTCGGTTGATGTCTCGCTCGACAGCCATGCCACGGCAGTTTACCGTATCACTCCTGGCCGGGGCTGCACCTCGGTCACCCCGACAGGAATGATCTTGAACACCGTCTCCGGGCACTGTCTCACCGCTTCCTCGTCTGGCGTTGCCTTCGAGGCCTGCAACGCGGCCGATACCCAAGTGTGGAGTGTCTCTGGATCAGGAACGAAGGTGACGGTGAGCCCGCTGTCGAATCCGGCAAAGTGTTTAGCTGCCGATGGATCTAGTGTTGATCTTGTTGGTTGTAAAGGTGGAGACGGTACTGTTTGGTCCCACGCTATCACTGGCCACTTGCAAAATGCCAATGGGAATTGTCTGACGGAGTCAGGCGGACAAGGGACTCTGGCGGGCTGTGAGTTGCTGCACAGTGGGCAGATCTTGAGTCTGCCGAGTGGTGTGCACGTTGTAGAGGGGAGTGGGAAGAAGTAGATAGACGCCCTTTCTAGAAAGAGTAGAGTGTACATAGCCTGATAGTACAAATAACTACTATCCAGAGACAGACTGAGAGTACGAGATAAGTCGAACTGAACGGACAATTGAACATGTCTTTAAGACCTTCCTTGGATTTCTAGATCCGGTCGTAGACTTGCAAGTAGCAGAGCTGGGATCAGACAACGGCAGAGTAAAAAGATGCTCGTCAATCATCCCATATTGACATTCTGTGTGGATTCTAATAAAATGTACAATTCAATCCCATCTCCCATCGCATCTACCCTTGCAGCGAATACCCAACACCCTCTCCGCTCCCCATCGCCACCAAATTCGCCCTCATCTTCTCGGGCCGCTCCCCAAGACCAAACGCCGCATCCTCCCGGTTCACCCACGCACCCACTCCGTGCTGCAACACCGCCGTCGCCCTGACCTTCTTCGACTCCGCATCCGCCGCACCAGCAGCCTTCAACCCCAAGCTTCCATGCAGCGTCAACCGAGTCTCCTCCCCACCTTCAGCCTTGCCCTTATACACACCCCGATGCAGGATATTACTATCGTAAAACACCGCATCACCAGGCTGCAGCTGCACGACCAATTGATCCGGCAAAACGGACTCGTACGGATCCGCATTCCGCTCGATCTCAGTCCGGGCACGACGGTGCGAGCCCGGGATCACGATCAGCGAGGCATCCGGGCATAGCGCCAAGTTATACTGCGCATGGCTCTGGCGACCACCGGGCGACTTGGCCGCGAGCTGGCGCAGTTCTTCCTCCGCAGAAGCCTTTTCGGAGATATCATCGCGGTGCCAGCGGAGTTCGAAGTCCTTCGTTTCGGGCGCCACGAGGAGATTGAATAGTTCCATGACGAGGGGTTCGTCTTCGCCCGTGCCAGCGGACACGCCCATGAGTTCACCGGCGACGGCGAGGATCGACTCGGAGAAGTAGCACTTGGCAAAGTCCTCGCGGCCGGGCATTTCGGGGTGCAGCAGGTGCTGGACGCCCCAGATGCCGCCCTCGGAGGCTGGGGGTGGGGTTGTGGGCCAGGGGGGGAATTGTTTGGGGACGGTGCGGAAGTGTGGCCAGCCGCCGGTGCGGGTTTTGGTGGTGGCTGCCGTGGCGATGGTGCGGTAGTGGTTGATTTCCGAGGGGGTGAGGAGGTTGCGGACAACGACGAAGCCGTCGCGTTGGAGGGCGTCGAGGTTGGGGTGCGGGGAGGATGACATGGTTGAGATGGTGGCTGAAGTGGTGTCTGGTGGTGGAGGTAGTTGGTGAAGAAAGACGTGGAAAGGATGAAAGGACGGGCTATGCGAATATAAAGTAGATTAAGACAAAGAAGATCGAAAAGAAAAAAAAGTTGGAAGAACGAGCACAGAAAAAGTGAAGAGATTGCGGGGTACGCGATGCGACGCGGGGACCCTTCAAGATATACAAAGTACTACAGTGACATTTCGTACGCGGTAATTCCCCAGTAATTCGGAGGGGGCTCTGCGGATGTCGGCAAAGCTCCGATGTTACCGTCGATCCGATGCGACTCTGGCGCTTTATCGCATCTTGTGCTCCAAGTACACTTGACGCCTATCAAGCGCGACTTGGGGTGGACACTCGGAGCTTTCAGGGCCAAGTAAACTCCGATTCTCCACATTGAACTCTGTCTCCCCACTGTTCCATAACCAAAAGTTTTCCAATGCATTCCACTTGATGGGTTTCAATAACGTGGGGATCGTGAATGGTTTGTACAAGTACAGTGCTGGCTTGACGTAAGTATGGTGCGATCATCTTAGCCGATGTCGCATCTCGGTCCATCTGCGGTACTAGAGAGTGACCAAGCTTCGAGGGCTCGTGCGGAGAGCTTCTCTAGTATTTGATATGACGGTAAATCAAGTTATGGGAGTAGCTCGGATGAAAGCGCCAGAAGAGAATTGGGTGTAACTCGTTTCACTAAGACAAATATCATATTTGCGATCACTTATATACTGATCCTATTTACTGAGATTAGGAATAATTGAAGAGAGTCAAGCAAGTCTTTTGTCATACCAAAGACAGCCCTGGCTATCAAGGCCTGCTGGGCTGAGGATGCCGTGTTTGTTGTCATCCCGGTAGTCATCATCGAATCGGCTAATTCCATTCACTATTAATCCTTTGCCCGGATAATTCGACTAACTAGTGACAAACCCGCTCTCATTCATGTTATCCTAACAGTTCTTCCTCATTGTCCTTATACTAGTCCCATATATTCTCACAATCTCAGTGAATACGTCTCAAAGGAGTGATCACTTCCACTGCGAAGCCCATCCTCCCCACAGAGCAACTTCATCAAGCTTCTCGTCCGCCGCGTCTTCCCGTTGCTCTCTCCGATATCTATTCCGACCATACCGGCGATTTTCATCATCCCCGCCAGACTTTTCCTTCGAAGCCAACTGTTTAGCAACTTCATTGGCCTCGAAGAGAGACACGAGTTTTCTCTTCTGCAAACTCTGCTGCGCCCGCTTCTGACAGACCTCGACCATCATCTGTGCCTTGGTTCTCCAGTCCTTGTTCTTAATGAACCACTCCGTTCGACGCCCAGCGAGGTTATGCCATTGAGGCAATTGAGGCGAGTGACCCGTTGAAAAAGCAACCTTCGGGACGGTGCGAGTTGTCTCATTCACCCATGCATCTACTGCCATGTCGAGTGGCGTGCTACCCGTAGCATTCTCTCGGTAGAGAAGATCGGGTCGGTGGTCGAGAATCATTTCCAGGACTTGAGATAAACCCCGCTTGACACACTCATGCACGGGCGTGTTTCCGGCACCATCGAGGAGTTCCAGGAACTTTTGATTGGTGGAATTTCCCAGATTCAGGAACAGCTTAGTGATTGAGCGAGTGGATTCCTGGTCCGAGGGCAGATCAGGGACCTTGGGCTGAGTTTCGACGGAGAAGTCGAAGTCGGGGTACTTGTGTAGCCAGCGTGCAAATGGCGTCCGTGAGCCCTCACCGGCACGTTGATTGAGCATGTGCGAGACCTGCTCCTTATCCATGAGATCGATCAATTGAGAGATCTTGTCTGCATGTCTGGCAATGCTGCCCGACAGAGAACACAGTGCCAAGTGCAGGAGGTTACACCCTTTGATATCGCGAGCGGCCTGGTTGGCTCCAGCTTTGATCAAGATGCGCGCAAAACTCAATCGGTGGAGGGAGATCGCCAGCGCGAGAGGAGTGTGTCCCTCGGACGACTTCACTTCGAGGCATTCGGGGTGATGATCGACCAAATACTGAACCAGTCGTTCTGATTCCTCGCAAGGGCGAGACATCACGGCGCAATGCAGCACAAGGTTGTCTATAATCCAGATCAGTAACGGGCTTAATCGTCCTGGAATTGGAAAACTTACTTCGGGTTTGTAGCCAGTTTAACACAGACGCCTCGAGGCCAAGCTCAGACTGTGACACTCTCTGCACGTTCTCATCCTCCAGGTGCGAATTGACATACTCCAAGTAGTAACGACTGGAGGCGGTGCCGAGAAGCCACTCAGTGCTGGTCATGCTGCCCTGTAAGGCAGAGATAAGAACGGGTGAACGGCCAGCATCGCTGCCTTGGCCAAAGTTGTTGTTATCTGGCCGCCCAGCATCCGCCCAATCTTTGCGCTTCTGGCCGCGGATGGACAGGCCCTGATAATACTCGGGCTCTTCCTTAGCGTCAATCCCAGAATCTTTGCTCATCTTGAGCAAAGGAAGGCCGACGGCAGTGCTTTGGATGAGCATGCCAAGACATTCAGTGTGACCCAGGATCATCGCAAGCTGGAGCTCCCCTTGGCCAAGGGTGAATGCCGTCTTGCCAGCAGGATCACTGCTGGCGCACTCATGGCCAGCCTTCAAGAGCCAGTCCAAAAGAGGGAGATCGTTCTTGAAAATGGCATATTTGAAAAGGGTGTTGACTTTCAAGACAGAAGCGCCCCCCCAATGATTCATCCCCACCAATCGGAAGGTGTCCTCTTTAGGAAGTTCTTCGTCCAAGAAAAGGGACAGCGGCAATCCTCGCTCCAGGGCATTACGCGGCGAGACTTCGCTCTCGACTCGACTGGCCACTTCGCCAACATTCTCGTAAGTGAACTGCTCATCCACGAGATGGCCGACAATATTGAGACCCTCGTCATCAGATTCACCGTCCGTGTCGAGATCTATCTCAAAGTGCTGCCGAGCTTTTGGCTCCTTGACCTTGTACTGGACCTGGATGATCTGCAATATGGTCTTGGCAACACGCAGATGGCCCCGCAAAATTGAGATGTGCAGACACGTCAGCCCCAAAGCATCGGCTTCGGACATCTGCAGGGGTAGCTGATCCTCGGCTGGTCCCCACATGCAAAGGGTGATAGACTTGATAGTGTCGAGATCGCCATTCCATGCAGCCTCAAACCTGTTATCATAAGTTAGCAATTCTCTCGGCTTTCATCAGGTGTTGCAGACATACAGTTTCTCGTATCCTTCACGTGCGACATCAGAAAGACCCGCAGCTGAATTGAAGAATTCAATCTTGAACGTCTTCTTGGGATTCGGCTTCTGCTGGATTCTCCGGTTTTGGCGGAATCCGGGATCCTGTGTCTCTCCTGGGTGAAGCTCCTGCCAGGTCTTTGCATCTCTTGACATCAAGTCCGCCGTGAGCAGCTCATACTTCTTAATCAGCTCCGTGACAGCCTCCCGCTTCTCGGCATCACCGGGCTTCTCTTCGTATGCCTCTTTCTTCTGCTTTTCTTCGTACTCTTCGGCCCATTTGTTAAGTTCCTTCGCCTTCTTCAGCAGACCCTTTGCTGCAAACATCTTGTACGTCCCCTCTTGGAAGTCAGCCAGATAAGAGCCCTCTTCCTGCTCGAAAATGACGGGATCGGTGATCCCATAGCGGCGGTGGGTTAGATGTTCATTCTTCAACGACTTTTCTAACTCTTCCACGCACCGCCTCGTACAGTCCAGTGCCGTTTCATTAAAGTCACGTCTTAGTTCATGTTCGGTGTTCGGGTCAACGCCACGTTCCAAGAGGTCAATAGCCATCAACGGTAGATCGTTTTCAATAGCAAAAATGAGGGGCTGCTTCGGGGTCTTGCCCGCGAGCTTTTGCTCTCCACCATGAAGCATAGCATCAGGCATCTGTGATTTCAAGGCTTTCAAGCAATCAGCTAGCTCTATGTTAGGCTTCGCGCCCATATCGAGTAGCTTCTTTGCCCCAGCAGGATTCTTGGCACATAACGCATTCACCAATGCAGAGGTGAAAGTGTAGTCGCTGTACCAGTACCCTTGGACTACCATGTGATTGATTGCCCGTTGCATAGCTGGTCCGTCATGCTCTTGGTAAACGTCAAGTAGTTCACTGTATTTGGATTGTGCGATATAGTGAAGAGCGGTGTATTGAGAAGTATCGCCCTGAGCTGGAGAAGCACCAAGTTTCAAAAGGGTTTGTGACATCTCTCTCGCTTTATCCAGGGGTAAAGCGAGCACCAAGACCACCGTCAAGATTGCAGCTTTAGGTCGCTTGCTGTAGTCATCCGTGATCTTGATTGGCATCAACACATCGGCTCCAAAGGATGTAACAAGCTCCTTGACGGTTTCCACATGGCCATGAAGAATGGCAAGATGCAGTGGCGACGCAAGATTGTCCCATGCCGTCACATTGATATCGTAAATGTCTGGCTCCTGGTCGTTCTCTTCAATAGTGTCGAAGGTGGGCGACATTTCGTCGCCGCTCTCTTTGTCCACCTTGACATACGATGCAGACGTGTGCGAAGCATCATCCTTGTCGTCTTCATCATCTTCTTCCTCGTCTTCCGGGCGATCAAGGTCCATTGGCGTGGCCTTCTGGTCGTCCTTTTTCTGATTTTCCGCCTCCTCGTTCTCATTGCTCTTCTTCAGTAGAATACGAACGATGTCAGTGGAGCCACGGGCAGCAGCCAAATGCAACGCCGTTTGTCCATCAGCCATCCGAGCGATAAGCCTGGCACCACGGTCCACAAGACATTGAACAATCTCCGGTGTCGAAGACATGCAGGCAAGTTGCAGAGGAGTACGTCCAGTATAATCTCGGCGGTCCGTATCCGAGTCCTCTTGGTCAAGGAATTGCTTCACGGCCTCCAGGTCATGCGACACAATAGCCTGGCAAAGCAACTCAGTGCGACCAACATACGCCATTTCTGTGATTTGTTGTCAGCACCTTGGCTAATACCTAGCGTGATTTTCCAATTCATACCTGTCCAGTCGGTCTCGGTGATTGGGTTAAAACTGCCAATCTCTTGCCGACCGGGATCGTCCTTGATAAAGCCGATCTTTCCAGAGACATAGATCTTGCTCTCTTCCTCGGCCACCTTTCGCTCTTCTTCGGTAACTGGCTGAGGGCAGAATCCACAGCAGTCGCCAATGACATGCTCAGCTTCGCCAAAGAAGGCAGGGTGGCGGTGAAGATAAACCTCGCGGTCCTTCTTCTGATTCCATTGCGCGTTGAGAAGCAAATCTTTTGTGTAAAGTAGCTTCTCAATCTTACGTGCATTAAACCTTCGGCCGTACGGAATTGTCTAACTCTTGTTAGCATAGAAGGGGATTGGCGGACAGCACTTAAAAGACTTACAAAGGTATGATAGTCTGAGATTTGGTCTTCTTCTTGCCATTCAGGAACTTCGTCTTCCCATTCATCTTTGATGTTACCATGCAACTCCTTTCCTTGGCGACGTCGCATGTAGAGGCTGAGAGGAGGGCGCCCGCGCTCTTCGCGTCTCTTCCTCAGATAAGTGTCTCGATCTCCCGGCTTGGGGAGTTTTTCGAGAACAAGAAGCCGTGCCAGACCCTCAGTTCTCATGAAACTCCTCTCAAAAATGGTCTAATTTTCAGATGTAAGCCTCCTAATAATTAACAAAGCTCGGTATATAAAAGTGCATACAGGATCGACCTTTGACCTATCAAGTGGGGGCCAGAACACTTCAAATCCACGGTGAGAGTACTTGGAAAGACGATTCTCATAAGATGGAGAGCGGCGTGTCAGATCAACTTGGTTTGTCTGCGTGATATAAGATGCGACGGCACGAGGAGAGGCATAGACTTGTTGGCCATCATAGGCCGCACAGGAACAATCCACATCGAATCCGGTAAGAATTTCAGCTACCGATTTGTAGATACGTAGAACGATTTGCACATGTCTTGTAGGGTATTGTGAGGCAATGGTGATTGTGTTCTTCGTGCGGATAGTCGTCGTCTCGTACAAGATCGTATTACGGATCTTGTCTTCAATGTGTTTGATCTTCTCAATAGCTTGTTCCTCGGTCAAACCATACAAGAACAAATCGACGTCTGACGCAGGAGCAAATTCCTCGTGGTAGAATTGCCGAAGGCCACGCTTGGAGTTGCGATACTTCTCTGGCACGGGTAAAAGAGATGTTACAACAGCACTGCCTGCAGCAACGACGTTGCTCCAGTCCAGCTCACTCAATGCGCCCTCAGTGAAGAGAGTAAAATTGTTCTGAAACTCAGGCAACAATGGTACAACAGCAGGTGAGCCGTTTAGTCTGCGTTTTTCCTCTGGGATGGGTAGAATATACTTTTCCTTCTGCTCAGGGGTCTCAGAATCCAGATCTCGTGCCCGAATACGAATGTCTGTAGAGCCTGTGGTGGCATCGAAAAGAGGGACGACATTAGCATGATTATCCTTTACCAAGGTGTGTGATGGATTTTGAGCAAAGATCTTTCGCGCCGATGCATCAAAGTCATTGTAGGGCTTGACGAGATCCTCAATTGGTGTCTCTGGATGCGATTGAATATACTGCACGAAATTGGAATGCTTCACTGGCACAGAAGGCAGTGAGAAAGCCATTGTCAATATGAATCAGAAATTGGGAATCTCGTATCTGTAAGGGATCGCAATTGTGCTGTATGAATACTGTCAAATGAAGCAGACTTGATGTTCTTTATATGATCAAGTGAATAATCGTTCTAGTCTGCTTTGGGGCTTAGTTCAACAGGGGTCTAGGCAGCCTTAGGCAACAGAAGCCGACTCCACATCTCAACCACCAATTAGCAGCCTGCCAAGCAACAAGTAAACACTACTCGCTTCGCTAAGAACTCAAAAAGAAATTGAGAGAAGGGCAGGAGCGTTTCAAAAAGAGCTCAATGATAGGAATCGACGTCTTTTGAGGAGCTCTGATTAGTAGGATTCATCCATATCTTGCAACGGGTCTCGTTCCCAAACTGACTGCCAAGAAAACATTCTGCTAGTGCTCAGCTACCTGAAAATCACGTGTATCTGCCAAGACGCCGGCTCGACGAAGGAGTGATCAGGGGACACAGGGTGACCGTAAATAATAACTTTGTAGTAAAGAGACAGAGGCACGGAAGAAGCCTTAATGATCAATCACGGTTAAAACTTCCAGACTGTCGACCAAGTTATGCATAGCCACGATGCAATGCAAGAGAAATAAACGGTAATTGAAGTCATTATGAAAGTAAATCCTGTCCTGGGCATGCTAGAACATAGCGTTCTAGTATATTTGGTCTTTTTAGCCCGTTTAACTAGTGCACCCGGGCACGTGTTGTAACAAAAACGTTTTTAAGTGGTAGATCTCCTTCTCCGGGATGGATAGTTCAATTTAGCTTTCTTTATCGGTGGGCATAGACGAAATCAGCTGTTGAAACTGAATTTAAGATGTTATCTAATGCCGTCGAGGGAGCAGTCGGGGTGCCTATGACTTTTGTCACGCCAGTTTAATTAGACTCGAATTCAGGCCTAGTGGATGACATAGTTTGTGACCTAAGTAGGTGACAACTAACTGGGTTTTATCATAGCTAAGTACTTGGGCCCGCTGTGATCCTAGTTTTAGGGGAGACTTAGGGGTAAGATCGATATCTAGTCAAAGGCTGATCTATTGTCTAGACATAAAAAACTGACTATTTACATCGAGTATCTACATTAAAGAATATCAGAAGGGTAGTGTCAAGTCGAGAAACTGGATAGTTACTATACGCTACGTTAGTCGTTGAACCAAGTTGCCTTAAAGAGGGGAGAGTCCCCACAATCTTCCTAAAACGTCAAATAGCTATGAAAACAAACAGAAGTGGCTCACTATTAGCTCTATACAATTCTTATCTCAATGCCTTAATGAGATAGTAAACTATTACTGACACATGTATCCTTCAAGCCCGAGGCTGGCTGGTTAAGCTTTGGGCATCGCCTCCAACGGTCGCGCCGCGAATCGGACGTCATTGCGATCGCAGACTTCGCTCTGCCAAGAACTTTGGGGCTGAGACAGTTGGGCTCAGTCAGCTTCCAGGCTCGCTTTTGCTTTCTTTCCCTCTACTTATTCCGTTAGTGAGACCCTAGACCCTATCAAAAATCCTTCGATCTTCCCCTTTTCTCATACGGAGTTGAAACTCCCCTACTCCGCGCTCTCCCACCATGCCCCTCCTCCGCGCGGGTTCCCCCGCCCTGCTCGTGTGCTTGCTGCTGGTGCTACTTCCACAGGTCCATGCATTCGGAGCTGGTAGTAAGTCCAACTCTGCTCCTGGATGCAAGCATCTCTGACATGTTTTAAGATATTGCTTCAATCTCGGCCGTCGAGGGCAAAAATTGGCGTCATGGCGACATTGAGGACATGCTGAAGACGATCACTTTCATCGCCGGTCACAAATGGACATCTACCATGATCAAGCGCGTATACTTTGGAAATTGGCTGCGTGATTAGTGAGATCTCCCGATACTTACCCAGTCAAATAGGGAAATACTATCGTCATAGTCGGCTAACACAGTCCCACCAGCTCGCAGGCAATGGACGTCGGAACCCTGAAGAATCTCCAAGCCGAAACGATCCGCATCCTCGTGTGGGTCCTCTCGTTCCTGACTTTTGGGTACGCGACTGGCGAGTTTGAGGTTACCTCAGAACGATTGGGGGTTTACCGTCCGGAAGAGCATATTGAGTGCGTCCTCTAATGAACATGGTACACCTGTTTTCAGCTAACACCCTTGTAACAGTAACCCGAAAGACTACGCCGACAACGAAGATGCGCGCCAATTTGACAAGCGCCTGCGAGGCCCGATCCGTCAGGTCGAGCTTGATATCGATCCGGAGACAGGAATGAAGAATTACATCGCGAACGAGCGCGGCGATTGGGCGACAAGTTCCGCCTATGTCAAGTTTAGTCTCAGCCGCAGCATCCATTATGGACGCATGTACACCAATGGTGGCGAGCACAAGGGCAAGGAAGAGGATCTGTGCGAGGCACTGCGTTGCTTGGGACAGGGCCTCCATACTCTCGAGGACTTTGCGGCTCATTCGAATTACATCGAGCTCGCATTGCGCGAGATGGGATACCACAATGTGTTCCCTCACACGGGCACAGCCACCCAGTGCAATGTCCGGGGACATCACGTCTTCCCCTTGGTGACGGGAACTTTTGGTATGGTTGATTTTTTCCACTCCGTCCTCGGTGAGGCCACCGATCATTTCACCCAGTCTGAAGTCAACGAGATGGACTTGGCGCTTGGCGATGCGGAGAACAATGCCCAGGCCAGCAACTCTCTCAACTCCCTCACTGGTCTCTTGGGCAAGATCCCCGGTACACGAGATCTGGTCGCGGAGGCCGAGCATCTGAAACAGCAATCTGAGGCCCAGGAGAGGAGCAATCGTTCTCGCGGCTCTCACACGGGATACATGCAGACGGGCGATTTTGAGCAAAGCCGCGCACCTGATCCAAACTACCCCACCACTGGTGGCGCTGCACCGGGTCCTGGTCTTCAGGGTATGCCTGATTTCAACCCTCAGGAGACAGTGTCCAAGATCTACCCTATCCTAGCCTTCCGTGACAAGGTCGTGCGGAAGCTGAACGCGGTCATCGAGAAGATCCCGGGCTTGGAGACCCTCATAGATAAAATCACCGAGACCCTCACCGTGTTCATTATGTCGCTGCTAGCACCATTCATCCGCCCTCTTATCAACGCGGCCTCCAAGTCTCTCCAGACCGGCTCATCGGGTGTCGTTGCTGCCTCTGGCAAGCACCAATACGAGCCGTGGACGGATCCTCACTGCACTGATCCTACCCACTCACTTCTCTCCAAGGACCACTTTGCCAACGTCCTGAACGAGCCGGCCGGACAGGTTGCTTCCGCTATTTTAAAGTACGTTGCTCCTCGGGTGCTGTATGCCTGGCAGCACATCGACGTCCCGGAACACGAGGTTCTAGAGGACTGCATGCGCATCTTCCACCACCCCGTGCTCCGAGACATGCACAACGAAGCTCACCGGACAATGTTCGAGGCTGTCGGAAACTGGGTCCACTCCCGTGAAGATCGTGGCGCCCATCTCAACGACATTCTTAGTTCTGAGGGTGTTCGGTCCGGTCGCAATACCGGTGGTGTCCCGCATACCCACGGCGGTAGCCAGGGCGGATTCGCTGCTCTAGGCGGCGCAGCCCATGGTCAAACGCACGGTCAGAGTCAGAGCCATGGCCACGGCTTCTCCGTGGGTGGTATTCAGTCATTTTTCACGCAATCGCAATCTCAGCACCAGCAACCCTCGGGATCACATGGGCAAGGCTCTTCTGGCCTGCCTTGGGACAAGATTTCCAAGTTTCCCATTCCTGGCATGTCCAATCTGAACAAGCTTGAAAGCACTATCTCAAATTTTATTCCCGGTGGTTTGTCGCATGGTTCCAGGAGAGAGCTTGGAGAGGATGAGGAGGCTGGTGCTGGAAGTGGACATGATACTGGGACATATCAGCAGCAGAATTCACAGTATCATGGTCAACAGGGACATGGTCAGGGCGGCTACGGCCAGGGTGGGTATGGTTATTGACGAGCCTTCTGTGATGATATGTTTGGAAATCCCTGGTATATGGGAATTACTACTGTGTGCATGGTTCATGAGATTATGAAATTTGTGATGAGTGTCCATGGATGTCATGATCAAGTTTGAGGCTCAAGACGGGGTGTCGGAAAACGGCCCAGCTATTGGTTAAGAAGACCTATGAAGTAAATATGACTCTTTTTACACCAATCTACAGGCGAGCAAATAGTCTATCGGGTTTCGGAATCTTACTGCTTGGCTTATCGGGCCTTATAGGGCCTATCTCCACTGTCTGTCGGGTGGCAATACGGATTTCCCTTCTTATCCATGGAGTGCTAGTGTGTCCGCAGCCCCGATATATATGCGTCGAGACTACAGTGAATCCGAGGACCACCTAGCCACATGTATCCCATTCAATTAAAAAGAATTACGTCCTAGCCCAGATTCCTTGTGCTATTTGCGCGTAATTTTTTCAAGTGTCCGGACAATATAGCCTCAACACCCGAGGCATTTTCGGGCGTATGAGGCACGGAACAGTTACATTGGAAGGATTTTGGGAGCTCATCATTGTGTTTCCATTTATATAGCCATATATGGAAGCTTTCTTCAACCAGCCCTGCCGGGCTAGCTCAATCGGTAGAGCGTGAGACTCTTAATCTCAAGGTTGCGGGTTCGACCCCCGCGTTCGGCTATTCCTACACAAAACCTGAGATCCTTTCTTTTTTATTTCTTATTATTATTATTTTTTTTTGCCTGAAGTCAATCGATTGCAGTTTTGATTGTGTTCTTCAGACTTGGCGATCTTAACTGTTATACCAATCTCGTGTAATTATTTTGGTTAGCGCCAATTAAGATTCTTGTGCCTGCATAGCTTAGGGTTGACGCGAAATGGGCCCCTTGCCGAGCTTCACGCGTCAAAAAGCTGTACCTAACGCGTCTCCCAGATTATCCTTTCACAATCGCCCATCCAACAACTCATTATCATGGAGTCTCAATGGCCGGAGCCCTCATTTGTGAGCGACGAGTTCAAAGATGTCTTCCAATTTGCCCAGACCTTTGAATTGCATTGCGCGAAAGTATACGACCATGCTGCGAAGCATCCTGATGGAGCCGCCTCCGCGACATACGTGATGGATCTTGTCTCACAGGCCTATCGGGCGGTTCACAGCTTGCATATGCAGAAAATGGCAACGTGGTATCTGGACCAAGACACAGCAACTGCGTCGCTCCAGAGCAAGGCTATCGAGTACCGTGAGACACAGAAATTACTACCCTCTGGTCATGCCGAGGTCGTTGCATCTACTGAGGATATCGATGAAGACCAGAGCGAAGACACTGTCAGAAAAGATATTGAGAGCTTCTTCAGCCGTGATTTCGAAGATGAATCAGACGACTCGGATTGGGATGAATCGTCCGACGAAGATTCTGATGATGAATACTTCGAATACAACGAGGAGTCCGAAGAAGAAGACGAAAACATCCGTGGCATACGGCGAATGCAACGAGTGAGGACTATCCAAGAACTCCCAGAAGACGACCTGCCGGAGATGAATCAATCTCCGCCGATCAATATTGCGGCATCGAAGAATGCGGATACAACAGACGACGCCACTTTCACACCCCCAGTCATGTCACCAGAGGAACAAGCCGCCCATGATCGCATTACGGCTGCACTTCAGCGAATCTCTGCAAAGTTCGAAGACGCAGACCCCGTGCCGCTGGCGCGCGTCCAGACTCGTACAAAAATGCCTCTGCAACATACTCCACCTCCAACAGACGACTCTCAAAGTGAAGCAACCACGATACGAGAGGAGTCAACCCGTGATCCTTTGTCACCTCCCCAGACGGCGACCGAAAGGGAATCGTCGGCACCCGGGATGACAAGTACCGCACCAGTGGCCCCAGCGCTAGAGCGAAAGGCCAGCTATGATGGAACTGGTGTGATCGTCGTGCAAGGCAGTCTCAGTCGGCGAGCGTCTGTTGCTGTACTTCCTCGGCGGATCAAGACCGTTTGCCATAGATATGTTCGCAGAGCTATGTTGCCTATCCGTGGAAAGGCTCATTGAGGGGGGAGATAATAAATGCAACCAATTACCTGAATGGGCCAACTTCCAAGCAGAATTCCCCCTTGCACATTGATTGAGGCATCTACTGCACTGGTATCTCAGCTACATCTGAAACATTCAACCGTGGCCCATTGAACCCCCGTGCTTGTGGCAGAACCTCATCTCGCAAGAGATGGTGCTCTACCAGGTCCAAACAACGTTGATGTTACCTCTTCTCTACCGAACCGAGTATCTTGGCGTTTGTTTAATAATGTGAAACAAGGATTCTGGAGAAGGCCCCTGAAACTTTCTCACTTCTTTGGATACAAGGAAACGGCATCGAATTTGATCATCAGAGGATTCTTGGCGGGGGAAAATGGACCAAAGGTTGAACACCTTGCGAGGAAGGCCGAGGCCGATTACCTGCAAGAAGAGTCCGACTCAACACTATCCCCGGAGAGCGACAGAAACAATTGAAGAATGTCTGCCATCCATTATCTACAACAGCACCACAGTAATGATGACACTACTTGATAATAATTATTCATAATATACCCTTGTTCATGTGGCTCCCACATTATTTGCCCCAAGATAGGCATCCTTCAAGCATCCACCGTCCATCTATCGCTATCTGGCGTCAATGAGTATCACAAAGCAATCTGTAGTAACGTTAGCAACCGAATACAGACTTCTCAAGTGATTTTTGTGAATGAAGTTAGGTACCTGCTTCTCCGGGTTAATATAGCACACATGAATGGCTTCCATATTGTCACCACACTTCGTCTTCAAATGGGCATTCGTTGCTCGGGTTGTTGAAAGAACTGTCATGTCGCGCAATCGGACCCGGAAATCAACCCCAATCTCCGAGTAGAATTATGGTAAGCTATACAGCGACGTTCTAGCTAGAACCCTGTTCCATAGTTCTCAAGCACATAGTCAACATCTTTGTCACCACGTCCAGAAAGATTGACCAGTATTCGTTCCGATGAAGGGCGCTGCGAAGCCAAGCGAATCGCAAATGCCAAGGCATGCGCACTTTCCAACGCAGGGATGATACCCTCTAATCTTGACACACGGAAAAATGCTTCAATGGCTTCCTCGTTGGAAATTGCTGCTATGGAAAGCCGGCCGGTTTCATGGAGCATCGCAACCTCAGGACCAACACCGGGGTAGGCGAGCCCTGATGCTATAGAGGAGACACTGGCCGGCGTATCGTCGTCTTTCTGCAGCACAACTGATCGAGCGCCGTGCAATGTGCCTGGTCTTCCATAGGAGAGTGTCGCTGCGTGTTGGCCTAGATCATCGGATATACCCAGGGGCTCCACGGCGTGCAGAACGACCTCCGAATCATCAATGAAGCCAGAATACATACCCATCGCATTGGACCCACCGGCAACACAGGCAACAACATGCTCAGGCAAGCTTCCCTCCGTGATGGACATGAATTGCTCGCGGGCCTCTCGGCCGACTACGCTTTGGAAGTCTCGAACAATCATCGGGAAAGGATGGGGCCCAATAGCCGATCCGATTGCATAAAGAGCGTGCGCATGCTGCTCGACATACGCATTGAATGCAGAATCACTCGCATCTTTGAGCGTGGACTGGCCCGTAGTTGCCGGTACTACGCGCGCCCCGAGCAGCTGCATACGACCGACATTCGAACTCTGCTTAGCGATATCCACGTCTCCCATGTGGACTTCGCATTCGAGGCCAAAATAGGCAGCCGCAGTTGCCAGCGCGACGCCGTGCTGGCCGGCTCCGGTCTCGGCAATTAATTTAGTCTTACCCATCTTCTTAGCAAGAAGGGCGAAACCAACACAGTGATTGATTTTGTGTGCGCCGGTGTGGTTCAAATCTTCTCGTTTGATAAAGATCTGAGCGCCTCCGACCTCCCTCGAGATATTTTCGAGATGATGTATCGGGGTCGGTCGCCCTTGAAGTCCAATCCGTGCCTTGTTAAGTGTGTTCTGGAAGTCTGGCGTTTGGCGAAGTTCCTTATAGCAGCTGGCCAGCTCTTCCAGCGCTGGCCGAAGCTCAGGCGGATAGTGGTTGCCCCCAAACCGACCGAAATATCCTTCGGCGTTGGGATGGCTTTCGAGATAAGAAAGTTGAATGTCTGGCATCACGACTGATCCTCGAGCACGAGAGAGACAGCTCGTCAGTGACTTTCGCTCGACTTGTTGAATGGGACTTGTGATTTATGGTATATGACGATCCTAGGACTTAAAATCCCACTTGAATTGAAGATCGAGAAGGGATATCAGAATTAAGATCTCGTGCAAAATGAATGGTTACAGTCAAGGATCTGCGAGCAACTGGGTTTGATTGCCTGTGAAAAGAGGGAGGATGTTGACGAGGTCTGTCAAAAAACTTTAGCTAAGTCGAAGAGTTATATTGCTGACAGATCTTTTTAATGGTAGTTTCGAAGCTTAGGTCGTTGCGGAGGGGAGTTCTTGAATTTATAGAATCTCAACTGGCTGATACCTAGAGCCAAGGACGCACGACGCTAATTGGATCTCATGCGTGTCAGACAGTGAGATTGCATATCCCTGCGATGGCTCTATTTTGCGATGACTCACCAAGAGACCGAAGAATGCACATTACATAGTAGAATAGCTGGAAAGACCACCGTGGTCAACGACGGCCGCGGCCCGCTCAGCTCGCCGACCCGATTGCTTACCTTGCGGTGATTCGAGCCGCGATCCGCTTCCTCTCACCTATAAAATGGTGCAACTCACCAAGTATATGATCCTCAGGCCTATAAAACAAGAGGAGATGAATCGACCAGTTGGCTAGAATGTTTGACCCATCGCCCTTGATTTGTTTCAAGGATTGCTTTGAGCAGAGCTCAGTAGAAATCGGACCCAACCGACCCGACCCGACTCGTTACCGGATGAGAACGAGAACGAGACTCAAATATGTAGTTCGTCATAAGAATCCGCATGATTATACTTGTAGCTAGCAAGACAAATGAAATATCAATCACAACCCATGTGCGCTTCGGCAACGTACGTCCACGAGCAGCAGCGAGGCGGGCAATACTCTACGGCATGGTAGGTTAGGCGCATGAATACAGGGCATATAGCAATTATTCCTTTATCGCTCGGAGCAGGTCATAATTATAGTCATTCATTACTCCCCAAATTCTCGGTCCTAGAAGGACCAAGATAAAGCTATGATAAGTATCAAGAACCAAAGTACCCGATAATCCCGGCATGAGACAGGCCAGCCCAGTCATCATCAGTTATGAGATACATAAGATAGAAAGACAAACCCAATACTCCCTCTCCATATTCCAGCCTGGAGAAATGCAACGCGCTAAACACAGATTGGATTGCTTCCCATTCACAGCTTAGTTCCCTCACGCCCGCTGTCACTAGGTCGTCGAGGTCGGAGCGGTCCCAGTGATGCACCGGCGCCACCACTCGGGCCCGGCGCGGACGTGGAGGTGAATTGCGTCCGAGTGGTTTCGTTACTAGCTGCGTTGGTGCGCATCCCATTCGTACGAGTCCCATTGTGGAGCCGAGGATTCATGAGCCATTGTACCTGCATGCGCACGCTGTTGAGGGCAGCGTTGGTGTGGGCCATGTCTTCCTTGATACGGAGACACTCATTCATGATTGTCATGCTGGCACGGGCGTCGAGGTCTGTAAGAGCGTGCGACATTTGAGCAACTTCTTCACGGAGAGACTCGTGTAACGAGAGAAGATATTCAGTCGTGTGGGATGAGAATGAATTTGCGGTGTCTGCAGATTCGTCCGCGTCGTTGCGAGACTGTCGGTCTCTATCTCCATTGGTGGCGGATCTCCCACCGTTCCGATCGCTGCCGCTCACTCGCGCGGACTCAAGAAGGGTGGATTTAATATTGGCCATTCCGTCCTCGAAGATCTCATTGCGTTGTTGGAGATGTCGCATAGTTAACTCCAGAGAGTTGAGTCGTGTATTTTGCGCCTCGAGATACGGTCCTATTGAGACCAATGGGCACTGCTGTTCGTGCGTCGCCATATCAGCACGTCGGACCTTGACCGAGCACCCATATTGAGATGCCGCGCAGGCGCTCACAACGTCTGGGCAGGTCTCGATGTGTTTCTTTAATGACCGCCGTCGGACAATATTTCCACAATCGTCGCAAGTCGCTTCGAGGCTAGGGCAGAGCTCTCTGTCATGTTCGGCAAAATCCTGCTCCATCACATCCTCGTTGCAGCGTTCGCAGCGACAATAGCTATGCATACAACGTTCTTCCGGCTGGAGATCCATTTTCCGGGTCTTTTTTCCGCACGATTCATCCGGACAAGGGACAATCCGATAGCCGCAGTATTTCTCCACATGCGACTGGACATGACCTCGCGGGACAATCTCACTGCAGCCTTCTCCTACCATCGGACACCGGACTTGAATCTCATCGCACATGTTGACCAATAAGCGGGGTACGCTGGTCGATATTCGGGTGGTGGGGGTTCGGCAAGAGGGACACGGGAACTCGTCCGAATCGGCCGAGCGGAAGGTGGTGATGGCCGATCCCAAGCACTTTTGGCAAAAAACGTGATCGCATTGTAGTCGTACAGGCTGTACGAAGGGGCAGTGGCAAATCGGGCACATCAGATGTGAATCGTAGCGGGAGACAATATCAAGGGCGCGAAGGTCGACCAAGTCGTCGCGGTCGGAGCTGGCCTCCATAGCCAGGAAGTCTTGAATGTCCATGGTGCACAGAACTGTAAGCCTTGGGTAAGGCCCATGCAAAGGATTCCGAGGGCGTTTAAGCGGGTTTTACTCCGATTTTGTTGCTGCTCAGAAGTTCCGGCGTCAGCTTGTGAAGAGGTGGATTATGGTAAGGCGGGATATAGATACCGAGGTCGATCACAAGGTACGCAGGACCCCCTCAGGGCGAGGATCAAATGTGGATCATTCAATAGGGAATGAATCGCCCGGTAATTCTAACGGTAGCAACGATAGTTTCAGAAAGAAGGTATGGAGGAAGTATTGAGGGGAATGAAGAAGGTGGGATTGCGGAGGGGGAAAGGCAGAGGCAAAGGCGGAAAGCGGGCGGGTACGCAGCAGATCCGGGCATGGGCAAGTCGGGGGTTTCCCTGGTGCTTGGATATCCACTACTGCCTGGACCTCAGCTGCGACTGTTGTCTTACCTTCAACAATCAGCGTCCCCTGTGCTGCCAGCAATCCTTCTGATAGTGTCTACACCCTATCCTTTTCCCACAGCATCCCGACATCTCTTAATTCGCCCCTTTCACGACAGACTTGCCTCCCCGCCGTCCGCCTGACACCACCACCACCATGACGAACCCATCCCAGCTCTTCCTCCTAGCCGATCATATCAAGCTCTCCCTCCTAGAGCGAGAGCGCGCCATTTCACTCGACCTTGAACCCAATGCGCAAGACGGAGAGATCTCTCGGTCACTCGAGTCCCTCCAAGCGGGCATCCAGGCCGTAGAAGCCGAACAGGCACGGCTGACAGAGTCCAACGACAGCGCAGGCGCTGCCGCCTTGAAAGACCAGCTTGGCCCCCTCCACGAGCAACTCCAAGACCTCTCCTCCCAGTTCTATGGCACAGATGGTGCCCCCTCCAGCCAAGACCCGACACCGGACTCTGTGCATCGGTCCGCGACGTCGCCCGATCTCAAACAACCCGTTCCACAACATCCCCCCTCCAAATCAGTACGGTTCATGGACAACTCGGCGGCTGCTGCGGCCGTCCAGGAAGAAATCGACCAAGAGGAGGATCGGAATCGCCAGAATCTCTTCCGGCCCTACCGCGACGAGCCATCGCCGCCGGGCGTTGACCAATCCAACATGTCCAACGAGGAGATCTATCTCCACCATGATCGTGTGATGCGTGAACAGGATGATCAACTCGATCAGTTAGGAGAGTCTATTGGACGCCAGCACCAGCTGAGTATCCAAATTGGAGATGAGCTCGATGGCCACGTTGAGCTGTTGGACGGCATGGACGGTGATGTTGAGCGTCATCAGAACCGACTCACCGGAGCGCGACGGAGGCTGGACCGAATTCGACGCAAGGCGGGCGATAATTGGAGTATGATGACCATCATCGGGTTGATCATTATTCTGGTCATCCTGATTGTTATCTTGAAATGATAGCGACGTAAAGTTTGGTCTTTTTGTATGAAGCTTTAATTACTTTCGAGCGGGCGTTTCGGGTCTCGGTGGAATGGACAACTCTATGACCTACTCTGATGGCTTACGGTGACTGTGATTCTGGCGTTAAATACAATCGGTTAAATCGAGCTGGCGACTTCGGCCACATCACAAACTCTCTCATGATTCAATGAAGTTCATTCGTAAAATCAAGAGAGAAAAAAAAACATGGGCGACAATTTTGTCTGCGATAGAATGTCGACATCCCTTCATAAACACACCCAGGAACCACCACGGAAATAGATCCCGTGTAACTCCGCCAGAATCACCTTCCAATGCGAATTCCTGTCATAGCCTGCACCCGCTCACTTTTGTTCGGGGATACGCTTGGTCTTCTTTTGCAACTCCTGGAAAGCTTTATCCGAGGAATCGCATTCGCCTCGATCCGCCTTGACCTATAAGTAAGACGCGACAGGTTAGTCCAGGGCCCATCACGTTTCCATCAGGGAGACTGTAAACGAACATCCGCTTCGCTGTTACTCGCTAATTCAGAGTTCCATTTCGCTTGTCCGGTTTCCCGGCTCTTCAATTGCTGATCTTTCTGGGCCTCGTAGTGATCAGGGAGGTCGCCGCGATCTAGGATGTTATCTTGGTTAGCCAGGTCAAGGTGTTGCTACGGCGGAAGACAGGAGGAGATGGAATAGTCCTGGATCTCGATATTGATGAGGGAACGGTGAATAGCACTCACTCTTATCGCTTTCTTTGAGTGTGTATCGTGGTGTGGAGGTATGGAATGTAGAGATGGAGGGAAGAGCATAGCTCGAGGGTACAACGCGACGGGAGCTAGCCCGGACAGAGGTGAGGAAGGACATGATAGCGTTGGAAATCGGTGGATTGATGGTAATTTGTGAAGAATTGCAGCTGTGAAATGTCTTCTAGTAGGTGGAAAGCAGGAGAAGTGTAGCTGAGAAGTCGAGCCACAGAGGTCAAAAGATATGGTTCAACAGTCAAGATGATAGAATTCCCCGCAAAAACAGTCGATATTTATAAGAGTTTGCGTCGTGGGGGATTCAATTCTTTAAAATAGACCATGGAATACTGGGAACTCTGGTAAATTACCCTCTTTCTATTCGTGATTTCCCAGCGCTGTTCTACCAATGACGTCAGCGACACTTCACGGCGACCGGGTGGGCGGATGTGAAGTTGCCGAAGGCGGAGGTTTTTATTCGAGAACTTGCATTACTTGGGTCGAAGATACATATTAGAATTGAGTATCATGACTACTTGTGTTGGAGGCTTCCTCACAATGCTGGGTATGAAAGTTGGCCCCTTTAGAGGATTGTATTGATCAATTCAGTCAGCTCTTGGGGATAGAGCATTCTCGACCAGTCTGGTCCCCGAGTAATGACATCATGATATATATATATATGTGGAGAACAATCATTACCGGTGACGCAGAGGTATGAGATTGTCTTTTCCCCAAAATAGAGATCTTCTAGAAAGATGTGTGAACATTGTCAAGTACACAGGTAGGGTTCTCGAAGCCGGGACACTCTAGCCACCATCTGCTACGATATACTTTCGTACCCTTGCCGCTGCACCCCACACAACCAGCATTTTAACAGACTGAGTCGGGAGACATCACGCTGGGTACAAACGAGTCTTACATTTATGCGCAGAAAATAATACAGCAATTGAATAAATTGAGCAAAGAAGACGTGCCATCGACGAGAAAGCATAGTCTGGAATAATGCCGAAGAAAAGCATGCGGCGCTATAGTCCTCCACTTGAAGAAAAAGAAACCGTAGACGAGCTAGAGAAAGAGAAGGAAGCGAATGGAGAGAAGTGTGATCAATGAATAGTACCAAGAGTAGAATCAATATAAGACAGAGACAATAAAAGTAAACCATTTTCAACGCAATATGGTCTATCGCATGTTCCGCGAGAAGACCCCCAGGATATCGATTTCAAACAGAAAACAACTCCGCATCCCATGGTTTCGCTGCGCAACCAACCCCCCCAACCAGCCACTGCACCCCGTGGCAAGGAAGCAATGAGTATTCGCATGTCACCCATCCCCATAAACCGATGTACAAGCCAAAAAGGATATGGAAAAAATAAGATAAACGAGAATCGAACAAGGTCAACAAAGTGCAAAACCAAACAAAAACAATCCCAGATATTTCAACAGTGCCCAAGCAATGCAGACGTGTATCGTTTCCGCCTCTAGATCCTTGAAAAAATGTGATATCCATCCCGCCCCATGAGTAAAACACAAAACCCCAAGAAAGTCCAAGAAGCAAGGAAATCGTCGAAATAAGTCACAGCGTATGTGGAAGGTAAAAAAAAAGAAAGAGAGGGCGAGCCGGGGTAAAAGGTCACTCGCAAGCGATCCATCCTTTTTCCCAACCCTGTAAAGAGGCAACATAAAACCAACTCCGGGTTCCCAATGCGACATGTACGTCAAGTAGCAAGTCACTGCACGGTCTAAACATCATCGGCGGGCCCAACCGAAATGAACAATGAACACAGGCCCAAGAATAGAAGTTTCAGGTCCCTCTCTGAGAGACCGCAGGTATCGTATGGAAAAGGATGTAAAAAGGGTGTCAACTCGCAAGGGCGCCGTCGCTCGCAACAAGCTGGAAAAAAATCGCAAAGGATCTAGATGTAAGGCGAAGATGGTCGTAATCGGCGGCGTAGAGGTGTAATATGTACAAAAGCCGGATTTTTCATCGAAAATTTTTCGAGTGTTTTTGAGAGGGTTTTTTTGGTCAGGAAAGGTTCGCCGTGTCGTAGAAAAAATGGATATTTTCAAAGGTGGTAGTGTGGTCGTGTCGGAAAAGAGAGAAAATGAAGGATGCAAGATAGCCGTGTCAGACAAAAATGCAACGTAAGAAGTGATTAAGACCTGCGATTAGAGGGACCCGCGCGATGATGCAAAACTTGAACTCAGATGACGTGCAGAGACATATGCCGCTAGGGCAAGGGGAAAAAAGGGCTCGCAAGCAAGCACCATTTTTTCGGCCAAAGACCTCGGTCGGGCCTCTTTACCATCGACGCTGAGCATTCTGCATCATCGCCGGGGAAATCGACGAGGGAGGGCTGGTCATGGTCATCCCGGTGGTAGGGTTGATAATTGGGATGACCTTGCGAGTCCGGTTGGCGGCAGGCTGGTGGAAGTTGACATGATTGGGGTTGGCAGCGACACTGGCGTGGACAAAGGAGTTGGTCGAGGCGGGAGAAAGGGAGATCGACGGGGTGACCTGCTGCACGGGCTGGATCTGGTGCTGCAGAGGCGAGGTGTCGGGCGACCCGCTGGAGAGCGAGGAGCGGTCGGACGAAGCAGAGTGGATAGAGTGCAGCTGCAAGATCGAATGTCAATACGGCTCTGACCTGACAAGGGGGTATTGTGGTTCCTGTTTCTTGCTGCCGTTGCTGCTGCTACCGGCCCGCCGACGATCCTCAATGACAGGGAGCATTGTTTTGGTCGGGGTGACTGCGGTGAGGAGCGAACCACAGCAGAAGAGGCCATGGGAGGGAAAGTGGCAAGGGGACGGTCGCGAAAAGATTCGCTTATCTCAACGTACATCTTCATCGGTCAGAAGATTGGGGCAGAACTCCAAGTCATCATCAAGATCAAAGGAGCGACCGGCTTCGAATCTGGCCCGGAAGGCCGTCACCGCTGGGGCTTCCGCAAGTTCCCGCATGCTCTTGACACCACGGAATTGACGCTGGGCATTCTGCTGGGCCATTTTGGGGCCACGACGGGTACGGCCATGGTGGTTGTTGGAATGCATTTGGGTGGCATGCTGAGGGTGTTGGTGGTGATGTTGCTGTTGGTGGTGGTGGGTGTACAGGAAGGCAGACATGATGGATGATGATCTAGGGAGAATCCAGCACCCGAATAGAGACAAGAGGGAAAGTAGATTGGAAAATCGGACAGGAGGGAATACAAAAAAAAAGAGAGCAGGTCAGAATGTAGGCAGTTGGAAAATGGGTTGGAACGTAAAAACGGGAAAGTGGGAGAGGAAGTGGAAGAAGAAGAAGAAGCGTTCGAATTGGCGTGGAGGAGGAGAGAGTCTGTGGGAGGGAGGCGAGGGAAAAAAGAGGGGTGTTTTGGGGCTGAGAAGACTGCGGTATTGTCACGTTTGGTATGAGGTTCGAGACTGGTTGGTCCGAGTGTCGAGTCATACATAGGAAGGGGGTTATCTATGTATAATATACGGTATTGAACGGTCATGATCTCTTTTCTTCCCAGTGAACTCGCAGCGCTAGCGAAAGGTCACGCACCAACCAAACCCGCCCGAGCGCCGCTGGTGGCAAAGAAGCAACATCACTGCCAATCAGCCCATCGCGATGGAGCTTAACCGGCCCACTGCCAAATGCCGCTCCCCTGGGCGGTTACTCACTGGTCCGTGACGTCGTTGACAAACGCGAGACTAAGCCTATTTGGGGTTAGGAGGAGATCCAGCCGAACTTCGCTGCAGTACGGTATTTCTGCCTGAGTACGCAGGGGAGCATGTACAAAGGGACCGTACTCCGTACGGCACATAGTCGGTATGGCTACATATGACGATGAACGGCCTCTTGGTCATCACGATCTCGTCCTTCGCCCCTTCTTGGAGTCTCCATAACGTCCGTCATGATTCCGTACTCATCCCTCGATGGTAGGGCGACAATGATGATTGTTACAACGGTCCCATTTTGGAGCGAAAAAGAGCTCCACTCACACGACACTCAACGATGGAAGATCGCCGAATGAATTCCCCCCAGCCACAACCCCAACCGGAATGGGCATGCCATGCCCAATCCCCCCATTTCTTGACAGCGACACAGCCCGTGCTGCGACCGGCCTGTTGGCGGTCCTAGCATACGGCTGTCCCGACGACGAACTAAACAAACTATCGCTGGGGTTAACAAAGTTTGGCCTCGATCCTCGACTTCGCTCTTTCATCTTAGCCCGCCGTAGGCGATGCAGGACTGGGCAGCCGTCTAGGCACATTGTCCGTCCCTCTAGGGCCCGGCTGTGGCTGCTGATCGCTGATCGTCTGCCCTGCGTCCCCCCATATGGATTCCCCGATTCTGCGACCGACATGTCCTCTCGACGCAGAGACCACCTGGGGCAAAGCACTCTCGATCAGCCACGCCAGACCTCTTCCAGGATTGTGCAGGCTTGCATGGGCCCTCCTCGCCACCCCCTCTCATGATTGGCACACTGAGATCTGACGCTCCTTCGAGAGCGGCAGAGTGCATCATTACGGTTTGCGGGCTAGCTTCGAAGACAGAACAAGTCATTGGGGCGACTGTGGCCGACATCCGCACCATTGGAGCGGGGGTTTCATCGGGTCGGTGCCGTTGCGACTCAAACACAGAGTAGAGTCCTGTCTGCGTCGTGTACCTGGGTACATACCTCTGAGTCACCAGTACTCTACCCTCCGCCTTAAACTACCCAATATGACCCTCCTGGTTCCACCATTACCTGCAATCGGTATGCGGGTCCCAGTAGCTGGGCTTCCATTCCGTTCCTGGGCCTAGGATATTACCACTTCGTAGTCATTACATACATAGCATGGGTACTCCATACATAGAGAATCTCCGGGTTCTCTTGATCTAGGGCATAGGGCATTGTAAGCGCCCGCTGGAACATCTTTTTACCCTGGTCCACCTGTAATACGTCCTTGACGCTGGACAAGCCTCCTCGTGTTCAAGCTGCATTGATTCGTGTTCTTCTCTGGCCCCCCGTATCAACCCACGCAGCACCCGAGCCAACCGGCCGTCCCTGACTGCTTTTGGTGTCTGGTACCTGGTACCTGGTACCTTGGTAGTCAATGCTACAGTGCTAACCATAGTACTTCCGAGCCCTACACCGCTTCTTTCTGGAGGAGTCGCCCCTCAATCAATGCATCCCCACCATTAACATTGGGGCATAGGGCATGAAAAGTGGCCATTCTAAGTTCATCAGTGAATTGGTACCGTATATTTTGGTGATTCGATGGGACAGGAGAGGAGGCGTAGCGCCTGTGCTACGAAAGATAACCAGGTGCAGGCACCGTGGCTCGACGCTTGAACCATGCAGCTGACAGATCAACTTCCATGCCCCAATGCCTGCAGGAGATGCAATTGCTCCAAGCTTACCTTGTGATCGCGCGCTGCATGAAAGGATGAAAGACCTCGATTCAGTGAGGTGATCCCCCTGTCCAATGTCTGTCCCCCAACATTGCCACGCAAGACCATTTCGCGATGTGATCAGGATTGGTATGTACTCTTTTTCTCTTTAAATATATCTTACTTTAGCTAATCCTCTAACTCTATGTCCTCCTCTCTTTATTGGAGTAATCCTATAGACCCCCTTACCGATATCAAGCCAGATGTTAGCTCCTTTATAGTAGGGAGTTCATCTTATCAGCGAACTTAGTATCCTTTTTCCCCCTACTTACTTTCAGTAGGATAGCAGAATACTATTAACATCACATGGAGCCTGAACTACATATCGTCTAAGCGCCCACGTATTTCTTAACGCGTAAAAGATCCTTATACGAAAATTGTGGTCTTTTGTCTGTTCAGAAATCGAAAAGTTCCCTTTGCACTCTTGAGCTCTTTCTTTTTAACAGAGCTAACGTAATTCCCGGTCGAGCGGGCCATTCTATCAAAAATCGCGTCTTCCTACCATCTTACCTAATTCAACTACCTAACTACCATGCCACTAATTCGTGCTGAATCCTCGCATAAATCAGCCAATCAAGAGCGCAAGATTCTATTAGCCCTTTCTGATATCAAAAACGGCCGTATCAGACGTATTCGCGTAGCAGCGAAGCTATACGAAATATCGCACTTGACAGTGTAAGCGCGCGTAGACGGTCGAGTTTCACGCAAGGATACCCGCCTGAACGGTCATAAATTGACTTAATTCGAAGATAGTCGCTTACTGAGTGGATACTCTCTATAGATTTGCGTGAAGCAGCCCATAGACACTCTATTGTACGCGATACGGCCGATTTTCCTTTTGTGATGATTGTAGTCAGAATGAATGCGCTGGGTGTCTTAGAGAGGTTCTGAATGTACCTGAGGCTCGGCGGACAATTCGGGCGGCTGACTGAAATCGCTTTACAGCCTCAAACTGATGCCTGTTTTGGCTAGCCGCTGATAATAGAAGCGCGGAAATTTTATGCGAGTTAGAATACGTCCTTGTATTAGCGCAGGTCAAAGCGCACCATCTCAACACTGAACGATTGTGTTTCCTGTCTCACTCTCAAGACCTAGATCAGCTGCCAAGTTTCACTGAAGGCAAGTACCATGGACCTATAGCTCTCAAAAAATAGCGGAGAATTGATCTTTAATGGCCAATGCAAAATTGAAAAGTATAGAGAGGGGATTTGCGAGAGGACTGGCAACTTTACCCCATATGAGACGTGTTCTCTTCGCTGCAGGATCTATGACACTCTTAGCGCCATCGGTGGGTCTTTGGGAGGCTCTGCATGGTTCCGAGGTAAAGCGCACCTCTCCGTTAAGCTAGACTTCGCCGAGGCGTCATAGCGGTTCGGTAGTCGTGCGCCAGGAGGGCAGCCTAACATTGGAAGTGGCAATGGGCCACGATAGGCGGTGACGAAGCTCTCAGTTTCTCTCAGGAAGTGGATCAGTCTACATGTACATAATCACAGATATACTGTATGGTTGTCGTATCCTGTATATCGTTCGCGAAGTTGGATCCCAGATTAGGTGATATATATCACTCTAGGCGGAAGGCCGCTACTGTGACTAGAAATAGCTGCATAACTACGTAACCAGTGTGACTCAACAGGATATCCATGGCAAAGGCCAAAGAGATATGAACAGTATCAGTGCATGGGCTGAGCAAGCTATCGCTCGGAGGGCCTTCCTGATTCATTACCAGGATTGGGAATTAAAAAATGGAAAATCTTTTGATCCCCTCTCGTCTTCTCCAATATTACTTTCTGATGTTCAGGAAATTATCAAGGAAAAGCAAATTCAGCCCCAGGAGGGGGACATATTGATCCTTCGGACGGGCAAGTCTCGTGACAATACTTAGTGCAAGAGTATTGGTCATAGGATTTCCGGAAGTACCCTAATTCCGAATTGATTTATTTCCGTATTCGGGTCTGCCTATTCTGTGACTTGGAATATTCTCACATGACCATCCGGAGGGCTTGTCCAGCGAGAACTGTGAAGCGGTCTATACGTGGGCTAGGAACTACCTTGAAGCCGTCGGCAGGCTCGAAAACATCCCCGTGTGGCAGCATATACAGGTTTAATAGGTAACTAAATTTCCTAATGAAGCCCAAAGAGTCTGAGGATTGCACTGTCATGAGTTTTAGTCAATCTATAGCTGATCCACTATTCAGTGACAGAAGTTTTTAACAACGGCCGAGGGCCAGTGTATTCCAGTGTTTCACATCCTTGGCTCTCTATACATCATCAACATCTGCATGTACTTTATACTTTGGAGAACTTCAAATCGGATAGCCCTAGACCCCTTTTTCATAGGTATCATATCACCCAGATTCCACCGAAATAGAGACTATATCTAAATGAGTGTACAGTGAGTGGGTCTATAGCCACATATTCCTTCCATCCCATCACATTCCCTTTGTTCCTGCCCTCCTTCCTACACAGTAAACGATACAACAATGTGTCCAGGTTGAAGAGTTCAAGATGCAGACCAATGCTCATCCTCAATGGCTGAAGTGTCCACACCGATAGTGATGTACCCGATCAGACCCTTGGCAAGATCGTTTTCATCGACCGGCACGACTGAGACGACCGGGTTGTAACCATTCGCAGTGCCTTTCGAGAATTCCATATCAACGTCATTACGAGTGCGGTTGATCTGCGTATGGGAAGAGTAAGGCTCCACCCCCATGATCTTTTCTTCGAGCTTTTCGTCGAAATATAACTGCCCGGTGCTGACAGTATTCTCAAAGACCAGGGTTCCGTTTTCGCGGGTGGTCCAGTCGGTGTGGACTTGGACGTGGATATGGATAGCTCGCTCAACGTAGAATCCTAGTGATGTGAGCCAGTCAGCTGATGAAAACCCTTGCATTTGATGTTGCTCAAAGGGTGTTAAACAGACCAGGGAATATAGTCTTCATCTGCATCATTCCGTGGTCATCGGTTGGCCACATGCCCCGAAGCCAGGTTTCGGAGTCAGTATGTATATCAGTGCTGCCGACAACAAAGTCTGAAGCATTCAGGCCCTGCTCAGCAAGAAGTGCGGGGAAATTGGTATTGGGAGACAGTTTAGTGAAGCTGGAGTAGCTACCCGTCGCGTTGCAGTGCCAGAGATCGACCATCACGCCTTCCAAGGGACTGCACGTAGCCATGTCCATAACTCCAATATCCAGCCACAGAGGAATTCCAACTTGATCTTCTGTCATATCCTGACGAAGGAACTGAGACCGTGGCCAGTAGTAAGGACCGGCGGTTACCTCAGGGGACAAGACGCAGGTGTCATTCTGCAGCGCGTCATAATGAGGGGCCTGCGTCTGGATTTGCACAGTCGTATTACCACTATGGCCGAGGTTTCTTTTCCAACGTCTATCGTTGAATCGAGCAACATGCTGTGCGCACCGGCTGGAGAGCCTCGCTTTGTGAGCCATTTCAGCATTGGATGGAGCAGCGTGAGGACCTGGGTGGGCGCTGGCCGAGGAAGCCAAAACGGCTACTGCAAACAGAAAAAAGAAGCGCATTATTAGGGAAGCTCGTTGAAAGAATCTGAAAGAAAATTTGTTTAGTGCTATCTTAACATTTCAGCATCGTCTTATTGCTGGCCCTTTATACTTTTCCATGAATGTACCCCACTGAAATGAAAGACAGAGAAAAGTGAAAAAGAAGGGCAAGAGTTGATTCTTCCAGGTTCATTATGGATCAGCTTACGCAAACTTCACGAATTTTCCGAGCCTTGAACGGTCCAGTGGATATAGGTTGACGATAAGGATGGGCGGTGTCTTTCTAGGCACGAGCGATCTGTTGCCAATCAGTAGGCAGACGAAGCAAAGATCTCTAGCTTAGCGGCATTATTTTTGAGACATGAACATCCTGAGGAAAGTGAGGTGCGGTTCTTTTGGCTTGGCTATGCCGATCCATCTCTAAATCGGTATAATCAAGTTAGCAAATCTAGTGTCTCCAGATAAGTAAATCTTGGGCTATCTCCGGTACGGTAATTCCTCATCATTTACCGTTGAAATAATTCTATTGTAATGGATTCCAGCTCTAGCTAATACATGGGGTGACTTTTTAACATAACAAGCTCGTGGATCTGTGCTTCATAATAAGAATCTTAATATGTCTCTCTTATATACTTCCCTACATATTGCTAACCCAGAAAGCCATTCTAGGATAATATGTATCAGATGTTCTTTGTGGAACACTTCAACTTTTGGGGAGAATACGCCATTTTGTGTTTCCATCTTCAGCTCATGGCTCGCCCAGCTGGGTACATGTTGCAGAACATAGATCAATTGCGGACTGGTGCAGACTAGCCAGATGTAGGGACGACCTTAAAAGAGTAGTTCCTTCGCCCTGCTACTGCTAGTTGGGGGAGGAATTGCCAGGCACGTGGCTATCGTGAGTTTCTTTCCACTAGATCGATATCACTTACTAAAAATAGCATACACGATGAGCAAAAATTACGAAATGCAACGTCCAGCTAATGTCTTGAGGAGCCAGTCACGGATCCCACTCTTCTATAGGATTACTAGGTTTGTTTGCCCCCCGAGATCTTGGGGAGATGCTAGAACACTTTTCTCGGGTTTATCTTTACATTACTCAATACTCACGAAATACTTTAGCCTTTTGCCTCAACGGCAACCCGAAAACTTTCACGCCAATTTTTTGCACGACCTTCGGATTTATTACTTTATTACTCAATCGCTTAGTTGAGTTGCCGTTGGGGTTCGATATGAATAATTCGAATCATTCAATGTCGTCAAATGAGGCTTATTGGTTCCGAAAATATTGTGAATCCTTGGAATGTTTTATTTTTAGCCTCACTATGTCCCATATTTTGACTCGTACCATAATTTCTGATATCGCCAATCGATTGGTTCCCCACCGGTGCCGGGGAAAGAACGGCCCCACCACCTAAATGATGATCACAAGAACACGGTGGAAGGGGAATGGTGAATCTTCAAGTGAACTTTTCAAGGATCCCACTCACCACTATTAAGTCCTAAATTTAGCGAAGAGGATGCACAACTTGATGCTATTGCTGACCTGCGGCCTGGCCTGCCCGCCATCAAATCAAGGAAGGCGGATGTGCGCGTGGGGACTTTCATGCCATGGGACTTGATTCGTGGGTCAGTCAGCCAAAGCTGGCTACGGTACAAGTAGCTCGAAGCAGACAGGTTGAACAATAGTCTGACAGGCCAGAGCGAGTATATAATAGACGATGAGACATACAAGGTAACTCTTTTTACTCTTCATGTGTACGCGCCAGAGTCCTTTTCCTAAGTCATAAGCTTCCACAGTCGTCAATTCGCCTGCTCAGTCAAATCACCCACCATGTCTGCTACGACTACTACAACAGCAGCATTGGCGAGTTCCAGCTGCTCAGCAGAACTCTATGAGATACCTGTTCACAACGCCGCATGCGCCATGCCGATAGCGTACTCGAATTCCTCCGCGATCATGAAAAGTTGCTGCTCCTCAGCTTCTGTCATCACCTATAGCGACTGCGATTACTACTGCCTTGCAGTGGGTCAAACCGTGGGGGAGCTGGCGGAATGTCTTATCGCGGCCTCCGAAGCGGGCCAAGTTTGGTGCAATTCCAATGCAAATGCAACTGCAGCCAGCAAGTCAATCAGCTCCTCAACAGGAACCTCAATTGCCTCCAACACTGGAAGCTCTAAAACATCGGCTAGCAGCTCAGGATCTGTCCAGCATGCTAAATTGTCCATTGCTGCTCTTGGCGTGATTGGACTATTTTTATCTGGGTCGCTTTTGCAGTCAACTCTCATTTGAGAGATCAGGGTGATTATCTCCGTTGGTATTGTGGGATGGCATGAATTTAGTTACTGAATCCAATGTTTCGGTTTCCTTCGAAGGCTGAGACAGTGGATTTGATTTTTGCTATATTTTAGGAATTAGGAACTCACGTGCCGGATAACGAATACTGTACTCGCGATAGTACGTACTTCTGGCCGAACCTTCACCTCCACTATAGTTTTGACATGTTGTCTTCTGCATTCACGTAGATGCCCATATCTGCACTTGTAGATGTATAGGTTTTCATTGGCTCAAGGGACTTTCAAAAGCGTGATCATAATGTAATATCATTCTATAAATCGAAAGAGGGCGGTAAAATGCATAGACGCGGCCACCATAGATTTTGCAGTGAGCTAGGCAGCTCGAGGAGAAATATTTATTACACTTGCTCATAATCAACGGGCACGGAATTAGCAAGTGATATGTGGGGAGTGGTCTATATAACGTAGTATCAAAAAGAAGAGTCAAACTAGGTGGCTGGCACACATGCTTGAGTCACTATCCATCACGGGCCTTTCTAAAACAACCACACTAATAGAAAACATATTGTGCTAGGCGACCTGGAATCCCAAAGCTAGCCTCTATTGAAAATTCGACGACTGGATGAATTTCCGAGCACCTGCCTGTTTTGTGGTCTTGTAAAAATAGATGATAACCAACGCAGCAAGATCTGCTCTAGGTAGATTACGCGCTGTTTGAGTGGTAACCAAGGGCGGCCGACCCCCAAATCCATGTAAATAATGGGTCCTCAAAATGAGCTACGAGTAACGTAGGGTAATGCATTTGGGATTAGATGATTGCTTGCAAAAGTTATTTTGCGCGGCTGTTCAACCAGCTAGACCTGACATATAATCTTAAGGGCAGCTGTCCGAGGCAGTGGCTACCAAGTCTTAGACAGTGAGGCCTGTTTGCTCAACGGCAGGCTGTGCCATTGACTGACGTTGTTGCCAAGAACAGGCTATTCAGGGGTGGATTCCAGGGCACAGCAACTTTAAGGCATCAAAAACATGGATAGCAGCAGCGCTGTCAAATCACCTTGATCATGTTTTCCTTGCCCGAAGTAGGGTGAGAGGTATTCGCCTCAAAAGGATATGAACTTAAGCAGCCGGGGCGGGATCCGAGATTCCCGGCGACTCCCCGGTATTGGTCTGGGCTCAACCGGATTGTCTTGAACCGACATGCGATCGGTTTTGGGGGGAAAGTCCGATCTATCCATTCCTCTCGCCGCTCTTTCAGTCCCTCTGAGTATTCCATTCAAATTCACATAAAGCACCCTATAAGCAAGTAGGCGCTCAATAATCCTCGCGCTTCTCATCACCTGAAGATGTGGACAACCCCTCTCATAATTGATGGACAGGATGTCCTATTGCCCATGTCCCACAGACAAGGTACCGTGGTTGACGCAAATGGACAAGATACTGTCTTCTACCAGGGTGCAACTAAGGAGTTAGCTTTGCAAGCTGCAGATTCCTGTGCACAAGCATTTGCCGCATGGTCGAAAACGACCCCGATAGAGCGCCGGACCTTGCTCTTCAAATTGGCCGAGGTACGTATAACTGAACAAACATAAATGATCTTGAGGCTCTAGTAGTTGATTGGCAATTTCAGGTTCTGCGTGACCAAGCTGAGGAAATCAAGCTTGTATGTGATCGAGAGATCCATTGCGGCCTGCAGTGGGCAGACATAATCACCAATGACGCTATTGGACTGATTGAAGAGTACGGTGCTCTCACCACCAGTGTCTCCATTGGTTCAATGCCATTTGTGCGGACTGGCCATGGCCTAGTTTTCAAAGAACCACTTGGAGTAGTTCTTGGAATCGCCCCCTGGAACGCCCCCATAATTTTGGGCCTTCGTGCCGTTGTGGCTCCTATCGCAGCTGGCAATGTCGCAATTTTGAAGGCGAGTAGCTCCCTGATTTAGCAAAGATACACGGAAACACCATTGACTGAATAGAGTAGGGCTCCGAATTGAGTCCCCAGACCCACTATCTCCTCGCCTCGCTCTTCCGAAAAGCTGGCTTTCCCTCCGGCGTCCTAAACTTCCTTTTACATCGACCTGAAGATGCGTCCGAGATTTTCAATACCCTTATTAACCATTCCGCTGTCAAGAAATGCAATTTCACCGGATCCACCCATGTCGGGCGCATAATTGCCTCCCAAGCCGCCTTGGCTCTAAAGCCAGTATTGTTAGAGCTTGGTGGCAAGAACTTCACAGTAGTCCTCGATGATGCGGACTTAGATCTTGCAGCCGAGGAAATTACTAGAGGCGCCTTCCTCAATGTAAGGCATGGTACCAAAATTGATCCCCGTGGGAGCAGGAAAAGCTAAAAGTCATATCAGAACGGTCAGATTTGCATGTCAACCGACAAGGTCCTGGTTACCGCAACCGTGGCCCCAGTTCTCGAAGCCAAAATTCTGGCTATTTTGGACAGCATCAGAAGCATGCCGGTACTCATCTCCTCGGCAGCCAAGGCTAAGGTAGAGATGCTCATCTCCGATGCGCGTGACAAGGGTGCTCGGATTCATACGCCCCCAATAGTCAATCACAACGACACGTCAGATCAAAGCTTCCCTCCTACGGTGGTGACGGGTCTAACCCCCCAAATGAAGCTGTTTGAGATCGAGTCTTTTGGCCCAGTGGTGGGAATCGTGGTCGTGGAAACAGAAGAGCAGATTAAATCGATGATAAAGGAGGCTAAGTATGGACTGTCAAGCTCGATTATATCCCGGGATATATGCCGTTCGCTTGAGCTGGCCCAGTCGATCAAGGCAGGTGCAGTTCACATAAATTCTATGACCGTGCATGACGAGCCAACCCTGCCTCACGGAGGATATGGCGACAGTGGTTGGGGTCGATTTGGCGCTCACTGGGGGATGGAGGAGTTTGTCCAGACGAAAGTAGTCACCCTGCATCCGTAGGTCCCGCTGGAGTGGTAGCGTGGCTAGATCACCTTTTTGATGCGTTTCGAGAAGTACAGAGACGACAAAAAGTACTTCTCTGTTCAAGAGTTACGCAATTATCTGCTTTTCAAAACTTGGACCTGCTTTGAGTATCCAGAGGTGGCTATAATAGGGCAGCTAGCCCCTAACACGAGGAAAAAAGACCTTATTCACAGCTGAAAATCTTTTCCAAGTACCGCAGCCATGTTTTTTTTTTGGAAGGGTGATAGCTATTAGTACTCGCCTTATAGCTACATGCCCTCAAGAAATCCCAAGAATTCTCCACTGACGGCCTTGCTGTGTGCTGCCGCCCTGTATTTCTAAAGGACTGAGCATATCACTATTTGTACCATGAGAAATTTGAGGCCAATGATCTTTTTTTGGTAGATAAACAATTCATATTTCGTTGTATCAGCTCAGGATTTAGTAGCAGGCAATCGGAAAGTCGTCGGTCTAGCACGACTGCATCCACTGGCTTTCTTACAAATTCCTTGCCGTAGGCTCTAAATCCAAGTTCATTCTTTGCCTTCAAAAAGTCCCAAAGCCCACATGTGTGGACCAGGTCTAGGCGTCCATCCTTTATAGTTTGTCCCGTCCTGGTGAGGGGACGGAATTAAGTGAACATCAATGCTCCATACCACCTCCTCTTTCGGCCAATCATGATTTCGTGGAATACGAAAGAAAACCTCTTCTTGATCTGCAAGATCAATAGACAGTGCCAGCGTCTCTCTACGTTGGGTACTATTATTCACACTTGATGCGCTCGATCATGCTGCAGAACAACTCGAATCATCTGTGTTCTTTCATCTGCACTTCTCGGCATATCCCTCAGCTGAGATTTGCTTTAGGCAGCTGACGAAACTGGATTCGTCATCATAATCAGTCCTTTCTTTCTTTGTTAATTCAAGTGGGGTTTCTGGCAGGGCTAATGGCTATAGATCATGTTTTCGCATGAAGCCGCCGCGGCATTTCAGTTAAGATCTGCAATTTTAGCTTACTTTGAAATGAAATTCGAACAGATTGCAATGAGCTTACGACTATGGCCACGAAATAGCCCTATCTGGCTCTGCTAATGAGCGAGAGATTGGACGTGCACTACGGCCCAATCTCGAAATCCTTGCAAATAGCTGCTGAGCCTACAAGCAACTTCGAGTCCAGCTAGCTGCTTGGCATTTTCTTCTACCATTCATAAAAGAGATCTCCCCGCTGCTATTGACAGAGTATCTTTATGTTCTACTCTCAACTATCGTCCTCTTAAGAAACTTGTCCGCAGATGTTTCCAAGAATCACAATGGTTCGCATTTGCTATGCCCTTATTGTAGGCCTTGCAGGTCTTTTAAGCTTTGTTTCAGCTCATCCCGGAGACACTGTGAAGACTGAGGCGGCTACGAGAGCTGCGTACCTTCGCAATATCCCTGTTCGGTTACGCAGCCTTACTCACTGCACAGAAGAATTCAGAAAACGAGGCATTGATGATACAAACTTTGCTCGTCGCGAAGCGGCTGTGCGTCAATTGCGCAAGCAGAGAGGCCTAGACACTGGTAAGAACTCTCCTACAGTTCTATTTCGCAGACAGCACCCTGAATGGCGTCCTAGGTGCCGGTTATCTCAAGGCCCGTGACTTTAATTCTGTCCTGGAGACAGACCATCGCTCCAACCTGAAGAACGTTAAACCATCGACTGACCCCCGCATTTTGTTTTCATCGGGTGGCACTTGTATTGTGCAGCCGGAGGTTACACAGGGACCCTACTGTGAGTAGAAAAATTGGCCCATTTTGGTTCTTAATTAACATCGAGGAAGACATTGCTGGCGAACTGATACGCAGGAATGTCGCCGAGGATCAAGCCGGCGTGCCGCTATTCTTAGATATTCAGCTCATCGACACGAACACTTGCGATCCACTTCCTGGTATTTACACCGATATCTGGCATTGTAACTCTACCGTAAGCTGTCCACAGAACTGCTCCATATTCGCAGATTGACTTGCTTACCGGAATTTTCATAGGGTGTCTATTCTGGCGTCGTTGCCAGCGGTAATGGCAACGGCAATGACACTGCCAATCTGCAGACTACTTTTCTTCGTGGTGTCCAGCCTAGCGGTCACGATGGTGTTGTTGGATTTGAGACGATATTCCCTGGTCACTATACTGGCAGGACTACTCATATCCATGGTACGTCCTATCATGAGCGGATGAATTCACTATTATTTACCGTAAATTTGACATTTTCTCTGGCAGTCGTCACCCACCCAGCGAACGAGACCCAGATTTTCCCCAACGGCACACTTTCTGGCATGTATGATGGGAAATCCTCTCATGTTGGTCAGATCTTCTTCGATCAGGACCTCATCACTGAAGTAGAGAAATGTCATCCATACGCCGATAACACACAGGATTTGCTTAAGAACTCTGAGGACAGTATACTCGAGGCTGAAGCGGGGAACACCGATCCGGTCATGGAATATGTTTATCTTGGAAAATATGCCTCCGACGGCATTTTTGCATGGATCTCTATTGGCATCAATGCCAAAAGAGATGACGATCTCTCACCCGAGGGTTACTGGACTGAAGATGGCGGTGAAGTGAACGATAATTTCAGCATGGATATGGCTGGATTGGGTAGCATTGGCTCTATGTCGGCCACTTCTATTATTGCAAGTGCCACTGACTCGTCGTAGGTGACTGTGTTTAAACGCGAATCTGCATGCATACTCAAGACGCGGTATTCCACTACGTCCGTTAAGTTAGCTGGCGAGCACTCAATCTACCTTATATTTAATGTTTCATGTTTCAAAGTGTCGAGAGCAGATTGATGAAGATGTAAAATTATAGAAAGCTCTCGAGTATAAGGAAGTAAGAGCTTTTTGTGATAAACCCAGCTCTCATGACTCAGGTACTTTCCTCTGTTAGAATTATTACGCCACAACAATAGAGACAGTCACGCACCCGCTTATTAGAAATATGCAAAATCTGTTCTGCTTTTCTATTTGATCAACATCGTGTACATCTAACTCGTCATTTGCTTGATACTGTATCCCAATAACTTGAATTTACTACCCGGACTCTATTCATGAAGATTATTCCCATCAGGTGGTATCTTGCCTCTCTCATTTCTTATGCTATATCCTTCTGCTTCTACACACCAACCTACGTCCTTTTGATTCTTGTTGTATTTTTCATATGATTCCTTCCCGCACAAAGTTCTATTTGACATTTAGCCCACAATGGGCTTAGCTCGTCATACAAGTAGGACTGAGACCTCTCATATCTTGTCAAAATAGAAAGCAATATGGCGGCTACTGTAGTAGGCCTTCTTGAGTGAGCTCAACACGGAGGGGGACGGAGTTTACCCAAACCAGGAAGAGCACTGCTGCCGAGATAAGCAGAATCAATATCAGCAAGTCGCAGGATCGGTCGTCAAGATTGACAGTATATTAGTCAAATCAACTCGCGGATTTCGCGAAATACAGTTGTCCTTTTGAGGTGGAGAAAGATCATAGAGCTTTTGAGGTTACGTATTTCCCTTAGGGCGATTAATATCGGACAGCTTCTGTTTGGGTCTGCTGATATATTTGGTAACAGGAGTGCCCGCATAGCTATAGGAATACAATGGATTACTTGATGATTAGCGCACTGGAACTAAAATGGGAGAATGCCTAGAAGTATGAGACGTAAAACGAGAAACACCTTGCTTCGGTCATGGTAATTTATGTAGCATTCATGGCGACGGGGTCTGCTCTTGGACCTGTTCTCGCTGGTCTCATCGGAACGGGGACGGGCGATTAGCAGTGGTACTAGCCAACGGGTATTCGGAGGGGAAATTTGAGCAATTTTTCAGGGGATGGCGATACGCCAATGTGATTTATGTTTTTCTCTTAGCTGTGGTTAGATAGTACCACAAAGGCACTTCACTGGTTGCAAATCACCGCCTAGTTCCGTGGCAAGACTAAGAGGTAACCCGTTCCGCTCTCTCCCCGATCACTCCCCGACCACCCTGATGCAGATACATATCCACTCCGCGGACTTCTGATTGCCCTCTGACTGCCGGTAACAATCCATCCTCCACATCGGCCTAACTAAATGGTCTCTCCCTTAGAAAGGCCTTTCCTGGATGAAGTGGAACGAGCCCTGCAGCAGTAAAAGTAAGTGTGAATAATCGAGGGTTGAAACGCCTCACGCACGCGCACGGGGGTCATCTACGAGCACTAAGTATTGTCGGGATTAAAAGGTGGCTACTTTACCAGGAGGGACATATTCGTCGATTGTTAGATGACAGCGCGCGGCAGCTAGCAGTTCCAACTTTTCAGGTATGCCAGTACGACAGCCACAAGTCATGCTGGGATTAAAATGACTTCTTGTAGCAAATTACACCTGAACGACCGTGCTGTTGCTTTTGACAACCAGGAGGATGGGATGGAAATAGTGTTGATTTTGGTTGCCAAACTGCTTGAAGTTTCGAAATATCCTCAAAAATCCCTTTGGCTGACCTTACACGCCCGAAGTGGAAGTGGCAAAGTAAACTTAAACACAACACCAGATAGGATATCCTCGGAAACCTTTGAGAAACCGTCCATGCTGACCACCATTTTCCTGACGCTTTTGAGACTACGGAGTGCACTGAGTCTTACTACCAAATTTGTCCATAGGAGCAGGTCCAAGTAGAGCATTAGGTGGCGTCGCGGGGATATAGCGGGGAGGTCGGGAGCTGGAGCCATCTTATGGACTTCACCTGGCCCGTTTCGCCGTCGTGACTATTAACACGCGTTTTTCAGGTGGTGGATTTAGACCCCGGAAAGCCCGCCGCAAAGCACACACTCTCTCTATCTACCTCCTTCTTCTTTACTCCAACATTGCATTTCTTCTTCTCCTCTGATTTGGCAGCTGTACTCCAAGTTTTTACTTGTTCCCCAGCTCACATTTCATGGTGTTTTGCAAGAACATGGAACGAACATTATCACCGATCACCGCAATGATTAGCCCTCGGGTATGAAATCTAATAGTTATTTGAAGTATTGAGCGTTCTTTCTAACAAAGGGACTGCATAGGATTGGCCACTGTGGTGGCGGATAACCGTGCTGTTCAATGTCAGCGCGTACACCATGTTAGGGAACATGTTTGCTGCGGGCATCACGCCCCTCTTTGGCCTAATCATTAAGGATCTGGGAGTCAGCACTGTCAAAGTTTCAAAACTATCATCATATGCTGTCCTCGCTCTTGGACTTTCGGTAAGAGAAATTCTCATCCTTGATATGGCGCATCAATTCTTAGCTGAGATAGAACGTGTTTGCCGTTGTAGCATCTAAATACATTGGGAAACGATATACAATTCTCGCCTCACTCGCCGTGTTCACTGCCACCAATGTTTGGACCGTGTACACGACTACCTTTGATTCATTACTGGCGACAAGATTCGTTGGTGGCCTCTGTGGCGGAGTCATTGAAGCTCTCGGCCCCGAGATGATTGTGGAAACCTTTCATGAGAAACGCCTTGCTTCGGCCATGGTCGTTTATGTAGCTTTCATGGCTGCCGGATCTGCTCTTGGACCTGTTCTCGCTGGCCTCATCGGAACGGGGACGGGCAATTGGCAATGGTACTTCACCCTCCTGGCGGTTATTTCCGGGGTTATTATGCTGCTTTGCATTTTGATGCTACCTGAGACTACCACGAGCTCACTATCCGTCGGCTATTGCGACCAGTCTGAGGTACCAGCCTGTAAACATGATGCTGAAATTGCTGAGCATTCCGAAGTCATTCCAAACACACACCAAGAGGTTGTTCTTTGGGACGTATGGGTGTCGAGGTCCTTCAAGGTTCGAAACTCAGACTGGGATCGGGACCAAAATGCATTTCAGTATTTATACATGCCATTCTTGATGCTTTCTCAGCCCGCTGTTCTCGTCACCACTATTGTATTCGGCCTCACGATTGGATGGACCGTTGCTTGCTCTATTGTCTTTTCCAATGTCTTCCAAGCGCCACCCAGGTCGTGGAGTGCAAGAGCCGTCGGATTTTTCAATATTGCTCCGTTGGCTGGACTGATTGCCGGTCTCCCGATCGGCGGTATCTTGGCGGACCACCTATCAACTCGTTCTGCAAAGCGACATTTGGGAATCCATATCCCAGAAAGCCGACTCCTTTTAGTCACTATCGGCGGGGTTCTTAGCCCAGCTGGTGTCCTCATTATCGGCCTCACCATGAGCCACAACACTCATTGGATCGGACCAGCGATTGGATGGGGTTTACTGTCGCTTGGTCTAACTGCCTCTGCAAACATTCTTCTCACCTATGCGGTCGACGCTTATCCCTACAAGGCTGCACATACAGCGTTACTAGTGAATGTCATCAAAAACCTTCTGGCGTTCGGCGTCTCATTCCAGTCAATGGATTGGTACCTACGTGATGGTCCTCTGAAGCAGTTCGGTGCTATGGCAGGAGCTCTATGGGCAAGTTATTTGCTCGTGGTTCCATTATATTTCTTCGGGGCAAAGATTCGAGCTCGTTTCCAATCGTGAATAAAGGAGAAGCCTAAGAACTCTTTTCTTCCGTATAGGGGCATGGTTATCCATCTCGACTCGTTTGGCTTTCTACTGGTGCACCCATATTCCTTACAGTACTCAATCCAGGGCAGCATGGAAAGATAACGGCTATGGAGCCGGACAGGTCTCGGCGGGATATCAAGATCGCTTAAGAAATGGGACACGGTATCTGTATACATAATGGATACGAGGGTGTACAACCCGCTCTGTAATTGTGAAAAATTTCTCGGTATTAGTGGACCTGAACCATAGACTATTGTAACTTCAAATAGTTCAGAGTATTCTTCCTGGAAAGAATGGTAGAGAATGGAAATAACCGGAATTAGACTCAGACTCATGACTCTGACTCAGGCCATAAGAGAGAACACGGTCCTGACTACTGAGGTCGTCTTCTAAGTCAGAAACGTGCGTATGTGGCGGACTATAGGGAGGAGAAGGCCATAACCATTTGTCCGCAATTTAAGAATCGGCAGAATCTCATTTTCAGGCATTCTTTTCCCCATATAATCTATGTATATCCTATATACCCTTTGTTAAGTGCGATTTCCCGCACCGACACAATCGAAATCGATTCAGATTAAATAACTAATGACTTTCCTGGAGCTAAAATGTAGATATAATCCGTAATCTGTGATCTGATGTTAAAACCTCTTACGGCCTAACGTCTTTACCTAGTCCTATTGATTATTACGATCGTAATTAAGATAGAGGGGTAGTTTCCTAGACAGCTTCCTAGACAGCTTCCTAGATAGTTTCTAGACGGTTTTCTAGACGGTTTTCTAGACGGTTTTCTAGACGGTTTTCTAGACGGTTTTCTAGACGGTTTTCTAGACGGTTTTCTAGTTAATCTCTACGTTAATCTCCTAGCAATGTAGCAAGCATGAAACATATTTAGGGTGGAAGAAAAGCAGTGAATAGTCTTTGAAGAAATCCAGGGTTATGGCCTTCTCCCCCCTATAGTCCGCCGTAGTGCGTACTTGTGAGACCTACACATAATATGCAGGCAACGGGTTCCTGCAGTTTGTCCTGTTTGGCTGCTTGAAATGTAATATAAAAGGGCTTTGAGATCTTGAAAATGAGCTAGTTCTAAAGAGGTAATCATAATCTTCTATTCTACCAATCAACCGAACCCTCGCAATCATGGGGCGGCTTTTTCACCGTTCAAGACAACACAAGTAACAGTCTTCGTCCATCGTAGACTTATACAATATGTGGCTGAGCCCGCTTAGATACGTAGACTTAGACTAGAATTCAGCTTTGCCTGCGGTGAGCATTGGAGTGTGTCACTCTAAGACCCTCGTATTAAGGGTGGATGGTCCAACCTCTTTACCAGGAGCGAAGGTCCAGGCTGGACTAGAGCCTCTTGAACCGTGGGTGTCTAATGGACACCTACAGTAATCAAACCCGGCGGCGGCGGGGATAGCTAACACCTGATATCGATTCACAGGCTCCACAAGTCATGCTGCATTCACATAACTACGAAATACCCCTTTCCCGTATTATTCAGTTCTACTACCTCCTCTTGCATGACTTATACTTTTTTGCTTGTTATGTTCCTTCTCTCCTTCAAAGCCTTTGGAGATAACATGATGGCCTAGTTGATACTAAACCGATTTGGCTTCAGCCGTTCGCAGAAGGAAAGTACCAGGGCAAGACATTAACGTAGTAAGTTTTAAGGTTTTCACCCATGTATTTTGATTTCGTGTGCTGAGAATGGCGCCTGGGCCAGAAATTCAATACAAAAGACTGAGGAGAAGTACAGTGACGTTACAAAAGTTTTACAACACCTGCCCTGTCCACCGTGTAAAGTACGCCTTACGGCCTACTACATACGCGTAGCCAGAAAACACATGCCCGATAGGGTTTCAATATGGCCTACTAGGCCTACTAGGTGATTATTAGCTAGTTTTGTGGCAGGTTATCGATTTCATGGAGTGTTGGCGGAGGTTTTGCGACCGGCCACATTCTAGTACTTTATTTGTAGGTGTTGGCGGGGGTAGTCCAAAATTTTGTAACATCACTGCAGGTGGCGTCATAGACTACGGCTGCGCTTTTTGTCAAGACACGGAGCGGTAACCGCCTAGGTAGAAGTCATCTTAAACGACACCTTTCCTTTGTGTTTTGTATGCTTGTTTGGTGTCATTGGCAATAGGGCGTTCGCCATAGCGTATATTCTTACCATCTACGAACCTGCTCCTTGATATCCCCAATCGATCTTTGCCTTCCGAAGATCAATCTGCTTGTTTTTCGCCTCTTTACCCATCCGTCTAAGAGGATCACTAGTTCATAGTGCCTCGGCTTCCTAAGTCACCTTGAGAAAGTCTGTAAGCTTGGTAGCTTTTGTTAACCCTCGGATACCGGTCCGATATTACACAGGCTGGATTCTTTTGAGTAGGAACCCAACCCATCAGTTCTAGAGCGTTAGAGACCCCATACCTCCTAAATCTGGAGCAAGAGCAGGATTGGGGCTAAGCGCCACACCGAACTGAACCTTGAGACTTCATGAGATTTGCCACATAGTTTGAAGTCCCGAGTTCTTAACCTCCTTTTCATAAGGAATTATTGTTCTCAATTTATCTACCTTTCACACATTTCCGACTTTGTCCTTTTGTTCGCCCTGGTTCACACGCCACCAAACATCTCCGTAAGATGAGAGGGCAAGGCCTTGTCGTCCTCTTTTGGGGTCTAGGGGGTCTAGCCGCCGGAGTAGTCGCCTTGCGCGTTTTCGCCAAGGCGAAGATCGGTCATTTAAGGGTGGACGATATAGTCATGATATTAGCCTGGGTAGGTAGGCTGCGGCCGATGTGCTTCACTTCCAATTCATCCTTGACTCAATCTCACTGTTCTCGCTAGAGTTTAGCCATTACCGCCTCCTCCCTGTTTACGATTGCTGTGCATTATGGTTACGGGCAAGATATGCAGGTACTTCTCTTGGAAAATTCTACCCTTGCAGTCAAATACTATATAATCACTCAGGCGTGTGTCATTGGCAGCACTGCTACAGCCCGTGTGGCCTTTATCATTTATCTGCTGGCCATACTAGGGAGCGAGAAGAAACATAGCATCATCTTGTCGACCCTCGCAGCTCTGGAGGTGGTTGTTAACGCTGTTTCTATCATCCTGATATTTACCAGCTGTAAGAACGTGCGGACGATCTGGGACAAAGCCATCAACAGTGAATGTGGGCCTCCTCATCGTCAGATACGGTATGGCTATTTCCAGAGCGGTATGCCATCTCCTCCATTTTCAATCATATCATGTTTATCGCCACTATTTTTCTCCATCTCGTACACTTTCCCTGGATAATGTACCGCTTCATTACCAAACTCGGCTGACTGCCCCTGGATGAATAGCCTTCAACAGTGCCGTCGATCTTTACCTCGTCGCAGTCCCGACATGTATCTTTTGGAGGCTTAATCTTCGGCTCAGGATAAAGATTAGTCTTGTTGTGTTGATAGGTCTTGGGCTACTGTAGGTACATCCTGTCATTGGCACTGTTCGCCATTGAAACAATAAATCTGATCATACCAAATCGCTTCAGGGGAACGGCGGCTTCTTTAGTCAAAATTGTGACTCTTAAAGAAATTGCTAGCGTTAACATTACTGGGGCGACTGCCAGCCTAATATGCTGGGGTCTTGTTGAAAGTTACATAGTGATTATTACTGCGTCCTTACCGTGTCTGCGGTCACTGGTTATCTCGACCATCCATGACATGGCGACCAGCTTCCGTTCCAGGTTTACGAGCCGCAATTATCGCCCACGAGGGAACCAAATGACTAGCTGGTGGGTCAATTCTGTTTCGCGGAATCAAGGTCCTGACAGTGAGAGCTCTGATCATGTACTCGCAAGTCACGTACCCGCCGACAAGCACCAGAATAGTGGGGTTTCCGGAACGAGTGATATTGAAAGGCACTTGTAGCCACTGCCGTCGAATCCGACCATGGCGATAGCAGGGCAAACATAATGGGACTATTTGTCATACAAAAATTATGTACTGTCAAATGAGCAAGAATGACAGTGCTGGAAGGTGTGGTAGGATGAACATCTGTTGTGATGAGAGGCTGTTGCTGCTTAGGAATGAAGCCGCAACATCGGCAATTAATTCCTGCTTAATGTATAAGAAGAACCAAGTTGATTAGAAACCAAGTTGGACTTCATGTTGTCATGTACTTCCTCAAGGAGAAAAATTAAGCTTCCTTTCATACTACAACAACACATAAGGAAAACCACGGACTCCCTGCACTCACTCTCTCCCCTCCGCGTCATCCATTGTCGTTGTCTCCTCTCTATTTGCGCTACCGTTTTCAATGTTACGTCCAGCGTCTATTGCCTATCCGATTTCCACGCGGGAATAAGCTTCACTGCCCCTGTATCTGCATTGGGGGAAACATGTTGAAATATGCACTCTGTGTCAGTACGCGATCTTAATTGAAGGTGTACAAGAAATCACTCATTTTCGAAAGAAGCATCAGATCACGAAAAGCCATGGTGACTGCACTGACCAGATCCCTAAGCCTGAGCCCGCGCTGACAATTGCTCAGTGAGCCTGAGCCTGATCGCCCTCATAAAAGCGGCGGCAGCCCAGACAGGAAAGCCCCACCCGGCGGACAAAATCCTGTGTATATAGCCGCATATACTCGCCTAGCTAGAGAATAATCATCACACTTGTACTTCATTCAGGGTTTCAATTCGCGAGGGGTCGGGGTATATGAAATTGCAGCTAAAGCTATTGTGTAATTGACGTTCTAAAAATACAGGTTGCAGCACGAACTTATCGCCAGTGCAGGTTACTGACAGCGTGATAGCGCATCTGGATGCATCTAGGGATCGAGGTGTTTTCCCCTGTCTGGTCCAGAATGTACAGTACTGAATCACAGTTTGGTCAAATCCGAGTATACCCATGTGCAGACGACGATCCAAATCGAGGAGTCAGATCCGGACCTGGGAGATTGGGCGGGTTGTCAAATTCGAGGCTTTTTCGGCGTAGAACCAGGCGTCCGTCCCCGTCAGAACTCATCAATTGAACCTTATAGTTCTCCGCTTCCACTTCCATACTAATAGCAGTTACCAACCTATCCCCCTCTTGCTTCTCCAATCCATGGTACAAGGGTGCCAAAGCCGATGACTTCCATAGAGGCATTCTGGCTGTTCGATTCACAACCATTGTTGCTATGAAGAAAAGAGACCCAGCAAGGACGAGGCAGCCGGGTAGAATCATCCACTCCCATTTAACCTTCACAAAGACTTCGCTACTGTGTGCGGTGCCGCTGAAAGTTCGGTTTGTCTTTTCCAGTTGTAGCTTCGTCAATGAAGCGGCAACGTTGGACATGATTTTCTCCAAGCCAAGATGGTCAATGCGACTGATGAAAGGGTCCTCAAATGAATACTCACTCCGGAACGATCCATTGCGATAAGAATAGGTTTGTTTATCTGAAGCCGGGAGAAAGCCATAGTCGCCTTGCGAGATGAAGTGTAAGGAGGAATTGAACCAGGGCACACAATATGCGAAACCCGCTTTTGATTTGTTATCAGGGATCCAGCAAGATGTGAAATCGTAATCAGTTGGTACGTAGGTGAACACCGAAGAGGGATCAGTAAAATTATGACGCCGCTCGTTATATCTCATGCCAAACTCGGGGTCTCCGGTCTGTATTGAAGCTTGGCCATTGCTCGTAGAGACATTGTAGTTGCGCAAACAATCTCCTAGGCCACACATAGTCAATTTTTTGATAGAAATGACGTTGGAATTGACCAGTGAAGGGTGGAGTGGTGTCGAAAAATTGACTTTGGCATGACCGTATGCTGCTATTGGGGAACGCATCCCACCAAAGGTAACATTGGGAGCCAGAGATGTATTCCTGCCCACATTCTCATTGTCATAGACTCTCCAGAGAATTGAATATGGGAGGTTAAAATCGACTTGGGCAAAGTCATCTAGAAACGTGGTGGTGACAGAGAAAGTGTAAGCAGCACCATCAGGTATCTTGATTTGACAAGTCATGTTGGAAGAAGAGTTTAGGCTTGGCGGGTTGCAATCTAGCACAGCAGAAGACGTCATATCAGAGCATTGACTGCAAATACCGGCCGAGGTGAACTCTTCCCACGTACAATTACCCGATGAGCATACCGGTGCAACTTCAAACCCATCATTCGACCAAAGGCCCTGCCCCCAGGCGGCTGCGAAGTCATCTGACAGGCTCCACATACTTTGCGCAGCCTGCTCGAGTGTGAAGGTTTTTAAAACTGCAGGGGACACCAAGGCTCCATGTAGTTGTTTTGCAGCCGCTTTGCCATCAGTAATATTGACCGCCAATACAGGATAGCTGATGACTTGTTGCATAAACGGCTCAAATGCGAGAAGAATAACAATGACTGCCGCGCCAAGGCAGACGAGCGACTTTGCTTGATGGGATACGATGATACTAATCGATCCTAGCGGCCCTCTGCTGGCATTGTCGAACTCCTGCATGCCAGACAGCCTTTGCTGCCTCGGACCTCGAAAATGGAGCCACTTCAACTGACACACAGCTTCTCCGACCACTAGAAATAGCGCGGACTTGCAGCCTGTGGCGAGGACCGAGATAATTGCGTTGAGTGATAGGCTGTATGCCAGCTGGGGTCGCACTTTGTTCTCATATACTTTGAGTAGAGTGCAGATAGCGACGAAGCAAACAACGCTAAATGCCCATGCCAAAATTTCGAATCGCCATGTATCAAGCCAAAAGCGTTTCCAATTCTTCGTAGTGCCAAGTGTCGGTTTTTTCAATGATGAGTCGCGTGTATCACCTTGGGTCGTATCGGTCAACGAAGTCATTTCGGTTTCGGTATTCATGGTACGCGACAAGTGCTTTCGGATTCTTCAAAAATAATAAATTGGGAAGGCACAAGTGTCAAGGATCTTGAACATGGGGATATTAACATTGAACAGACGTAAAAGATTTAGTATCATGATATTTTGGTGAATGTTGGAAGTAAATCGGGAGATATTTTCCTTCAGCATTGGGAATGGTGCCTTAAGACATTTAAGCCGTCTAGCGCCCCGGAAATATGCAGGGATGCCAACTTGGCGACGAGAAAAGAGCCGCATAAGTCCCCTGCAATGCGGATGGGGGCCTAAGTGCACCGAAGCCAACGATTCTGTAAAGATTAGGGAAAAGATCAACAAGGCGCTGATGTATGTGTTCAGCTGGAAAAAGCAAACACCCCCAGGAATAGATTCATTATGGAGTACTCCGTAAACAAGAAATGAATCGAGATGAAGGGAGGATCCCGCTGGTTCCGAATATCTGCTTCCGAGTACAGTCGCTTTAGTACCCAAACATGTGCAGTGGAGCACTGAGAGCTCCATTCTGTGTTGGGGATCTGATATAACTCGGGCGGGTGTGAATAGGTCTCGGCTCTTGTGAACCAGAGGCCAAGGTTGTTCCCGAGATCCACTCTTGTCGGGCGTCTCCGCGAATCCTAACTCACTACAATGATACGGTGAAAGCATGAACCTCATCACGCCCAATCACAACACTTTATACTCTATTTTTGCACACAGCACTCGATCTGTCCAGGGGGTCTTGATTCGACATTCTTGACCATGGTTTATTCACAAGCGCCACTAGGATTGACAGGATTGTCCAACTCACCAAACGAACTCCCCGAGCTAGGGTTGTCCTGTAGGAGGAGGTCCGCCAGCGTAATTCTAGCCCTTCGAAATAGCCGAATGATGTGATGGGTGTGCAGACCTTAATACTATGACTTGGCTACAGGGGACTGACATAGCATCCGCATATGATACCCGAGGCGACATTGCGTGGTGAAGAACCCCCGCAGGAGAGAGGAAGGGAAATTGATAATGAGACTCCAACCCACCTATCATAGTAACTTGGGGGCTAGACCATGCATGTGAGTGATGAATGCAGTTAGTCCTTCCAGATACGCTTGAGGATGATATCACACCGGAGTTTGTGTGCTTGTTTGCTATGCGATCCGTGACCTGGCGTACTGACGCCTCATCCTCCATGAGCTATCAGTGAATAGATCCCCAGGCTGCCGCATGTCGTGTCACTTCTCGGTCTCTTATAAGAGAGCCTTCCGGAGCCCTTTTCTCTCTCACTTTCCTTTCCTTCTCTAAACGCCAAGAAGACTTTCACACTATCATTGTATCGGTAGGTGGACATTACTAATAATCCAGGAGATGCGCACATCGAGGTTTTAATTCTAATTTTATAGCTCTAATGGCTACTGCTATTCACACCCAAGTACCCATGGCCATGTGTCAACAGCCGTGTATTCTCATCCCTACTGCAGATATAGAATGTCTTGAACAATTGACATTTATAGATGTTTATAGTGGACCCATTAGGATCTGACTCTGCATGACATAAACCCCACCATCCTAGGGAGTCCCTGATAGCTGTATTTCCCAGAAGTGATATCTTACACAATATTCAATCCCGTTGCTAGCTTAATGTCAGGAACCTTGACAGATTGCTAACAATCGCCAGACTGGTATTTAATTATCTCCATGTTGGGCTTCCCTGGCTTCTCTATTGAGGTCCAGGTTTCAATGCCCACTACTGGGCAGGAATAAAGATGATGGTTCGACCCATCGCAGATGTGAACCGTGTTCGATGCCAAAGTCGCTAGAATTAAAAAGCTCATAATCCAAAACCAACGCCATTTATAGAAAAAAATCATGCACATCGTAGTAACCACTGTCAGCAAACCAAATGTCGCCCCGGGAAGGTATATATCATGTCCACACAGACATCACTTATCCAAGTTCTTGCTCTTCACCATGCGTCCAATCAGTTCCTTGCAGTGTTTCTCACTGTACTGCTCCCACACTTCATATAAGGAAAGAAGCTCCTGGGTGCATTCGATGACGGCCTTGATGTCAATTTCGCTCTCTGCCAGCCACTGTACGAGCTTTTGGATGCGAGGGGGGCCAGAGCCAGGTCTATCGGACAATGCGGCTAGCATGCCCAGGCCTCCACCGTCTCTCATCGCTCCAGCCAACGCCGACTGTGCCGAGTTGCCAAAGTTACCTGAGTGAGAAGGCTTAAAGACCACGGCGACAATGATGGCCATGATCGCAATGATATGTGGCGGGTGGAGTAGGGGTAGGTCTGTTAGGTAGTGGTCGTTGATAACAGACCACGCTAGGGCGACCTCGTCCGAGCTGAGGGGTAACTCGCTTTGTAGCTCCGACAAGGTCCGATATGGATGATGTACGATGAGCTGGGAGCTCATCTCGGAGATCAAGGCGAATTCGCATTCACCCAGCTTGGCTACATCTGGTGTGATGAATTCTGCGATGATGATTTAATTGGACATGTTTTTCTGTTTTTGAAAATGGTTGTGTAGAGCATACCAGGATATAAACCACGGGCCTCGCCCACTACAAAACGGATGTGCTGAGGGCATTCTTCCATTTTACAAGCCAGGTAGAATGCCGTGGTGAGAACCAAATAAGGATTGGTCTGGCGAATCTCATTCTTGGTGTAGAACCGTTTCAGATATACCTGGGCGGTAGCAATGGCCTGTTGGCGGGTGGACATGCGCTTGCCGAGTTTGATGAGTTCTAGAGCGAGTCAGTGAACCAGCTCTGGACTCAACAGAGAGCCCATACTCACGCTGATTGAAGTAAATGTTCAATAACCGCTGGTCTGGTAATGGAAACTGGGAATGTGTGACCTTATCTCGTTCTCGAAGTCTTTCCCGAACTTCGGCCAATTTCTCCCGAGTGAAAAGCCAGTGACGACGCTGGGTCGAGGCCCAGTAGTTGGCAGCCATAGTAGAAGAACTATGGAAGGAGTAGAAATGAATAACACGCAATTCACCCGCAATGAAGCGGGCTGTATAGATCGGACCTCGGACTTCGCAGTTCGATAAGGCCAGCAGGATGGGCCCAAAGAGGTTAGTAGGGCCCAGCCCTGGTCCCGTGCCCGCCCGGCGATGATGGCGTCAAGCATTCTCCAGCAATCCCAGCAATGACCGGCCGCGCATTATTCATTGATCCTTGAGATCGATCTTAACCCCACACGTTAAGGCTCACTCTTCACTTGGATGCTCCCGACCTCAGATCTTCAGACTCCGCCCCTTTGGGAGTCCTTTTCACTTTCCTTCTCCTGCCTTCAATCCAAAACCCTGGTCATGCTCCCTTGAATAATGCCGGGTGCTCGATAACAATTTTCCTTCGAACATGGCGCCCGGCGAGTCCAAAGATGAGCGCGACGAACGAGTCGCTCGGCTCTGGGAATCCCTGGACGCGCGCAAAGAGGGTCATATCGACTTGACTGGTCTAAAGAAAGGCCTTAAAAAGATCGACCACCGTGAGTGTTTATCCCCGTCTCTGATCGGGTCTCGTGCCGGAAGCTCCCGACTGACGCGGTCGCATTTACTAGCTCTGAAAAATGCCGATGAGATGCTGCGCAACATCCTGCATGATGTCGATACCAACGGTGATGGCCAGATAGACTACAATGGTGAGCACCAAGAGCTTTGATTCCCCTTGCCACTCCCAAATGGACGGCGCATCTGTGATCTGAGCTCAGTCCCCCCTAACCTGCTTCCCCTCAGAGTTCCGAACGTTCATCGAGCACACCGAGTCCGGGTTATGGCAGATGTTCCAAGCCATCGATCGCAACCATAATGGGGAAATAGATAAAACAGAGCTACGAAGCGCCTTTGCACAGTCCGGCGTCACCGTATCGAGCGCGAAGCTTGATAATTTCTTTGCCGAGATGGACAAAAACAATGACGGGGTATTATCTTACGCGGAATGGAGGTTCGTTGAACACCTGCCCTTGATCCGGTGCTTGCTTGGACTTGATAACCATAGTGAGCCGGAGCCCAAGTGAACGAAATCCAGCTGACTCGATACCTCACTTCTTGTGTCGCTTCAGGGACTTCCTTCTTTTCCTACCGCTACATTCCACGTCCGACCTACGCGCCGTTTTGTCATACTACACGGCGACGGGCAATCTAAACCCGGAAGGAGATGTCCACATCAATGATCTGCAGGGTTTAGGTACAGACCACATATTTCTTAATCGTTCTCTTTTGGCCCTCCAGCGCCTCTTGTACAATATCCTCTCTTTGCCTGCGCTGGCCTCTCTCCTTCCTTCAGCCCTCGCGCAAACCATCACCAGCCCGGCTACAACGTCGACCACTGCTTTCGGGAGTGAATATACCTCGTTAGACGGTGACTTTGAGCTGGAGTGGCTGCCCATCCCCAAGACTGTCGCCATGTGGATGTCCTTCCGCTATTATGAACGCAAGTTGACCGAGAATACCCCTCAACTAGGCTATTTTATTGCGGGCGGTATCGCAGGCGTCATCTCGAGGACGGCCACTGCCCCTCTTGACCGCCTCAAAGTCTATCTCATCGCCCAGACGGGGACAAAACACACGGCGATTCGTGCGGCGAAGGACGGCGCTCCCTTGGCGGCGGCAGGCAAAGCATCGAAATCCTTGGCAGTTGCGCTGCAGGAGCTTTGGCGGGCTGGCGGTATCCGAAGCTTGTTTGCCGGTTCGTCTCTCCAATCTAGCTAACTCACTCACGGTATCATTCATCTGACGGATTCATAGGCAACGGGTTGAATGTCTTGAAGGTGATGCCAGAGTCTGCGATCAAGTTTGGAGCTTACGAGGTGAGCTAATCATTGGTGATACTTTGTGTTATCTCGTTTCTGACTTTTGGATACAGTCGGCCAAACAAGCACTCGCTCGGTTCGAAGGACATAACGACCCCAAACAACTTCGGCCCACATCACAGTTCTTATCGGGTGGTATTGGTGGGATGGTAGCCCAGTATGCTATCCTTTTTCCCGGACTACGACTCAATGAAAATTTACCTGACTGAACCCGCAGATGCTTCGTTTATCCTCTTGACACATTGAAATTGTGAGTTGAGCATGCTACACGGCCTTTTTTCTTAATTACCCAATTACTGACAATTAATCCAGCCGGATGCAGTGCTCAACTGTCGAAGGCGGCTTGAGAGGAAACAAGCTCATCATAGCCACGGCCAAGAAAGTGGTAAACGCCAATGGGATCTTTGGTTTCTTCCGTGGCCTGCCACTTGGCCTCATTGGAATGTTTCCATACGCGGCGATTGACCTGACCACTTTCGAATACCTAAAACGAGCCCTCGTCTCTCGCCAAGCTTGCATCGATCATTGTCACGAGGATGACGTGACTCTGAACAACTTCTGGACCGGAACTATTGGTGCTATCAGCGGCGGTTTTAGTGCCTCGGTCGTCTACCCTCTCAACGTGATGCGGACTAGGCTTCAAGCTCAGGGCACCGTCCTCCACCCAACAACCTACTCCAGCATCACCGACGTCGCCCGCAAAACTCTCCAGACCGAAGGACCGCGCGGGTTCTATAAGGGTCTCACCCCCAACCTTCTTAAGGTGGCACCGGCCGTGTCCATCAGCTACGTGGTCTACGAGAACTCGAAGCGGATGCTCGGCTTGAAATAAACGTGAGACCCTTGTACCAACCCGCGAAAGCTACCTTCGCCTTCACCTTCATCTCTTTTCTTCCACCTCCCGCCGCCCGTGACCTGTTAAACCTTTTCGATTTTCATTGTCCCTTTTAGAGCCATTTCCAGCCCAAGATACCCGCAAAATAGGTCACTAAATAATGGTACAGCTTGTTTCTGTTCCAAATTGGTTATACTTTATCCTCAGCTCAAATATGTGGCACAAATCACGGCCACATCACTTGCATCCAGTTCTGGCTTCACCTCGTTTGCGTTGCATTTTTCTCATTTGTGAGACATCTTCCACTTGACAGGTGCTTTGCTACAGAGCCAAACTGGGGAGTTCACCACACTCCCACACAATACGTTCAAACATAAGCATGGCAAGGCGTCGAGGCATGTGAATATTTCCATGCATTATCACTGGGTCTTTTCTTCGTTTATTTCTTTTCTTTTTCCTGTGAATATTGTGAAATACTACATTTCTTTCCTGGACATCCTGCCGACTAGATACAGTCTTGAGGGTGTTAGAGATGTTGGATAGAGGCTATATGACGGTATATTCAATTTAATTTGCATTTCACATAGTCTCCATATTCAATAAATGTGCAATACCAGAGATCAAATGCTTGCATTGAAAACTCCTATCCAGAGATTGGACTTTATATTATTTAGTCGCCCACCTTCTCACTTCGCAGCCTGTACGGCCTTCACCTCCTCATCCTTGGGCAGAACATTCGGCAGCGGTCCCACGGGGGTAATCGCAAACTGATTGATCTGCTTATGAGACTTGGTATAGTGCTTCTTAATATGCTCAAAGTCCGTCGTATCCTTGAACGCAGGCAAATCCCAGTACAGCCCACGCACCCAGCGGTGAATAGCCGGGAACCCAGACCGAATATCACGGATATTGCACTTGAAGTGCTGCACGTACACCGGGTCAAACCGGATGATCGTCGTGAACAGCCGGATATCAGCCTCGGTGACGGTTTCGCCGAAGAAGTAGGGCGAGACAGAAGCCTGCTTGGCGAGGTGTGCTTCGATCTTGTCCAGAGAGGAGAAGAGGGTTGCTACGGCTTTCTCGTAGGCTTCTTGGGTGGTTGCGAAACCGGACTTGTAGACGCCGTTGTTGACGTCGTTGTAGATCCATTCGTTGGAGGTGTCGATTTCGGAGCGGAGGGCCGAGGGGTACAAGTCGATTTTCTTGTATTCCTCCGGTAGGATGTCGTCGAATTCGTAGTAGAACATGCGAATGATTTCCGCGCTCTGGAAGGGGGCTTGTTAGATGGGGGAAACACACTTGGGAGGTTTGATCCGTAGGGAGATCTTACCTCGTTGCTGACGATCCGGCCGGTCTTCTTGTCGAAGAGGACAGGGACGGTGAAGCGACCAGTGTAGTCAGGGTTGTTGGAGAAGTAGATATCACGCAGGTGGGCAAAGTCCTTGTGCAGCGGGTCGGGAATGGTGTTCTCGCCCGGTAGGTTCTCGTCGGAAGTGGCGAAGCGCCATCCTAGATTGACAATTAGCATGCAATTGAATCGGGACTAATACTGGTAATGGACTGAAGAACGAACCCTTCTCTCCAAGGTGCCAGTGCACGGACGAGAAACTGATTATATCCTCCAAACCCTTAAGTTTACGGGTGATCAGAGTGCGATGAGCTAGAAGACATTAGTGTCTCTTCCCAAGATTTCCGATAGCAATTGGCTCACAAACATACCCCAAGGACAGGCGTAAGAGACATAGAGATGGTAGCGGCCTTTCTCAGGCGGGAACTCTGCGCCAGGCTCGCGGGAGATGAAGCTGCGGAAAACAGACTGCTGACGTTTGAACTCGCCAGACGTGTCGTTGGGGTTGACCCAGTCGGTGATTTTAGCCGAGTTGCCGGTCTACACGCGATAAAGTGAGTTAGACTAGGAAATTCAATAGTAAAGCATCTGGCATAAGTCATCATTGCTTACCGCCATTTTTCGTGATGATCCTGCGGAGAAGGACGTTCGAACTCTAGAAGCGGCAAAGAACCCCGCACGAAGAGCTGGTCGTGGAAGAGTGAGTATTGCTGGTGAACGCAATAACGTCAATAGCATCAGCGGGAGACAGCCGACTTTATAGATCTCGCCGAGAAGAATACGAGATCAAGCCAAAGAAGATTTTATGAAAAAAAAAAAAGGGAAAAAAGGAAGCTGACGGGCTTTCCAACTGCGGGGGAAGCCCTGCAATGACGAGATGCTTACTCATCTCCTTACCGAAGCGGGTCCTGTCAGCGTTGACAAAGCATTTACTCAGGCGTTTCCAACCATAATCTCAAGTTTGGCAGCGGTTACTCAATTTTACTTAAGCTAATAAACCACTCAAAAGTTAGGCGTGAGCCAAAGGAAGCAATTGGAATTTCAAGACTGGAGTTCTAGCATCGCATCGAGCTGGTTCGTTGGTAATCATCATGAATGTGTTGCCTCTTCCCTGCCCCGAAGAGACTGCTACCACGAGGGGCTTTTTTCTAATGTAACAGTCTCAACGAGTCCTTTATTTACTTGCTCATCTTGACCATCACGTACGGGATCTCCACATCTTCCTCGGTCTGGTCCTCGGCGGTCACCTCGAAGATGATATTCTTCTGGTGCTCGGGCACGGGCTTCTTGCTGACGTGCTCGACGAGCTTGCTCATCCTGTGTAGAGTTAGCACGCTGTAAAATAGATGGCAATCACGAATTGAAATGGTAATACTCACTGCAGAGGGAGGCGGTCCTTGACTTTGGAAGGAGGGTAGAAGCTGGCATACAGCAAGCTGACACCAGAGCTGACCATGGTGATGTCCAGGCCGCGATCGGCAAAGTAGTCGAGGAACGCTTGAAGGGGGATGTCGTCCACCTCGAAGCGGTCCCAGAGGCGATCAATGGTGACCTCACCCTGTTTGCCCTGGTACTTGCCCTTGGGACTGGCGATGGGCTCACTGAAGCCAAAGAACGGCAGCGCAAGGTTGATGAAGCCATTCTTGTACTGCTCAATGTCATCCTTGCCATCGACAACCTTGAAGAGCTCCAAGGCAACGAGACCAGTCACGAGAGCCGTGACAGTGGCAATGGCGGGGATGATCTTTCCAGCAATGAACTTCGTCTTGTGACGGTCCGCCTGGGGGATCTCGTAATTATCGGCACGCAAGTTGCTCGCCGCAGTAATGAAATCGATATGATAGTTGGTGTCATCGTCCTTCTCGAACTCGACAGGTTGCAGACGGAAACCGGCCAGTGACTTGGGCGAAGGGAGAAGAGCAACGAGCTTCTGAATCTCATCGTTGTCGTTGCTAGCTCCAGCAGGTTGGGCGTTCGGATCAGGCTCGTTGTCGTCGGCCTGGATCTTCACGTTCGAGCTAGGAGTGAACTCGGGGATGATCATATCGTCCACCACCTTACGGTAATACTCCTTCTCGGCACCAGGGTTCTTGATACCATAGTTGAAGGCGTGGAGGTTTGCACCAGCAATCACGAATCCGAGATGGGTGGGGTTGGAGCTATCGAACTTGAGAGGAGTAGGTGCACGCTTAGGACCAGACCAGAAAGGCTGGCCAGTAGAGGTCTTTGAGTCCTTGGGGAAGTTGTAAAGAAGTTGCTGGATAGCATTGTTGTACTGAGCCTCGAACTGTTGGCGGGCCCAGACGATGCAGTCATCGAATGTCAGGGGCTTCTCGGTGACCAGGAAGTCACGGAGGTGCTCCAAGGTCTGCTTCTCATTACCAGCCTGTTTGAGGGTCTGGTCAATGTAGTCGGGTTGCGAGAGGTACATGTTGACCGATTCGGGGGGACCGACAAAGTAGGTCTGGAAGAGGTCGCGTGCCCAAGCAATAGTGTGCTCAATGCGGTTGGGGAAACTCTTCAGTGTGCACATAGGGAACGACTTCTCAGGAGGATCCTGAGAGCTAGAGTAAGACTCGGTGATGAATGGTAGGATCACTTGAGTGTTGCCCTTGGTACCAAGAGTACCACTGTATGAAGTTAGCAAGTATTACACCTTTTCGAGATGGATTGATATACCTTTCAAGAAGCGGCTTGCGGAAGAAGACACAACGGCGGTCCACATACGTGCGGGCATCAACGTTGTCCAGAGCATTGGTCACACCGTCAAGTTCATTCCAGAACTCCTCATTAAAGATGTGCTCGGTGTCCGCGCCGACGCGGTCACGGAGAGTCACAATCTTACCGTTTAAATCGGGGTTCATAATTTGGACTGCAGCAGAGGCACACTCGCTCTTGAGGCGACCAACGTCCTTGGGCCGGAAAAGGAACTGCCGGTTCAGGTTGCTCTTCTCGATCTGATCCATGTCCGTGACGAAGATCTTGCCCTTAGGACCAGTACCCAGACCCATCATGGCCCAGTTCTTCAGGGTCTCACAACCAATGGCACCCGAACCGACTAGGAATTGAGTGACATTGGAAAGCTTCTCCTGGTACTCTTTACCAAAGACTGCAATCTGGCCATCGTAACGGGAACCAGTGGGCTTGCAGCTCTCCTCGGAGCGGGTGGTCGAAGTGGGCAGAGACTCCAAAGAATCAAAGTACATCCACTGGTGCACAGGGCTAAACTTTCCAGAGACGGCCTTGAGAACTTCCTGAGCAGCGATTCCTCCGAAGAAGGCGGCCAAGGGGTTCAGGTCACCTTGAGCCTGGTAACTTAGCTCCTTAATAATCTTCTCATCCAGTTCAATCTTCTCCTCTCCCACCGCGGCAAGCTCATTGGCGATCTTCAGGACCTCCTGAGCATCGCTGTCGTTGTGCGGGCGGGGGAATTGACGGTCATTGGTCTCCGCAAATTTGTGGAGAGCCTGGATACCGATGTGGAGCTGCTGGGGTCGGTCAAACTTGGCGAAATCAGAGACAAGAAGCTCTGGCTTCTTGATCTGTTCCGACAGAGGCTGGAAATCAACAAATTTGGGCATTTTCACTTGCTGGTAGAGACCACCACCCTGGTAGGAGCCAAGACCGGAGACGTCCCCAATGCTAAAAGTATATGGGCCCTTGACAGTGATCTTGCGAGGAGCGCTGTTGTTCAGTCCATCCATGCCCTTGACCTCAGTGAAAGTCACAAAGTCGCCATCCTCCAGGCCGTGCCGAGTCTCATCCAAGGCGGACACCAGACCGTCCTCATCGATATCGGCAATAATGCCGCCAACAGGCTCTTCACCAGTAGGATCGCCGACCGTGAAGTTCTTACCGAAGTCGTTGAAAATGTAACCGAACAGACCGAAAGTATCCGTAATCGTGATATAGATGCCGTTTTTGTGGCAGAAGTCCGCAATCGCCAGCTGCTCCTTCAGTGGCGTCTGGGTCAAGACCACTGCTTGATAGCGCTTCAGCTGTTCCAAGTCTCCAGCAAGGTTGTCGCCCTCGTGGATTGTCACGGGAACGTAGGAATTGAGCTCGGCGACTCGTGGGGCGGTGACTTCGGCGCGGGGCTTGCCGACATCTTGAGCTTGGAGGAAGAACTGGGAGGAGAGATCTGCGATGGCAACCGGTGCGGGATCATAAAGAGTGAGGGACTTGACACCCGCGAGAGCAATATTCTTGGCTATAGAGTTGGAAAGAGATATGTTAATTAGATGCCCGCGGGGTTGCCACTCATGTTACCCAAGTATAGCGTGACCTGTCGTTATTGCTTACCGATTTCCACACCCAGGCCCTTGAGGCCAACGACGAGAACATTCGAAGAGCCCATGCGCTTCATGGCCTCGTGGCCAAGCACATACCTTGGAAGAAGCGGTTAGATACGGTGGTTCCATTGCATATAGTCCGGAAAGAGGCAGGTCCGGGGAGTCTTACAGTTGCCGGCTGTACAGGGACTCATCGATCTCGCCCTGCTTGATCAACTCCACGGTCTCTTGGGGGTTCTCGACCTGCATCGTAACGTCCTGATAGAGAAGCTGCATTAGTGTACATCCGACACTTTGGGGTCTCCGGCTAAGGGGATCATGTCATACCGTCATGGTCTTCTTTTGAGGCCGAGCGGCGGTGTCGTCTTCAGACGCTCTGCGCTTTGACGGCTTAGCCGATTCACGAACAGTAAGATCGGAAGGAATGGTGAGAATCAGGAGGTGAAAGTCTTGCCCAGTGAGCAAGACCTTCGACTAGTGCGGGTAAAACAAGTTGCAACTCGAAGCGTACCAGGTACCTATCTTTAACCAGACAGGGCAGGGGCAAGAGTTGATGTAGATAGCGCAGTTATAGGAGAAGAAGGTAGGAGGTAGAGCTATACAAAATAAAGCAAGACGGTTTGATTGCAGAAAGGAAGAGAGGCAAGGGAGAAACAGCTGTTGAACGAAGCGGGACGGTTCATCGACGTAAGAGGGACAAGCTGTGGATGACTAATCGGCGCGTCGGGCACCCCGCGACTCGGAGAACATTCGCAGATGTTCGGTTGATGGGCAATTCGGTGCTTTACAACTTGTTCGTGGCTGTCTCTTTTGCTATTGGCTATGATGATGGCTGTGGTCTGGGCTTGCTGAATGACCCGGACTCATAACGGTACTTTCCTCACGGTCAAATCGCCCAGTTGCATCATCATCTCCTCCGCGCCCAAGCCTCGAGTCCGCCCGTCTCTCACATGTGTCGATTCGAGCTTCTAGGACGTGGCTTACTATACTGGCACAAGCAAAACTCCGAAGAGGACAGCATCCAATCTGCTAGGTAGGCTAGACAATACCCCAGGGCTCCGTATGTGAAAATTGAAGCTAACAGTTTATCTTCGTGATCGCGACAGAGCGCCTAGGCCAAGATGCTCCACGAGATCCTCCTCTCGCTCTCCGGCCAGCCATCCCCCCTCTTCAGCCCGTCGCAAGGGAAAGATGCGCTCGCTCAAGATGATCTATTCCTTCTCGCACCTCCGGAAAAAGCACTCCTCCGATCTATTGCCCATCTAAGCCAACTGCACGCGCAGCTCCGAGCCCATACCTCTCAGATATCGTCCGCGCATCGGTCCGTGATCTGTCGCTCAGTGTCCACCGCTATAGTTACAAATCATTTGGGCAATTTTCAGAAGAAAGTCCTCGAGGTGGAGAAAGCAATTCTGGCGGAAGACAGCGGGTATGTTGGCGGGTATGGTATCGTCCCGCTATCCACCATCGTGGGCGAATTCACGCCGTGGACGCGGCGCATGGAGTGGCTGTGGGAGGTTGTCAAGTTCATAAAGCCCGGAAACAAAGTTCAAGATTCACGCCATGGCTGTACCGGGGCGGCACTTATAAATCACTTGCGCACCGAGTCCCAAACCGGATATCTGGACGTCAAAGAAATGGCCGTACAGCTAGCGACTGCAGCGGAGACAGCATGGATGAAGCAGTTATCCATGTGGATATTATATGGGAATTTGCCCATATACGGCAAAGACGACTTTTTCATCCAAGAAGATTCCGATCCTGAAGAAGACGATGCTCAATTCAGCATGCACATGGAATTGCTCCCAAGCTTCGTGTCAGCACAAACAGCAGGATCGATTCTTTTCATTGGAAAATCACTCAATCATGTCCGTGCAAAGAAGAAGATTCCGGGAGGGATTTCCACTGCCCCAGTGACTCTTTATCGAGAACATATACAACATCTTGCCGGGCTCAAGTCGCCACTCTCATCCACTCAGCTTTCCACGGCCGTGGACTGGATACGCCTGTCCCTATCGCAGTCAACGCTATCTAAACTGCTGCCTCTTCCAAGAATTCTAGAAATGCTGACACTACTCCACGATTTCCTTCTTTTGGGACGAGGCGAATTTGCCGTGGCGTTAGTTTCCCATGCGGACTCCCGCATTGGGGAGAGCCGAAGAAGAGGTGCCCTCGCTCGGGCTCACTCTGGAGGTCTAGCGGGTCTCCTCATCAAGGAAGGCGATGTGATGACGGCCCTGGCCCAGGCATGGGCTGAGCTGTTCTCTCTCCAAAAAGAAGAAGATCCAGCGGATGAGGAGCTAGAGCTTGCGCGAGAGCTTCTTCGCTTGTCAATCAGCGACAACAAATCTGGCCGTCCCATGACCCCATCGCAACGCTCGACTACGATCCCGGAGATCTCGAGAGTCTCGTTTGATGATATTCTCTTCCCTACAACCACATGCCTCACAGCCCAGGTCCGCGCGCCCCTGGATCTCTTCCTGTCAAGTTCCGATATTGCCGTTTACTCCAAAATACACTCTTATCTGTTGGGCATCCGACGTGCTCAGATCCGTCTTGGCGATCTATGGAAAAGAACGTCCCTCCGGAGGAATCATCCTTCGCCTTGGGGGCCACCGCGCAGTAACAGTGCTTTTGGCCAGAACAAGTTGAAAGAGGGTCGCGAGAGGGACAATGCCCGCATTCGACAAATGCGTCCAATCTGGGCCACTGCAAGTGCGTGCCTGTTTGTACTTTCGGAGATTGGCAGCTTCTTTCAGGGAGAAGTTGTTCACGAGTCCTGGCAGCATCTGCGAGAGTGGATTGAAGGGCCGTCTCTTTCAACGGGTTCAGCGCCTGGCTCTCGACCAGGGACGGCATCATCCTCAAAACAGCAGCGTCAATCCCGTGCAGCGTCTCCAGACCGCGGTTCTAGTCAACCCACCTCTAACACCGGTCCTCCATCTATGGGACGGCACGATCCTGAAGCATTGACCGTTGCCCACCGCCGCCATCTTTCCACTCTGGTTCAATCGCTGTTCCTCACAGAGACAGAATTTACCAGCGTCCTCCGTATCCTTCTCACAAGCGTCGACCGCTTCGTGGCTCTTGTGATCCGCCTCGAAACTATTCAACGCAACATGGACCTAGAGACGGACGAAGGCGTCGTCGATGCCTTGGTGGACTACGCGCAAGAAGAGCGCGAAGTCTGGCAAGACTTGCGCAGCACGTGCGACGACGTGAATGCTGGCATGACAGACCTCGTTTCGAGTCTCCGCGATATCGACGACCACCGATCGGGCGAGGGCCTAGGCCCTGCCACGCAGTTCGGCATGGGCCAGGCCTGGCCGGGAACCCGTGCAGAGGGGAGCACAGGCCCCGGGTTCCACCACTACGTGCCGCGCCAACCGGCGGGTGTGGACCGACTGTTGATGAAGCTCGACTTTGGGAGCCTCCGTGGAGCTACGTTGTCACCTGGTCTGGCGGACCTGGAATTTGGACGTAGGTGATCAGAGTGAGGACTTCGCTTCTGGATTCATAATTTTGCCATTCTTACGATTCTTATGACTATTGAGCATGGGAAATACCATTTGCTATTCTGGGGGGGATCTGGCGGATTAGGCGTTACAACAGAGAGAAAAAAGGACATCAGCGGGAAGTCTTGCGGGGCAATTGACTTCGATGCATCCGCGGATGCAAGATAGAAGACAGGATCATGCGTACCTTTGAGAACCATTCATCCGTTCTTCCAGACATCCTCGTAACCTTCGGCCGAGGGTCGCCTCTGTCGCTGGTTCTACAATAGTACTACAGAGCGGCTCACGATAAACACATTTAGAATTACACCGTGTCACTGCCTTTCGCAATAATAACGTCTCTTTTCACGAAGCACTGGCTATCGATGATCCATTCAGACATGCGACTACGTGACCCTTCCATACGTGACTAGGAGACCCATAATTGTCCCAAGTGTCCAGCTGACCAGGCGCGCAATCTGACAGCGCAGCGCATTAGAGATTGCCTTGAAAATTTACTCGATCTGACGATCCTTGTCAGATGTTTCAGGGTCGAGCTACTGCCGTGAAAAAATCAAACGAACTCTGACCTAAAAAGGAGCTCCGGGCTGGTCGATAATGTTACATATTCATTATAAAATGGGGCGTGGCATTTGCGGGTCCAACGCCTGCTGGCGGTTTCGGGCGGTGGCGGAAGCTTATTGTAAGGAAGACGAGAGTCTGGGGTACGACCTATCATGGATTGCGTATACTATTCTGTCTCACTAGTTTCTCAACCAAGATCGGTCAATTGTACGCAAAGGAATGCCAATTCGTCTCTCAGTAGAACTCAATTGAGCGAAGTGAAGCACTTGGAGCCTCTATGCCGAACAATCCTGATCCCTTGGCAGTATAAGGCCGTGTCAGCCCAGGATTGCCTCTTTCGGACATCCCGGAGGTGTACTGCAGGGGCTGGCTTTCACCTCTTTCCTGCTTCTCCACCCTGTCCACCTTGAAAGTGCTGAACCGCTGAGTCTCCTGTTTCCAGTGGGACTTTCTGTATGCTTATCCACGACATCCAAACTTTCCAGCCACTGTCCCCTCACCTAAAAATATCCAGAGCCTATTTCGGGCACCGTGTCGTGGAGCCTTTGGGCAGCCCTCCCACAGATGGAGCCATCCCCAATGCTCGGCAATCCCTAATCTATACATGGAGATGCCGAAGATCATCGGTAGCCACTTTACCCAGAATCACAAGCTTGAAGCAAGTCGAGATATGATTTCAACAAGATATCATTGCCGCTAGGGAACAGGGACACATTCCACGATATATCTTGATATCCCGATATCCCGAGCCTCCACTTGGCTGGACTTTGGATCCTAGAGGACCAAGATATCAAAAGTCATCGAGTCTGCCTACTTGAACCCGCCACACGGCTACAATCCCGGCGCCTCCATGCTCGGTCCCTCGACAAGGATAACCGGTGCGAGCAAAGGAGTCTTAGAAGACCCGCTGCAGATCGGCCATGCATACTTGGGGGACCCGCCTAGGTGGGCCATTACATCGAGGTGTTCGAAGAATTTCCGCCTTCGGCAATCAAATAGAGGTCACGATGTTTGCTGTTTGGGTCAGGTAGTGCGTGTCCGCACTCTACCCTGCTTGATTTGTTCCACCGTAACCCCACAGTTCTATACTTGTGGTTTATTGTATCAACTGCGGGTACATTATCGGCACGTCCCCCCACCCCATCGTGTAGCTTGGAGCTGGAGTGGCAAAGAGCTAGATCCGTGGTTGCTCCCGTCGATTTGTCTGGATCTTAACTCATGGTGAAAGCAACCTGGCAAAAACCACCGAGGGGTCACGCGGGGACTGATATTTTTTAGCAATTTCATTTTTCTCAAAAATCTTTATCGTCGGCTCACATCTCCCTTGATTTCAGCCTGCGCTTTCGGTAGACTCTGCCAAGTAGTACCGTTCCGGACCTTCCTAGACATATAAACCCTCTTCCCCGAGAACAATAGGAAATGAGTTGACACGATAGTCCACCAAATCGGGGTTGAAAATCTGTATCCTTCGTGTTCAGTTACATCGTGCCCTGCTCTATAAAAACACCCGGCAACCTGACCCCGACTCGACAATTACAGATTCTTTGCACAAAGCTACCCCTATATTCCCTTTTAATTTCTCACACACGTCATGTCTGTCGGCATCTCGAGAGTTTTCATTCCCGCTCGTGCTCGATTTGCGAGCGCCGCAGCTGCTGCCCCTAAGCTGCTCGCCTCTTCTTCAACCCGACTCTACTCCAGCACCAAGAGCGCCTTCAACCCACACGATATCCACAATATCTCCCACAACCCCGATCACATCCAGTCCAAACTCCCGTCGAAGAAGCAATTGCGCAATGCTAACCGATTCCGCGAGTTTGACATGGAGGGCCGCGTCTATGTAATCACTGGTGGCGGCCGTGGATTGGGTCTAGCGATGGGCGAAGCTCTGATCGAAGCTGGCGCAAAGGGTATATTCCATTCAATCGCTGCATAGTTCATCTCAATCGTGTACAAAAACTAATACCAACTACAGTCTACGCCCTAGACCGTCTCGAGACACCTCATCCGGACTTCCTCAAGGCCCAAAACAAAGCCGAGGATTACGGCGGCTACCTGGACTACATCAAAATCGACGTCCGCAACAACACCGAAGTCAACAATACCTTCGCAACAATTGCCGCCAAAGAGAAACGTCTGGACGGGCTCATTGCTGCCGCGGGAATCAACCACCTCCAGTCCGCTCTCGAACACTCCCAACAAGCCCTCGACGACGTAATGACCATCAACTACAACGGTGTCTTCAACTCCGCCACCGCGGCAGCCCGCCAAATGTTCAACTACCAGCAAAAGGGCTCCATCCTACTCGTTGCATCGATGAGCGGCCTCATCGCTAACAAGGGTATGACTTCGCCCGTTTACAATTCCTCCAAGGCAGCTGTTATCCAGCTCGCTCGCTCGCTGGCGATGGAGTGGGGTCGTCACGGTATTCGCGTGAACAGTCTTTGCCCAGGACATATCATTACGCCAATGGTTGAGGATGTCTTCCAGCAGAACCCGGCGGCGCGGGCTACGTGGGAGGCGGAGAATATGCTTGGTCGTTTGGCTATGCCGGAGGAGTTCCGTGGCTCGGCGCTGTTTTGTCTTTCGGATGCGAGCAGCTTTATGACTGGTAGCACGTTGATTATTGATGGTGGCCATACTGCTTGGTGAGCGGGCTGGCTATCTGGAGATATAAGCATCATTTTGACTACAGAACGTGGAGGCAAGGTGGTTACGGTGGGTGTGGGATGCACGAGATAATTCGAAGACGCTGAGGGAGACTCGTGCAAATGGGACAATGTTTCCATTTTCTGTAAATAATTTTCACTGGGTTTACCTCCATGCAGCCAGCAGCTGAACTTGGAACCCCGGTGCAAGGCATTTTTGCTTTGCAGCATGTACTCTCTCGGCTTCGGGCGATTAGCCCAGACCTGGAGGCGTGCATGTGGAGCAAGCCACTAATAACGACAACCTGGAAAATTGGCATTGACGTTGACGAGAGTATAGTGAGGAATTGCAATAATTAATGGCTCTTCAGGCCGTTCCTTCCGATTCTGAGCTTTAGACCTACTATTTACTTCACTGACAGGATATCACATTGGACAAGTATTCTTCTAGTGTATGTAGCCGGTATGTGTGGCTCTACAATATGATAGTATCATTTGAATATCGCTAAAACTCAATAGATGTAACCCCCCAACATGACAGTCATTGATCTAAATCCACGCTTCAAATAATATAAACAAGCCGGCGATCACCAGTATGATGCTCTAGATCATCTCTTCGCCCACCACCCATAAGCTCGTCTCTTTCCTCGCCAGAATGATGAGCAGGTCCCGCTTGATCAACAGCCTGGTACATGGTATCCACAGTCCTGCGGTTGGCTCGTTGCAAGAGAAGTCGAAGACCAAACGCCAAGATTGCAACGAGAACCATGAAGAAGGAGCACGTTGCCATGCCGCGGATATACCAAGGCCCGTCGGTTTCGGGGTACAGTCTCGTACCCAGGAGGGGGCCACACTGACCGATGATGTTCAGAATAGCAATGCTGGCGCCTTTACCTTCCTTCTCGACACGGTTGTCCATCGACCAGGTAATGATCAGTGTAATGGCGGAAAAGAATCCAGCTGTGGCTGGGTAGACGCAGATGTACCGGATAAAGGTGTGTAGCTGGGTGGATAGGTGCGCTTGGAAGTAGCCCGTTGCGGCAATGGCAAAGTATGCGAGGGAGGAAATGAGCGCGTGGGCAATGAGGTAAGGGCTGCGGCTGCGACTGCGGTCCGAGGCCCATGCCGTGGCTAGGACGACAACGAAGGCGACCAAGTATGGGGGTGCGGAGAGAGCCTGGGCGTTAAGAGTGGAGTAGCCCATACTTGTGGACGATTAGCGCTTGGCAAAGTCGAATTTGGAGGTTGGATTTACTCACTCTTTGATAATAGTCGGTAGAAATACCGGCATCGAGCTAAAAGCCACATTACAACTGAAGAACATGAGCTGCAAATAGGTTAGAAGACCATTCTCAAAGATTGTGCATAAGGAAGTAGACCCACAGCTGCCATGTATGCCTTAGGATCAGCAGCCGTCTTCAAAATCTCCCTCCAATTGAAGCTTGTCGTGGAAGACTGCTGGAAGTCAGACTGCCCATCTTCCATGCGAAGCCGAGCGACCACCCTCTGCCGACGAGTAAGGAATCGAGCACGACCCGGAGAGTCCGGAATGAGGACCCAGGCAAATACAGCAACGATCACACTAGGGAATCCTTCGACAAGGAAAAGGGCACGCCACGGAGAAATAGGGCCATCGCTACTAGTCTTGACAATGAACCAGGCCAAGCTACTAGCAAAGGAAGTTGCTAACGGCGCAGCTGAAATGAAGAGTCCATTTCGGAAAGCAAGTTCATCGCGCCGGTAGAATAGCGACAGGTAGAACGGGACACCAGGGCCAAAAGCTGCTTCGGCAATGCCGAGCAGCGCGCGTAGAATGACAAGACCTTCAAAGGAGGTTGCCAGAGCCTGGAACGAGGCCACCAGACCCCAGCTGAACACACACAGAGCAATGTAGATATGCGGAGGTACCAGGCGGTACATCAGGGTCATCCATTCGAAGAGGATGTACGTGATATAGAACGCGGTGAGTAGCCACTCGTATTGGTTGGACGAAAGCTGGAGGTCGTCCTGTAGCCCTGCAATTTTGGCATTCCCGATATCTGCATGAATCCGTTAGTATGATCAACCAATGAGATTCAATCTCTCGATGCTTACTCGAACGGTCCAAGAATGCAAGCAAGTAGAGAAGCGCCAAAAACGGGACCAGCCTCCTGTCAAAGACCTTCACTACCTCCCTCTCCTCTTCCAGTGTGAATTTCGGCCTCACCTGCGCCCTGCGATTCTTCCCTTCCAGCTCCCCCGCAGAATCGTATCCATTGTGCTCCTCGATATCAGACACAGACCCGCCCGCGTCCATCCCATCCTCGAAAGTGGTTTGTAGGCGTAGGTTTCCAACGGGCGAGTTCACCGGCTTCGACACCGAATATTCCTCCTCAGAACCATTGGAAACAGGCGTAAAACGAGGGTTCGACAAGCCGGAATCGGAGGAAGAAGCGTTCCCCGCGGCGGACGGGGGCAGATAGAGACCGGCCATGCCGTTTAGGGAGCGATTCACGGCAGCTGAGGCGCAAATAAACGCGTCGATCACTGTTGCGGCGTCCTATGAGCCGTTCTCTAGACCGAATATATCCATTCGAACGGAATATGGGTCCCTTCTTCAGCTGATGCGGCGGCCACCGACTTTCTGCAGATGACTTGATCGGCGGACATGTTGGATTAGGTAACCAGGGGCACGTGGGGGATACCAATAGGGTTAAGCGGCGATCATCGCGAACTACAAAGTATGAACCATCTAACTACAGGCGGGTGCGGAATAGATTGATAACAAACTTGAGATAGAGCTAAGCTATCGATCATATTTGACAAATGAAAAAAACACGCAGACAATGAAGTGTGTCGCTAGATTGTGACATATCCCGTAGTTCTACATCATCCCTTCCGGAAAGAACAAAGAAAGTGTCGTAGATCGTACCGTCGTGAGTCGTCAACTTCGTAATCAACGAGCGCCCTCCAGCCGATGCATCACTGCACAAGCCAAAGTGTATCCAGGTGGACCTGTTCATCAGATGGACTTAGTGCTCGCGGCGGCGACGGTCACGGCTGTCGTCCCGGCCGTGGTGGTGGCGGCGGCGGTCCTCGTCGTCGCTGTCTCGGTCGTACCGGTCACGACGGTCACGACGGTCGTCGTAATCATCGTCCGGCTCGTAGCGGTCGCGCCGGCTCTCGTAGTTGGGACGGTATGAGTCCCGGGGCCGCTTGCTGTGGCGACCAGATCCACGTCGCTGCCACCTCCAGTGAGGTCCGACAGGACGCGAGTCCTCATCTTCGGAGACCTCGAAGACGCGCTTCCGACCACCGGCGAGATGCTCAGCATGCTTGGCGCTGATTTCGACCATCTTCTCGACCTCGGGCATCAGCGGGTGCGACTCGTGGCCGTGAGCCTTCATGTGCCGGCAAAGATTCTCGGCAGTGTCCCGCAGGAAACGGACATTGTTGAACTTGTCAGTTTCTTTGTTGGAAATGCCCGACTTGTCCGCGTCACTGTAGTAGGCGCTGGCCTTGGCTTCCTGGTACACTCGAATGAGGTTGTCCAGGGCGGACTCCTGCTGGATGAGACCTTCATTGGCGGTGGTCTCGGCCGGCCCGGCGACCAATTCGAGTTGGTCAGGGTTGGCGAAAGCTAGATGGTGTTAGAATCCGCGGGAAATCAGAGTAATCTCATAGGGAGTATGGGAAACTCACCTGCATCGATAAGCGCCCCAGCTTCCAGGTGGGCAAAGACGAGGGCCTTTTTCTCGGCGTAGGTGTCCACCGACTTGGCCATCAGGTACTCCTCGAGGAAGAACTCGAGGAGCCCGATGTTTTGGAGCTGGTGCTCCTCGTGCCACATATCGACGAGCACCTTGTCGAAGATGGTCATCTCGCCACGCTCCTCTTCGTCAGAGCGTTCAGTGGAGATAAACTTGTACTGACGCTCGATCATGTTGTACAAGGTGCGGGCTTTGCTCTCGTCATTGAGGATCTCGACGAGGACATTGCTGGGTTCGGTGACCTCAGCCCAAGCGTAGTGCATCGCACCGACAAGGCCAGGAAAGGACATGATGGTGGGGAGGGGAACGGGGGGTAACCAGAGTGTAGATTTCGAGAAAACCTCAGACGAGTGATACGGGACTTGACACCCTGATCGACCTGAAGCGCAACCAGTGGAATATCAATGGCTCTCGTTTCGACAGACGTCGAGATGGGGTTTACTAAGAGCGTATGAAAAAAAATCGCGGGTAAAATCGATGAGGTTGAGGAGGGAGGGGGTGGGAGAGTGTTGGAGAGAAGACGGAGGTTGACGGGGAACAGAAATCAAATGAGGCACAGGCTGTTGGCCAAAATATTCCCAAGTCGCGTCAAGCCTCACTCGAGACGCGTCTGCCTTCTAGGAAAGACTGCTTCATCATGTGAAGATGGTGAGAAGAAGTCTGTGATCACGAAGAAGCCTATTCGATGCTGCCATTTCCATGGCGTCAGTTCCTCATTGTATATCTCTGCCTACTATAGTAGATAGGCTATGGCATTCCCATACGATAGGCAGAAGAGCTCAACCTGTATCAATCTATATCGTTGGATCACTGAGAAAGAAGATACTGGGTCTTGTATTAGGAAAGATAAATCATAAACTCGTTTAAAGAAGAAGGGGTATCACAGCAAAGCGTTCGGAAGACCGTTCAATTTCGCTCTTCCCAAAGCTCGTTTATTCGGTCGATCAGAGCCTGGGGGTTAGCACCGCCATTCTGAACACAATCTTTCCATTCGCCGCCATCACGAATGCACCAGATTGCTTCGTCCAGTCGAACGGTGCAGCTGGTTCTAACTCCTAGTTCCGAGCTGCGGAGGGCAGATTCGCGTAATAGTACAATACCACTAAGTGGTGGCTCTTCCTGGCCGCCACCGCCAGGATTATCGTCTTGTTGGCTGGCACATCGGTTCAAGGAATCGAAATCGATACCGTGCTCCATTGCACATTCATGAATGAAATCGCGGTCTGGGATGTATTGGTAGCCATTGATGAGGCAGTTGGCGAAGCCCAAAGATCGAATGATGGGTGTACGGGGATAGGATTGCGGCAAAAGTAAGTCATCGGTCGTCGCAGGGAAGGGTAGGTTTGCAGCGCATAGGATGAGCATATCACCGATGCATTCGCCAGGACCATGCATACACTCGATTTCAGATGATTCTTTGGATACACTAGATATCACGAACATGTTAGAGATGCCCTCGGACAATCTCAGGATTGATCAGCTTACCTAGCAATGAAGGAGAGCTTAAAGTCGACCTTATCACTAATCTGCTCCATAGCTGGCAGAACCAACTTTTGCAAACAGTCCTTGGCATCTGGGCATTTGCTCATAATGTGTGCTTCGAGCGGAATCTTCTTCTCTGAAACTTCTGTAGAGATGACAAGGGGGCGCTGGATCGCTGGGATTTCTTCGTAAGACTCCAGTTCGATGTTTTCGTATTGCGACTGGTCCAACTCAGGGGATGTGAAAGTGGCCACAGAAGCATCCGGTGCAGTACACGCAGTAGAATCGCATTTCGAGTTGCAGCTAGGCGACGTGCACGGCGCTTCGACAGGTCTCAGGAGCAGGTAGTAGCCGACCAGGAAGCTAACAACAACAATGTAGCGCCATATCATGGTGTTACGGCTAGGTCGTGGATGTGGGTTGGCCCACCGGGGCTTCTCTGAGCCCTCATAGGCATCTTCATTGTGAAGGGGCAGCGTTTCCATACTTGTTTTGGATGTAGATTGAAGGGTCAAACAACGCCGACATCAATCCTCCTGGCCCTGGAAGTGTGACATACGCACGAGGTGAGCTGGAAAGCGGGTTCCAGGCCGCTAATCGGATTACGTCAGATATTTATGCCTGAGGCGCCAATCTGTGGAGCGAGTCTGGGGAACAATTGATTATCTGATTAATTTGACTGTAGCAGCGGGTGAATGGTTTCGTGTATTTAGAAGATACACCTAGAAAGGAGATCATATAGAGGAAAGAGATAATACTCTGGCCAGAATCATGGAACAGACAACCTTTATCAACGCAGACTCAGTAACGATCTATGAACATGCTAGACAACCCGCCTTCAATCTAGATTCCTTACAGATCAAGACCTAGTCATCAAAATCATCAATTCAATAAAGTTATTCAAAGTTTCACATAATCGATCAGCTCTCTTTGATACTATAAGCCTTGAAAACGAGCCAGGGACGGTACCTGAGTGCCAAGGCCGGCCTTCCTTCGTGGACGAGATGCGACGGAATATATCCGGTGCCCTAAGTCATGATTGGATTTATGCGCACAAGGCATCTGGAGCCACTAGTATATAACTGGTATAGTCAATTCATAAAACTTGAGATGCTTTCAAGTTGTGGTCCCGCATTGACTGAATTGGCAGGTCGCAGAGAAGGACGGAACAGTGCTCGGATCAATTGCCCGATTCAGCCAAGGTCTACACAGCTATCGTAGGTGTCCAGCTCAGGTACAGTGCAATCGATGAGCCCATGACGTGCTGCCCATACCATCAAAACACCCGCGTCAGATGGGAGCCACATTCGAAATTTCTGCGAGGAACAAACCAGGCGATATCTTTCCCCAACAGATATCAAAGTACGGTATGTCTCTAGTCAGAATTGGTTGGCGGGAGCAGGCCAGCACGCCCATTATCGGCCGTTCATGTCATCGCTCGGTGACCTATCTCGATCAATCTGACGACTCAAAAGTAGACGCCCCCATCTGTACTCCAGATACAAGGCGTGGTTAGATGAACGAGGTGATCTCACGCCCTTCAGGCACCAAACCACGACCAGTCACACCATTCTGTAACCGACACGCTGACCCACAAGTAAAAGTTCTGCGGACCAATTCTGAGAATTTCTTTTGGGATGCAGTACGGAGTAATTCTAAGTGACGGTGACAAGGCCACGATAGGGTTTGCATGGCCTGAACTTTGGTGGAACTTGTGACTAGGTGTTAAATAAACCTTTCAGTTAGCAAACATGATCTAATAATGGACTCATCATTCGATGTCCTAAAAGGCGAATGCGAGTACTGTTGTATCCAATCCGACGAAACACATTCCACACTCTGAACTATAGCTACATGTTTCTCGGCATGGAGGTGTGTAGCGGTTTACACGGAGAGATTCGCTCAAAACATGTCGTATGTCGGACCTTTGCATTCTGTTCCTTGCCTGTGTTGGGATTTCTCACATTTCTGCGGTTCTGTCTCACTATCTGCATCTCTCAATATACTTGGCGTTTATCAAAGCCTGACAAGAGGCTTGGAAGCCTGTCCACAAAACCACACTGTCCTTGATTGGGCATCACGACGAAGAAGCAATACGTCAGTTGAAGAGGGACCGGTGTTGCAATAGGGTGTAGTGCGGAAGTCGATGAAGAACGAGAAAGGCTGAACCTAGGAAGGGTCTAGAGCATTAGCCATATGAACATCCGTTCAATAGTGGGAGACTGGGTTGCCATCCATTTTCGTTACTTGTATTCTCGACCATTTAAATTCAAATCTACAGTGACCCTCAAAAGCTGAATTTTCTTCTAGTGATAACTGGATAGGAAGCGCCCTCCGCCGTGCAACCCAATCGTTCTTGGGGAGCAAATTGCTGCAGCGCCTCCTACCAACCGGACTGGACGTTTGGCGTATAAAGCGTGCGCTTTTAGCCAATCACATACCCCAAATAAGCATGTTGAACTTTGCACAAGATGCACAAAGCTCAGCTACGTACGACTGGTTACTCTGCTAGGCGTGTTTGCCTATGGCTTGGCTCCGATCTCGGAGACCTATCCCCAGAAAAGGGCGCCAGTGCCCAAGCTCCCAAAGTTCGTATTTGGAGCGCTTTGATTCCTTGAACCAAAGGGAAACCCAGAATAATCAGGGCCTCGTGGAAAATACCCGAAAGACAGCCTTGTCTAGCGCTATCAGGCATGGACCTCTGCCGTTGAGGCTCACAACGTTCGTTCATGCGGAGCACGGAGCTCCCCCTCGGATTCGTGATGACGACGGGGAGCAGGTGATCCGCTCCGGCAGCCCCCATCAACCATCTTGGCTTGTTGCCCATGAGAGGGTTTGGACCGCTCCAGTAGGAAGCTTACGGACGTTGGTGGCTGAGACGCCAACGAACGATCGAGGCCCTTTGGAGGGAGGGGGTGGGTGTTTGGATGGACTTGACCAGTAGCCATACGTAGATGAACACGGTTATTCCCGAGAACTAAGCCTATAATCCTCTCCACGAGGAGAGATTTGAAAAGTGATCATCGCTGTTTGCCCAGCAAGTCGGCACGGTGAGCGACGCCCGTAGTGGTTGAATAAGGGAACGCGAGACCCGATTCCCTGTATCGGCCTCTGGCGAATGGCGCGACAGAGAAATGATCACTTGGCACGTTTCCAAACCGTGATCGCAAGCCCCACCCACACCCTGGGCTGCCGCATGGCTTTGGGGGATTTGAGTCGCGGCCGTGCGTCAATTGGCCCGAACGCCAGGGCTCGTGTGTTTTTCTTTTTCGGCGCCAGAGCCAAGAAAATGGCGGTTAGCAAGACGACGAAAATAGAGACTGGATTGGCGGGGTGAGCAATATTGGAAGCGTAGCCGAGTTCTCTTACCGAGACGGAAGGGCGTATCAGCTCGAGGCGTCAGATGTCCGGGTAGGGTTACATAGTTCCCGTTATCAAAATGGGGAGGGGTTGGTATGGTTGTATGGTGGTCAGGGTGAGCTGCGCGGGCTGAAGCTTCAAAGCGGAACATCTCCGACCGAGACCGTCGTCCAGGTAGATTCTTCTCGTTCGAGGGAATACTAGATCACGATCACGGAGGGCAGCACAGCGATTAGGCCGGACCGGAAGAGATCGCTCCTGACGGAGATGGGATAGTTAAGTAGAAGACTGAAGTCGAGGTAATCATGGGCATAGGCTATGATATAGTTGGAGATTTTCCAATTTCCTATACTGCCAGCAGCTGCCAGGACTGTAGTAGTAGATTGTACTCATTATCAAGGTGAAGCTGTTTCTGACAAGCCTCGCTATAACGAGTCTCCCACATCTGCCTATATGCCTCCTATCGGCTCTACCGGCCACCAAATTTTGAAGCCATCCCAGTACTAAACCAGACAGCCTCGATCGTGGTAAAAGATCTCGGTAGCCGGTCCTGCGAGTTCAAGTGTTTCAACGCGAGATGCGATGATCCATCATCCAATTGACGTCTACCATACACTTGCCCACCCCCGGAAAAAGAACAGCGTCACATCGTCACATCGCCTCGTGTCCTCCGATGGTCGCATCTCCCGAGCCACCGCGCATTTCTTTATTTACTTATCCGTGATCACGTTTTGAGGTATGTCTTTATTTACTTCCCATAGGCCCCCGGCCATTCTCCAGGCCGTGATCCAGTCTCCTAGCTTGTTTCCAACTAGTAGCCTTTTTTTTGTACGACTGGCGTGGTCGTCACAAGTTCTTCTTCTAACCAAATACCACGCAGGGCCGCTGGTCTCTCTGGGGCAAAAAAATAATAAAAATAAAAATAAAAATAAAAACCCCCACGGCAATTTGGGACAGACAGGACGAGTTGGAGCGTGAGGGACTCCATACAAAAGTGGGTAATGGGCTCCACCAACGCCTGGCCTTGTCGACCATTCCTCGTTGAATCATTTAGCCCATTTCGACCCGACTCCTCCGCAAGCCCGTGCTTGTGTATACCTCTTCTGTCTGCCGTCGGATGAACATATATCTGATTGACGACTCCAGTTCTTGGATCATTGCCTTCCCTGCTACGGTCAACTCTATAGTCCACTATAGTGAACTTTACTGAGATTCTCTTTTCCCCGCCAATTTCCAACCACGCACACCGCTCGGCCTCAGGCACACCAGGGATACTCGCCCTCCATTTATAGAGCGACCTCGCTCCCCTGGTCGATCCCTGGCCAGATTCCCAAACTCCTTTCTGATTGTTCGGTTTTCTTGGTGTTCCCTGCATTCTTTTTTCTCTTTCTTACTGCGCTTTTCTCTTGTTTCCCCTCAACTACTGAATTCACCGACAAGCCAAAACTGCCGAACAAGCTTCGTTCCTCTGCCACTTCTCCGAACCCTGACCACTTCCCCCTCTCTCCTTCTTGCATCTCCGCCCGCATACCCACAATTTACCAGGGTACGTGAAAGTCATGACAGCGGTCGATCATACTTCCCTTTGGTGTCCAGCTCTTGGAATGATCGTTGCGACTTGTTTCCTGCAAGCCCGTCCACGACGTATCCTTAGCCCTTGGACTATGTAGTTGTTTCACTGTCCCGTTATCTCGGCTTGTCCATATTCCATGTTCCGCCTTTCCTCGATCATTCTGCAGACCGCGTCACCGCAACGTTCCCTCGATCGACCTTCAATTGAAACCTTGCTAACGTGGATCCAGTCCCCGCGCCTGAAATTTATGCTCGCCGACGCTTAGTTTTAGCCCTTTAACCCCGCTACGCGCGCGCCTTTCCGTGTCTGGCCATTTCGCCTCTAGGTCTCTAGACTGCACGGCCGTGTCCTACTTGCACGATATCCCTTCACATTCCAGGGTTGCCGACGTTACGATTGATATTGGAGTGCCGTGATTAAAAGGTACAATCTGTTGTCACTTACGATTCCCTTACTCGCCAACCTTCTTCCGGCGAGGTGTCCTTGAGCAATTGGAATTGCTCGTCTAGGACCCTAGAAAAACCATTCTACCGTGTCTTCTTTCATTGCGCGCGCTCCAAGAAGCATATTTGGACTCCGCTGCTAGGATCAAGCGCACCTACAACAATGGCATCTGTCACTTCAATATCGTCCGAGAAGGACAACGAGGAAGATCGCGACATCATGCACGAGGAGGCGATCGAAGATGAGGACCATGACATCAGCTTGGAAATGGATCCGTCTCAGCGAGAAAATCTCGAGTTTCACCATCAATTAGACGAATTCCTATCACCTCTCAGCTTAGATGAGGGAGTGCTCTACAGATTGGCTCGTCGCTTTTCTGAAACCTACCGCCACCTGGCCTTGACGTCGGATCAGCAGTTTTTGCCGACCCCAGTAACTCAGCTGCCTACTGGTCACGAGACCGGCCGATATCTGGCAATTGATGTAGGAGGCAGTAATCTCCGGGTTGCTTTTATTGAGTTGCTCGGTGAAGTGGATGAGTCGGATTCCCGCCCTACAGATGCCTCGAAGAGGTCGCGAGACACCATTCGCAAGGCTCAGCGACAACGGGTGAAGCGCACACTGGAACGGGCATGGCCAATCCAGGAGCACTTGAAGAAGGACAAAGCAGAAGATTTGTTCTCGTGGATCGGTGACTGCATTGCTGAAGTGGTAGCCGAGAGTTTAACGTCGGATGCCACGAAGAAGGACATTCCAGCAGAATTAGATATGGGCATCACCTTCAGCTTCCCAATCATGTTAGTTCATCCTTTGGGGATGGATTCCAAGTGCAGAGGGCATTTTAAATCTATTCCCCCCGACCCCAATTCGGTATACCCGGTGCTAACATATTCATAGGCAAGAATCGCTGGCCGAGGCGACGCTGATGCCCATGGGCAAGGGGTTCGCTATTACCTCCAATCTCGATCTTCGCAACATTCTTCTCAATGGATACGAAAAGCACACCAGGAGACCGAATGACGAGGAAGAGCCTTCTTCGAAGCGCCGGAAGCTTTTCGCTCTACCGAAGCTAAAGATCCAGGCCATTACGAACGACACGGTTGCGACTCTGGCTTCACTTGCATACAAGGTGAAACAGCTACCCAACAGTCGAGTCGCTATGGGTATCATTGTGGGCACCGGGTGTAATGCGACCATTCCGATGAAGTTGACTGAACTTCACGAATCCAAGGCCAAGAATGTGAACACGATGGATCCTAAAGCCGTGGAGACCATTGTTAACACGGAATGGACCATTTCCGGAGCTGCGCCACCCTTACGAGAGCTCAACATTACGACCAAGTGGGATGTTGAATTAGACCGAGCGTGCGCACGTCCCGGGTTTCAGCCATTCGAGTACATGACTGGCGGTCGATACATTGGTGAATTGATTCGCTTGATCCTGTTCGACTACCTTACCTCCAAAGGAGGGCTTTCCAAGCGAGTCCTGCCAGCGAACCTGGTTCAAGAGTACGCCTTGACAACCACCTATATCTCCGACAATGTGGCGAAAGCCCGATCAGATCAAGACCTTGCAAAAGTGCTGAACGAATCGCTTCCCCCACCCGAGAGCAGCGACTGGCGTTGGGATACGCGAACCGCCGGTGCATTCCGACGAATTGCACGAGCAGTGCAGAGACGATCGGCAGGACTAATCGCCGCGGCCGTGATAGGGCTCTTGGCCTGTTGCCGCGAAATTGAATTGAAGGAAGACAGCAATGTCAACACCCCCGAAGTCGCCGCTTCCCCACAAAGCAATGGAGACGTCCCCATAACCAGTAGCACAGCTACCCCGTCATCCATCGCAACACCCGGCAACAGTGTCCACGGCCACGTTGTCCCCGTTCTACAACCGCTTCCAGCAGACTGGCAGTTCGGCCCTGAAGAGCTAGTCGTCGCTTATACGGGCGGCATCATTCAACATTATCCGCAGTTCAAGGAGATGTGCCAACAACATATTGACCGCTTGATCATGCGCACGGGTCCACAACGGGGAGGAAAGTCTGTCTTTTTGCGAGAAGCGTCGGATGGTGGCGTTATCGGTGCAGGTGTCTTGGCTGGCATGGTTGTCGGCAAGTAAAAAGGAAAGGGAAACTTATATTGATCTGTTACGCTTTACGATTCTGGGCCATAGCCAATGTTCGGCTTATTCTGCGCATTGCTGTTCCATCCTGCTCATAGAAGTGAATTGATTCTCGCGGTGAGAGGACGCGAGCGCTGTCGTGTAATTTTTAAGAGACAACGTCTCGAGCATGCTTTGAATCAGAACCTTCGGAGACGATCTGAACGCGCACGAAAACATAAAGCTCCTGCTTGCGCGGCTCTGCCGTGGATGGGGCGTAATGGGGAATACTAGGCCGTTCCTGAGGAATGCGGGTCCCGGCTTGTGATGCACGGGGATCTTCACAACGGCTTTTCATAGCCGCTCGACAAAAGCTAAGCTTGAGCCCGTAAAGTATCACCTGAAATCCTCGGATACAGAACCCAGGCTTTGCGTACCCACTGCCCAAATGTTATTTTCCGCGGCAATGGCTGAAGCCAGATACTCGTGAGTTTGATGGCTGGGTATGCCCACTCGATCTCGATATGCCGTGTCAAGGAGCCAAACATGCATTTCGAATAGCCCAAGCCGCGATATATATCCAGCATTTACTTCCACACTCTTGCTGGGCTTGATTCGACGTGATTGCGTTCTGCAATAGCTTATATCAATCGGAACATGTTGTTGCGTACGCCACGTTTCATAGCACTTGGTTTTCCGTCTTCATATTCAATGCCTGCAGCGCCTCCGTCGCCAGACATTCGTTCTAAGCGTTCGCGAAGCTCTGCATCGGCCTGGGCAGTTGTTTTGGTCTTATTTGGGATCGATGGTTGCTTATCGGTGGTTGAAGGAGTCTCGCTATTCGTGCTCGTGGATGATTGGGTTGAAGGATTTTTTGAAGAATCTATGGATCAAAGGACACACATTAGCGAGCTATCTCTGATGAAATAATAGCAAGCGAAATCAAGACGAACCTTTGAGTGTCGAGGAAGTACTTGTGGAGAGAGACCGCGAGAAAAGGTGATGAACAGGACTAAAAAATATCAGGCGTCTAGCAAGGGACTTCGAAAGATGGTTTAGCTCCATTGGGGGTGGTATTAAGGAACCAATTTCAGAAATACTTTGTGACAAAATATCTGAATCTATTCATCTAGTTGATGCGAGACTGACGCAGATGTACGATAAGGACTGAAATGAGCACGTGACCTCACGTGGGCGATCATCCCCGCGATCGACCAAGCCAAGGCAACTGACCGTTAGACACCTCCCTCGCCGTCCCGATATTTCTCTCCAATAGACCCATCTTACAGTCGCGATGGCCGCCCAGCAATCATACTATGAGCTCTACCGTGGGAGCAGGTATGATGATCACCACAACAGTATAGGATGTTGATTTGGGGACTGACTTGAACGTGACTAGCCTTGGCCTGTCCCTAACGGATACCCTGGACGACTTGATCAACGAGGGCCGTATCGAGCCTCAGCTCGCTATGAAGATCCTGTCCACCTTTGACAAGGTGGTCACCGAGGTTCTGGCCGAGAAGGTCCGAGCCAGACTGACGTTCAAGGTACATTCATTTTGTTGAAGGAATCATCCTGGGCACACGACCAAGGCAGTGGCTGGAGATCAGTCTGATTTTGGATGGTGCAATTAGGCTAACTTGCTCTCTTTTTTTGTTACTTTGCACAGGGCCACCTTGATACGTACCGATTCTGCGACGAGGTCTGGACATTCTTGATCAAGGACGTCCAGTTCAAGCTCGACAACCAGACCACCATAAACGCGGACCGCGTGAAGATCGTGAGCTGCAACAGCAAGCGACCGGGCGAGACATAGACTGGTATTAGCGGTTGAGGACACTTTGGCGTTACTTTCATTTCGGCTTGCACAGGCGTTTCCAGGCATGTCCTTGGCTCAGGGCTACGATCCCAGCCGGCGTTGAGGGAATCATTTTCATCGCTCTGTATCATGCATAAACAAGATCTATCATATCAGATCAGATACCCATATCAATTGAGAGATCTACCATATACTTTCCCCTTTATTTAATCCTGTGTAATGATCCTGTTTGGATTTGTATATTTGCAGTGCTCGGCATGGCCCCGGCACCCGAAGTGGTAGGTGACCTCATCTTATCGGTGCCTATCAGCGCCTCCTTCCCCGTCCACTCCGCGCCGGAGCGCGTCGCGCAATATCCTCACAGCCGCTAGCCAAAGGCACACGATGCCGAGAACTCTGCCTTGGTTGATCAATCAGGGAAATGAGGGGCAGGCCAAGCGAGTGTCCACTCCTCGAAAGCGTGTCAAACGAGAGCGCACGCCCGACGACGACGACGCTACCCCGAGGAAACCTCCCACATCACCAGACAAGCGGGATTTCTTCAGGTCTTGTATGTGATCGCAACTTGCAATCTTCTTGGGATTGCGCTAACCACCAGACGCACTGTGCAGCTCAAACCCCGCCTACCTCGCCTGCGCGACCTTGTCCCGCTCAGCAGTACGTCTCAAACTACATTACCCCACAATCAAGGCAGACGCTAATATTGAGTACGCAGATTCCTCATCGAAGGCTTGGACCACGACGATGCATGGGTTATGGTCGAAGATGAATTTTATGCTATAGCTCAATCGTTCACGCAACATCTACACTACGCCGAATACATTCGACGGAAGAAAGAAGCGAAAGCGCAGAACGCGGAGGCAATAAATGAAATCCAGAGGCCTACGGATGGTAGAACCAAGTTACCAAAGGAAGCAGAACGGAAGAAGGAAGCAGAGGCGCTCGCTGCGCGTCAGAAAGCTGGGTTGACAAAGCTAGGGGTTCTGGAAGGAGACAAGGATGATTCCGATGATGACGATGATATCTGGGCTGGGACACATCTCCATGGGCTTATGACTAGCCCTAGGAAATCGCGCACGTTGGTGGGTACGCATTTATTGAAATCTTCCACAAGGGCTGCAGCAGGCTTTGGACAAGCTGCCGGATCCAACATCGACCGAACTGCGGTTGCGACTCCATTATCAAGAGCAGCAGCAGCGCATATCCTCGAGATTCAGGAAGAGACGGCGTCGGATGATGATCTCAATATGGATGGGGAGGCTGCTTCCGATGGAGATGACGACCTCGATAGGCAGAACCGTCTGGTCACGATACCCGAGTCGACACGGCTACAAACGCGTGGCCCTACAAAAACCGCTCAACCTAAGGATCCTAGGAGTGGCAGGGAAAGCATACACAGGAGGCCTACAATAAATTACGAGAAGGCGCGAGGTACTCCCGCACCGGGCAGTGGGTTCAAGTCAAGAGTTCAAATGTTATACGACGACCTCGACGAGCTACCAGAGCCATCGCGATCGAACACCTCTCCTAACTCCGACATGAAAAAGGATCCGTCCTCCACAAACAGCATTATCCAAAGTGGTCCTGCAAACGACAATCTGGAATCCAAGAAATCCCGCTTTAATGATGTTCCGACTTTTTTGTTTTGAATCTGAGATCCCCCCTAAACTTCACATATCATGCCTTGGAGATCATATTAAAATCCCGCCGCTGATTCCTTCGGCTTCTCCTCAGTCGCGACGAACAAGTCTTCCTCGCTGGTGACCGCCTTCTCAGGGTTGGTCGCTGGAGTCGACTTGAACCAGCGAGATCGCTTCATGCGGTCTCCAAGGCGGGCTTTGAGAGTCGGACGCTCATCTTCCGGACTCGGCCCTGAACCTTTTCCTTGACGGACGGCTGACGAGGAATTGCCTCGATCGTCGTCTCGTCCTTCTCGATCGTTGTTTCGCGGCTGTTCTGAGACGTCAGCGTGCTGTGGCTGGGAGGTCAGAATTGGTCGCTCGGTTTGATTTTGATTGGGCGATAAGACTGACTCGGCATCTGAGAAGCACGCAGGCAGTTCCTCTTTGCGGAAGTTGGTGGGAGGTCCCTGCAACAAACATCTTTGTTAGCTGCACTCCGTCTCGGTGGGCGAGATACCTCATGCACTCACAATGTCAATTATCTGTCCCTGGTTGCGAGCAAACGGTGCCTTAAGGCATCGGAATATTTGTCGGAAACACTCCATTTTGATGAGAGTATATCTGATCCTCGGGCGTGATTGAGGGATCTTCGGTGGCTTTTTATATATATAAGTGTCCGGTATCGATGACTTCGAGGTCGGCTTCGAACAGCTGGGACGTCTTGAGACAAAGAATGGTCGCTTTGTCTTCGAGAAAGGTGACTTGTGAACGGGCAAGGCCCTGTGCCGATGAAACAAATGCTATACAACGAGCGACAATATGCGAAAACGAGAGACTGGCGACGGTGTACGGGGACGTACGTCTATAAACGGAAAAGAAACAAAAGCCACGGACGCGCTATGTCATTGATGCGCTGGATGAGGAAAGGAAAGGACTGTTTGAGGCCCTACCTGAGTACATATAGACAGAAAGAAAAGGATACCCCCCCCCCTTGTGGAGCGCCCCGAGCCGAGTTCCAGAGCCTTTCATGCAGTATGCACACCCATACTCTCCACAGCGTGTCAGGGACGAATTGCTCCACGGCCCCGCTCATGCAGGTTGAACTGGGCGACAGCCGACTTAGTCACTCCTCAGGCATGGACTAGGACCATTCAGTGACAGGCTCGGGAGGATTCACCTGTGAAAAAATCCCTTTTTATGGGTCTGTGACACATTCCACCTGGTCACTCTGTGCTCTCCCCTAGCGGCAGCGGTGGGCTGGCCAACTGTTTTCCTCGCTTTGGGGAAACCAAGGACTATTGGCTACGATCACGAGATAGGGTCACCCGAAAGTTCGGAGTCTCTTGTGACTATCTCGGTTCTCTATGCAGGAACTATTCGTGACATGTGCCTTGATCCATGGTGCTGTCATGGTCTCTTTGATCTGGGAAACGGCGGAAGTATGCACTCCGAGTCGACGGCGTATCTATGGGTATTGGAGTCCTTCATTACTTACAGGCAGCAAGGTCATGATGACCTGCAGTCTGCAGGGAAGAAGAATATGCAGTCAAGCGCCCAGTCGTCGGCACCACTCGGAGATCCAGTGGAGCGAAACAGTGGAGAGGGTGGGCCGAAAAGGGTAAAAGGGAGGTATCGAAGGCGTGCCTCGTGTCCCAGAAACCCCATACCTCATTCTTAGCCCTGGCCCCAAGGGGGCAACACCCATGTCGATGTTTAAGGTTTCAATCTAGCAGCGCCGCATTTCGATCGATCCGGCGTCGACCCGCCGTTTGCGCGGATACGTGCGTGAAAAAGCAAAGAAGGAAAGGGTCGCTGGGAATGCCGGCAATTTTGTGCCGAACAGCCTCGTTATTGTGTCTGACTCGTGTCTTTCGAGTCATCAAAGAACGAGGCAACCTTGCACTCTAGAATCATGCTCTCCTCTTGAGCTACATACGCTTGTGATGGGTTACTCGCTTTAATTGTGTATCACAAAAGCCGGCAATTGGTGCGCCATCTGGCACGTACTGTGATTATCGGCGCCAGTTTTGGTGGATGCCAAAGAGATCGCCAATCGCTCTCGGCCCTGTCGATCGATCATGGATCCGTCACTGACAGGGATGATCAGACAGTTCAATACGGACTGGATAAGACGTGTAATATAGCCTATAGTGCATCTAAACCCACGATTATGCTCAGGCCTCTCCGATCGAGTAACTTCGTGCATGCCTTCCAAAACGATCTCTGGGATACTATTTCTCGCTGTTCAGAGTATAGGTACTTCGTACCTCCTAGATTATAACCGACCTGACCGTGCAATGGCGATCACTACTGCTCCTTGATTTCATGGCAAATGACGCACCGTATACATTACATACATAGTTAGAAAGCCATTCTATCAACGATGACGGTGTCAATTACTGCAGACCGAAGACACGGTCAAATTAGTTCGTCTTTTTATCTGAACAATTCACTATGAACTCTCTTCCCCTCGTCAGCATTGTCGCATCATCACCTAAAATGAGATCCAAGCTGAGAATGCCCAAATCCTTACGCACAGTGAAATTTATCATTCAGAAAGGGTCGTGTATCTTGAGACGTGCTTGTGTCTCCCTTGCGTCGGAGCAATGCTGCGCCAACGAACACCTCACAAGATTCGGGCAGTTCCGGCGCGCGAATCGATGGGGGCGTCATGTGTAGAAGAACACGTAGCTGAAAAAGTGGCAGTAAATTAAATCAGTGGTTGTACAGAAATCCTATTATTTTGCAAGAATACCGCAATATAGGGCTGGTCTTGGACGTGCCTTCTCTCGGGGCCCAGCGACAAACGAAGCTGGGGCTAATGATCGGGGCTGAAATCCGCAACGGGGGCATGCATCCAAGGGGCTACGGGAGGATATTGGGGGTCCTCGTCTGTAAGATTATTATTAGAGACTCAATCTCGTCCGTACTGGACACTGGAAATGCGCCCTCAACGATAGATCCTAGACTTCGACACTATCGACGGGCATTTTATTAGTCCCAGGCAACCGAACTTATCTCTCCCGAATGTGTGGCCTCAGTAACCGGGGCCACGGTACGTTCATCGCAATCCGACGTTGATTTGGAGTGTCGAATGGCATGTATTACCGAAAATGTTGCCTTGCAATGCAAGGCTCACGACATATGCTGGAACTGTTCACCTCAAACACCCATCCCGAGAGATTGGGTCATTGCATTCTTCACTTTGATCGAACGTTCCACACCCTGACCTAGGGATTGCCACTCTGGGGCCTTCCTGGATCCATTCCTCGTTCAGATTACCAATCCTAGTAGGAGGCTCTAGATTCTTCATGTCGAGTTTGACCATGCGCTGATCCTTATTCCATAGTGATCTGGTTCAAATAGCTGGCATTTGGCCCTCGGCCCGATCCGTCTAGAATCCGTCGTTGCGCGAGGCTGACAACACTTTACTCTCATCGCCATTAATTGTCTCCGGTAGCTTATACCAGTGACAATGGAGTCTGCTTAAGCGTCGTGCGATTGAACCTCGAAAAAAAAAGATCTCGCGTGATGGTATAAATATTCCTTAGCTACGAAGTATATTATTGTTTTGAGTGATTGAGTGGCGAGCTAGAAAGGTAGCTGTATTGAAGGAGATGAGAAGTGGCTAGCCATCCACGACATCTAGGAGGCCCCTTTAGATTAAGTTATTGCAGCTCCCAAACATCTATTCAGCCACATCGCGCACCAACCGCGCTCCTACCCAGGCGTACAAGTAGTTGTGCTGGTACCAGTTCACACTAGAAAATTAGCAAACCTTCTTCAAGTCGTTCGGGAAAGGGAGCTCACAATGAAGTCCGTCCCGCGATCCGGGGCATAGTTGCCCACGAGCCACCTTGAATGATATTGTGCTTTCCGTCGAAAAAGTCCGCTAAAATATCTGTGAGCACAAAGCCGACACAGGATGGTTCACGTTGTGTCACTTACATGTGTAACCCGGGTAAATCTCCATGGCTTTGAAACCCTCGTGTGCCATGAGTGGCGTGCTGGTCCATTCCCAAACGCCGCCCAGATCACCCTGTCCGGCGAGCTTGTCCCCGTTTGGCGTGATTGGAACAGGGTGCCAATTCTGGAAACCAACATTGCAGCCATCGAGTGCGCGGAATACTGGTGTTTCTGCCGTTGAAGAGTTTTTGGCCGTCCCATTTGTCATGTGCGTGACTCCGTTGGAAGTGCCATTGACTTGATGAGAGGTCCCATTCATTCCGTTGCTATATGGTGCATCAGTGTTGCTCATATGCGATATGTCAAAATTCGAGGGGATGTACCTGTGACCATTGGTAATCTTGTGCACTCCTGTTCCTCGAAGCTGATCGGCGTAGAGATAAATGCTCCGGACCTCTTCATGGGTGGGAATCCTACACCCTGTCCATTTGGCATAACGAGCCAATTCATCGTATGAAGCGATGATCGGCCAGTCTTGTGCAAGATCCAAAGACACCGGACCGAAAACAGTTCTCACAGCGAAGCTATCCATAAAGTCTCGGGCTGCACTCTGGCGTGACTCACCGAATCCCTTCGAGATTGGATTACCCTGGTCAGAGTGAATGCGTGTCCAAGATGCTGGAATTTCTTCCAGACGGTTCGCTTGCATATACTTGGCGTACTCTCCGTTGGTGATTGGTCGAGCTTGAGCCTCAAACGAGTGTACGTGGACGCATCTTTGTGGCTTCTCATTATCCCACCCAAAAGAATCCTTCGGCAGAACATTATCATCGGAATCGTCCAAACCAATTGTGAATGATTGTTGTGGGATCCGGAACCACTGGTTGTCAGTCTCATTTTCCTTTGCAGTCAGAGCCAACTTGGCAAAATCGGGAGTTTCCACTCCAATCGGGGGAAGGGTCTTTTCACTTTGAAGTAGCATGTAGAGGAAGGTCTCGAGGTGCATTGCCTCGTGCTCAAAGCCAATCCACAGAGCCTCGCCAAGACAACGGTTCTGGAGGGCAGACCCCTCCTCAAGAATGGATCGTGCTCTGTTTCGTACCCGCTCCGAGTAGTCCAGGATCTCGTCAAGAGGTGGCCACTCGTCCGGGATCTCACTGTGAGCGTGACACTGCTCTGGATTCTCGACATCAGGGTCAATGCCGCGCTCAAAGATCTGCTTATAGTATTTCGGATCGGTGGGCTTCCCACGCAAAGCGCGAGTCAAATGAATATCTGTACCATGAACATTTAGCCTGGAAACCGTACAGAAGCAGGTTCGTTCATTGAACATACCGAGAAAGGTAGGGATATGACCGAGATAGAAGATGAGAGCGTTCCGGAGCTTGATAGGTTTCGAAAGAAGTTCCTCTCGGGGAACCATTGTCTTGGTCACAACGTCCCACACTGTCCACAGTGACTGAAACTCTTCAAGTGTCGGAACTGCATGAGCTGCGTACTGAGATGGCTGCAGTGGGATGTTCAGAGAGGCTGGCGAAAGCAGGTGAATATCTGAAGAGAGATTTGATCAAGTCAGCGACTCTTGTTTTCCAGAAATATGGTAACATCACTCGACTGAAAAAAAAGGAAACCTCATATACATACGATAGTCATCCGTTAAATTTCCGAACACAACCTGGGGAATCAATCCTGCGTTGCGGCAGAGTTGCTCACGCTCATTGATACCATACTTATATGCCTCCTCAAAGATAAGTTTCTCTCCCTTTGGGATCCGAATCTTGTTGATAGTCACATCAACCCTCGGTGAGTAGAAGGCCTGATGTCTGCTATTGAATTCATCGTAACCGGTAATAATTTCCCACTCACTAGCCTTGAATGCCTCGAAGCCGAGCACGGAATTGGCATGTGCCAGCCCGTTTTCATAGAATTGCCGTGTCACGCCTTGTGAGTCGTTGTAAGCTCTGTAAACCTTCTCCGGGGTCTTACAAGCATCCAATCCAATGAGCAGAAAATCCGACGGACCCAAAGCTTTAGAGAAGCCGTCCAAGAAGTCCGCGGCTGCGGTGCGGTCAAAGTTACCCAGGGATGACCCCATAGATAGTACCACAGTTGGTCTGGTGCGGTTCTCTGGGTTCTTCAGCCATAAGAGAGCATCATCATATGTTCCATGAAGACCGTGGAGCCCGACATAGTTAAAGCCCTCGGGTGAAATCTCTGAGAAAGTTCGTTGTAGTTCGACCAGCGATAGATCTAATGCATAGTAGTCTACCTGCTTTTCCACCCGTTCACACTCCCGCAGAAGAATCTCGATCTTGCGCAAATTTCTAAAAATTAGGTGTTAGAAAAGTGCAAGGCCAAAACGATCCATTCACGGGCAATCCATCAAAGTCCACGGATCTGGAGTTTCAAGGACAACAGACCCACTACCAAGCTCCACCAGCTGTGCGTTCTCCGGTATCCGCTCGACGATTCTCTGTGCATGTGTTGTCAAAACCTCGATCTCCGCGTTTGTGAGGTAGTATTCGTCCAGATAGGTGATCTTTTCGAAAATCTTGAGTCCCCTGGTGTCATAGAGGAGGAGCGTGGGGAATGAACGTGGTTTATCCTCCGCGGGATTCAGACTTGTGTAAAGCTCATCCACGAGGGAGAATTTTATGTCATCCTGGTGGATGTCGACAATCTCGACTGCGTCCACATTCCTCAGCGCCGTTGGAGACATTGTGTTGCCGGTTACTACGAGAAAGTGAATGATGAGCACGGTTCGACCACCTATCTCTCGCAAAGCAAACGCCACGGAGTAGAGTAAAAGTGTACAGTGAGGAAGACATACCTGGAAGAAAAGAAACACGTGTGCAAATGTCGAGAGAGGGGGAAAGGCCAGGGTTTTAAGAAATAATCCTGGAAATAGCTGTACCTCGGACGCAGCTTATAGAGCTAAACTCTATGACGAATCATCGCCAAACACCAGGGGCAAGGACGACCCAGACGAGAGTCACCACCAGTCAAATCCCGAGGCAGGCTGCACGAGGGGGCGCAGAAGACCACGGAAAAGTCATCCACACAAGACCTTACTGTATTTGACATTTTTGCATTTGCAAGCTCCAAGGAAAATATCCTAAATATTCAGTCAGATTGGCCCGTGTAGACCCGGTTTTGTTTCGTAGAACATGTTTGCATCAGGGAAGCCCCGCAAGTCTAGATCGAGGGTCACTCCTGTTCCGGCGCGGATCCGCATTATCAGATTGGACCAGATTGGACCAGGACCGGTCGAAGCAGCCGTGTATTGCCGTCTGACGTCGCGAATGTCCACTCTTGGTGAGCGCATTGCCCCAGTCGTCGTTCCGATCCCTCCAGTCGCGGTGATCGCGGGTGTGGGGTCAAAGAGCTTCACGACGCGCTGAGGTCATAGCGCCGGTTTGGCCTGTTTGCTCGCTTTGCACTTGGTGGATTTTCTGTTATGGCGGGCTTTAGTCAAAAGTCTAAGTCCAAGTTTAGTCAACTAATGAAAACACGGAGCGAGTCTTGCAATCATGGAACAAAAGTCAAGGCTGACAAATTTACGACGCTCGTGTCGTTCGATCTAGATCCGGCCTCTGTTGGCCGCTAGCGCGATTTGCGCGCTTTTTGAATCCACTCGAATGATTCATCCTCGTATGATCTCGTATGTTGATATTAACGATGCTACCTATATCCACAATAGTAACCATCTGCGACCGCTCGTCTCTTCTTTGATTTTTTTTTCAAAGCTGGCAACAGAGGGTTCTTCAAACTAACTAATGTCAATCTCTCGAATGGGCTGATCCTTTGAGCGACTGTTAACATGCAACAATACAAGCTATTTTGAGGCACACAACAATGGTCATTGAAGGCTTTCAGCAAGAATGCGATTGTCTATGAGAACTTTGGCTTTCTGTCACTGATTTTTTGAAGCAGCGAATTTCCGGATCAGCTGACTATATAAAGGCTTAGGAGTTCCTGATCAAGACGGTCGCCTTCCATGACCTGGACTTCTAGAAGCCATTGCCCCCAAGCTCGCCTTCCTATTCGCTTCACCATAATGTTATCAATATTAATCGCTTACATGCGCAGGGGTCAGTCTGCGAAGAAGGAAGAGCAATTCGCAAACTGGAATGTTGAACTACTCGCCACGGCAAATGCAAACCTTGCTCGACAGCTTCAAGGAGCAGAAAAAAAGATCAAGAACCTCAAGGCGAGACTTGCAGAGTCTGACCTACTTGTCGCACATGCTCAGTCGCGTATGGGAGATTTCAATTACGTGGCTCTGCGGCTGGAAGACGACCTCTCGGAGATGCCTGCTTCCTTGGTGAATTCAGAGGCCGCCCAGTGCATACACTGGATTGATGATGTCTGGGTATGTACAGGTAAGGAGTACCTCAAAGGCGCAGAGGAGGAGTGGAAAAGGGGAGATATTGAAGCTGCGCGCAGTACACTTGAGACTTCGCTCATGGCCAGCTCGTGTATATCGGTAGCTGAAGTGCTCCATTCTCGGGTCTTCCTTGCAGCTATCCTGTATGCCACTGGTAAGTACCATGAATCTCTTTGCCAATTGGATCGTGTGATGAATGAGATCTCCGCCCGAAGCGAAGTTCGGCGGTTCCGATATAGGGATATTGTTGGCACCGCATTCTTTATTGAGGCGATGAATTTCATGGCAATGGACAGTTTTGAAAGAGCCTACTGGTCATTCTCGAGATCTCTGCAACATCCAGGATATTGCCACAAAGCTCGGGAATTTCAAATCAAGGTCATCGTGGACTTTACTCGACAACAAGCCTACGAGGATGGTGCGTCGGATTCTCTTTCTCTTCGTCCTATGAAGAGCCTGGATGAGCATCTGCCAGTCCCAGCCAATGTTGATGACGACCCCTGTCAGTACCGAGTTTGGTGAATTTCTTATTACTTTTTTCATGCTTCTAGAATAGTTTCCTCACGATTACTAACTTTCTTTCATCAGAAAGCATAAGATCGAATAGGTCGATTATCATGTGCCGCAAACGCCCTCCAAATATGCATGACCGAGTTTAGATTTCAGTGCCAATTTACTCAACAAAGTAAGAATTGATAACATTATAGACTCTGCCTGTATGGGAGACAGACAAATAGTCAAGTATCTGCCTCGGTCGCTTGCTGGACACGAGATAAGAAGTGAAGATCTCCAGGTTCAATTAGATTGCCAATCAAACTCCTAGGTTTCATGGCCCTTCGCGCCTAACAGCGTGGCATAGATTGCCCAATCTGATGAGACTAGTATTAATTCACTGCCTTATTTTGGGTTGGGTGATTCAGGCTAAATTGGTGCCCAAATTAATAGCATATCTTTTCCAAGCCGAAATTAGGTTGCCCTGATGACGTAGATGCCCAGCCATGACCCAAAAATGAGCAATAGTGAGATAGCAATGACCTGTAGCTAACTTGACACATGGTCAAAGAAAAATAAAGAAAATAGAAATTCAATGACCACGTTGAAAAACCCATGTCAAAACGCATTATGAATAGCGACCTAACAAAGAGACTGATTTCTTTGTCGGCCTGATGCGTTTCTGTTGAAAGCCCAATGAAGGGCTCACTTCATCGGAGGGCACCTCCCTTGTGTAACTAGGCTTGGACTATCAACTCGGCAGACACCTCTCTCTCTCTCTCTCTCTCTCTCTCTCTCTCTCTCTCTCTCTCTCTCTCTCTCTCTCTCTGTGTGTGTGTGTGTTGTTTACGATCACCTAGATATTTTTTTTCCCATTCCTCATAAAGCTCCACCGTCCAGAGGCAACCCTCCCGACATGGCCGAAGCTAGGCCCGACTCTGTTTCGCCACAGAGAAACATTGCATCACAAGATCCGAATTCATCTGGCAGTGAGCACTCGGACGTGCTTGAGGGACCTGATTATGTTCCAATTACGCCGAGCGACCTGACCGACAGGGCCAAAGAATTAAAGCACAACCTACAACATACGCATCGACACAAGTCTGAGGCGGCCAAGCTGATCATGCAAAATCGGGCCCCTTCAATACCGACCGGACTCGGAAATAGGTTAGGAAACCTACGAGTCTCTTTCTCGCTTGTAACTGTCATCAATCACATTGCCGACAATCAATTTCGGCAGGCCAGAAAACAAGCACAGAAAGCGCTTAGCCTTGCAGAGGCTTCAAAGGACAAGCTTTTAGTTGCCCGTTGTCATTACTGGATGGGTCGAATTGAATTTGAACAGCAAAATATGGAGGCAGCCCACGACCACTTCCTAGCCGCACGCCCTTGTCTCATGGATATTCTTAATCCAGAGGGGGAATCTGTTCGTTTCTACTGGGAAGCATCAAAAAGGGGAATCTCTGAACAATATCTGAAGCGCATACTGCTTCAACACAATAAGTCTTTGATTCACAATTCTCCTCGCGAGGGACCTTTCAAGGGGTCTGAACCATCATCACGAAAGCGTAAACGAGAAGTCCAGCCATGGAAAGTTCTTCTCCGACCAACACCCTCCGACAAGACTGGAAGGAGACGAAAGCAGTCATTTGAAGTGACCCCAACGAAGTCTCATGCCAGATTGAATGAGTGGATTGTTCGGGACTTGCCCGACCTTCCTTTCCGACCAAAACACTACTCAAGCGCCAGAAAACCCGATCAGCCACCATCGAATTATCACCGCCTTGACGATAAGTTTTCTTCTACTGAGCAGCCAACAGAGACTTTCAGGAAAGAAGATACGACAGGTGAAATGGGAGCGCAGGAACCTTGCCCTCTAGAAGGCATGGAGTGGCTACAGGCAGCAAGTTCTCGGCCGCGCCTTGAACAACGTGAGCAATTTACCCTTCGATGTTATCCTATCGGGCTCGCCTCACGAACGCGGCCAACGGATATTTTCTCGAAGCTATCCAATGAAACTCTCCTATCTGCTCAGGAATGGGAGTCTCTCAAGAATCGGATGAGCAAGCGTGCAATCACTATAGCCTACCTGGCAAAAGAAAGGCAGCTCACTTTATCCAAGGAAAATAAAGGTTCGCGTGTTATCGGGCTCGAGGGAGATTGAGCTTGATAACTTCAAATCATGAGTTGTGGATAGGATATTTGTTTTATATGGCAGCGTTTGTGTGTTTAAGAAGACTAGAGAAAGAAAGATTTCAGCATAATCTATGAGAAGTAATTATCCTTGTCTCGCTAGCCTGTCGCACAGCCAGACCTCTTATCTCCGTCTGGGTACTAAACGAGGGGCATCGCAAATAAACCAAAGTTCAAATTCTACGAGACATCTTAAATAAGGTTTGTCCCTTTAGGCAAAGTACAATGATTCTGGATACCAGACCTGCATTGAATGGACAGATACGGGCCGGCCCAATCCGTGGAGGGACATTGGATTGCGATAGGCCTGCGTGCCGATTGGGTCCCAAGACAACCCTACCTATTTCCGAGGACGGATGTATGTACATAGATAGTAACAAATATAGCGGAGCTTGTAGCTCCGGCTGGCTTCTGTCGCCGGTCTCGCATAATGGTCAATGGAAACAGCTTGCTTCCTCCGCGGGTGCATCTAGGTGCATCTAGTTGCATCTGACATCTCTCTCTCGCATGCGAATGGACTATGCAGAGCCGACCTAGATCATGTTTTCGGATAATTTTCCGAAGTTTTTCTTATTTTACCACATATAAATTGCAGTATACCAAATTGGCTAGCTCTGAAAAGAAAGTATCTAAGAGCCCTTTTCAGACTGGCTATAATTCTCAGAACAATCACCATGTCGTCAGCTTCATCTACTGGGGAGTCTGCACATAAAAGGTCGCAAGTCAGCCTAAAGACAGAGAAGCAAGAAGGGTCAGAATCGGCCTGCACCACCGTCTCTTCTACTTGGAGGCAAGACGTGCACTTCTTGGGTGACAAAGAGGGCAAAGTACATCTTCGTTGCCCTCCAGTGTTTGATGACATCAACGACACCCGCAGACACCTGAAGCAACATCTTGCAGCCGCTTTTCGGGTATTTTCCAGACAGAGTTTCGATGAGGGCGTAGCTGGGCACGTCTCTCTGCGCGATCCAGGCAACCCAAAAACTTTCTGGATCAACCCTCTCTCAACACATTTCTCACAGATCTGTGTCAGCGACTTGGTACTCGTCAGTGAGGATGGTAATGTTCTTCCAGAAGGAGCGCAAAAGGCCATCAACGGCCCAGCATTCACCATTCACAGTGCTATACACCGCGCGCGACCAGATCTAAATGCAGTGTGCCACGCGCACAGCGCTTACGGTAAGGCATTCAGTTGCTTCGGCCGCCCAATTGAGATGCTCTATCAGGATGCGCTGCGCTTCTACAACGACTTATCAGTATATCCACGCTACGGGGGTACCGTGCTCACGGCTGAGGAGGGCAAGCGTGTCGCGGATGCGCTGGTGCCAACCTGCCGCAATGTCATTCTACAGAATCATGGCATGATAACGTGCGGTAAGACGGTCGACGAGGCGGCTTTCTCTTCATTGCGCTCGACCGGTGCTGCCATGCGCAGTTGCTTGCGAATGCTGCAGTGTGCCCTGGTTTCGAGAAAAAGTATATTCCTGCTGAAGAAGCTGAATTCACGCACAAGAGAAGTGGCAATTCAAACAAGATGTGGTTAGGTTTCCAGCCGTACTACGACCAGGTTTTAAAAGAAGAGCCCGATCTTCTCCAGTAACTCCATGATATACGGTTGGTTATGATTTGGGGTTGTTTGCGATCCTTATTTAAAGGGGTACCATATGTCTTTAGCTGTCTCGTCTCATTGAATCCATTCCTACACACATCCTGTGATATCTTGTCATCTCGTTCAAGACGTAGTCTCATTGATTTCAAAGTTCACAAGAGACAAGTTTTCATTCATAAACCCAAACAGCAAGTCTTGACCAGGATCAAAAATGTCCACGAACGGTTGCATCTGTTCGACGTCATATATTGGAGAGACATTGGAGAACTGTCCTCCATTTTCAGAGGCACGAGGAAGTACCGGAACCTCAAAATCTGCTAGAGCTAGACAATAATCCATCAATGTATTTCTTGCATTATGAAGAAGAATAGCTTACTTGGTGACTCTTGAACCCCTCGGGCGGCCATGAGCTTTCGTATAATACGCGCGGTATCTGCAGCTCCCGAATTTGGAACTGCTAGTTCATCCAAACACCTCAGGCTTTCGCTAAGCAACGCTGACGATTCGGCAAATGCATTCCTATCACTGCCGGTCGAAAGGAATGCGGTGTTGAGCACGTGGATCGTGCACGCGACGTAAATAGCGTAGCCTAGCAAATAGCCAGACTTTCGCAACGGGTAGATAGATCTGTAATTCAAGGCAAGTCTAGTAATATTTCGCGAGGCCGTCGTGCATCTTCTCCATGAGAAAGCCGATGTTCCAATGATAGAGCCATCGTTACGGTTGGTGGTTCCAATTCTAGGCCCTGCGATAAAGGGTCGATGCAACAGAATGATAAGCGCGTGATAAGTCGTCAAGATTATGATATGATTTGGTGCGACCTTATCGGGTGGACCTTTGGGATTGGTCGTCCACGGCTGGTAAGTTAGATGAGCTGGAAGGTCGCGGTGCCATCCTGCTAAAGCTTCGTCGAGTGGACGGATCTCATGAAGTGTCTTGGACGCGGTCGCTCCCACAAAGTATATCTTGTCAATGATTCTGGTCATTATTTGAGACAGCAGACAGAGTTGCTGGAAGACAGTCACCGAATATGCTGAAGCCACTGCAGAAGAGGTCGTTTTATCAGTTGCGGCTTGTATGGGATTGTCATTGTATGGCTCCCACGGCTCTAGCTCTTCGAAAGTATCCAAAAAGTTCTGAGAGACATGCACATCCTGAAGTCTCACTATAGGAGGTCGTCCAAGGTACAGGCTTTGGATTTTCTCGCACACAAAGGCCCCCCAGAATACACGTCGCCGAATCTCAATATTCTCGGCATTATGTTTATTGACCTCTTGCGAATCTATGTGCAGACCCAGGTCGTACACCATACGCATAGCATAGCCTGTATATAGCCAGCCCTTCGAAGTCATGCCTCTAGCGATGAATGTCGACCCGAGCATAACCAACGCGATGACGGTGGGTATGCTTGATTGAATGAGTAAGCCCTCGCCCAGTAAGAGCTCGTCGCAGCGAGTGAAAAAGTGTTGACCTGCTGTTTCTGGGTCGCCAGGGTTACTGCGCACATCCAGCCGCTCGGAGAATTTGGATGCACAAGCAAACACAGCATACAGCAAGAGATCCGAGCAGTATGGTCCCCCATGCTCCAGTTCTCGCATGAAGGTCGGCCGGTACGTCAACAGAAATGTATGGTGCTGCCTGCTCCAGTGGAGATTAAGCAGATGAAGCGCCAGGTCCGCCGGTATTCCCCTTATGAACGCCAAAAAACGCAGTCGATATTCCCGCTGTCGCTCCATTGCGGCATTAGCAATTAACTGGTACCTTAAAGACTCTGTTGACACATTTTGCGAATCATGAGAACGGCCGAGGTCCACAGCTTGTATTGGACTGCTAACATGTACCACCGAAATTGAAATAAAAATACCATCGCTGGCTTGATTTTTCCCCTTTGCCATAATATCATTCCCCGGAGTACAGCTTTTATTCTTCTTGCCGGGGGAAACAGCACTCTCAATGCTTGTTTGAAGACTCAGATTGCCTTCACCCCTCGGGGCATTGAAGTCTGCGTTATTTGCTTCATCAGTGTCATCGACATGTGGTATCGTAACAGATCGAACAAATTCGGGATCACCTAGCGGTCGTTGCTCTACCGGACTTCTGATTCCGATATGATGGGCAGCTTCGTCGTAATGCTGCTGTGATGACGGTGTAGCGATTATGGTGCTTCGGTCTGCCGAAACCCACTCGTTTTGCACTCTTGCGCTCTCGAGTAGAGCACGTCTTTGAGCCTCATTTGCGTTCATCAAATAATGCAAGGCATTTTCCAGTTCTGCTTTCTCTTCCTCCAGGATCTCGATTCGTGCTCGTGAAGGACGTTGCTTCTGAGGACCGTTTGGGTAGATGCATAGCCTACTGCTATTCCGGCATGAAGAACAGGTGGGGTTCTTTGCGTCGCATCTGATCTTACGTCTGCGACAGAACTCGCATGCCCGGGTCATCTTGGGTAACGTAATCCTCGCTCCAGATCTCAACAAGAAAACCTCGCTCGACCTTCTGGAACATTCAGCATCGGTGGTGGCTACGTAAGTACTGTCAAACTTGTTCTTCCTGACTCATGGTAGTTGTTGACTTGGAAATCATCTCAGCCTGCGAGTTTCTTGGTTGGAAAGGCTGAAGGGCTAACCAAAAGGTGGAGTGTTAGGCTCAAAGTCAACCCAAGTTCAAAAAGGATAGTCTAGCGTCTGACCAGCAGGAATGCGGATAAGATTTCAGCCTAGGGTCATTTCATTTCCCCGCAATTGACTTCCCCACAATTACTTCCGGTCGCTCATCATTGGTGCCTGATTCATCATGGGGAAATTACTGTCGCTCTCTTTTAAAGTAATTCTAGTATGGGATGCGTAATCTTGGGACGCGGCTGTCAAAGTCCCGAGGGATCATTGGGTGCTGCTGAGGGGGACACTCCAGGACCCGCATAACACGACTCATGAATTCATTCAAGTCTGAAAATAACGTTCCAATCACCCTTGCTGAACCACACGGATAATCATTTAGTAAAACTCTAACACGGAATCTGTCACTCCGAGGAACGGGCTCAAGCACTCCGTGTCAACTTCGGTGTTCAGTCCTCTTGCCGTCTTTCACCAAGCAGGTTCGCAGTGGGAGTATTGAAGCCTGACCCGTAAAATGAGCAATTCGATGCATTGGTATTTCCGATGAGTGTTGGCTGAAATGGGTACAGAGTGCGAGATGAGCGAGGAATTGGGTCTAGTGGACAATAGGCTCTATACTCCGTCCAAGGCTGCCTGCCAAGGATGAGACTGCGCAGCCTTGAAGTCATACGCAGCTACTCAACAGGTATAATGACCGACTTTACTGAGTCTCGGAGGAAAATGAGAATCAAAATCTACTTCAAAGAAGTAGTAGTTGGTATTCGTGGTAAAAGCCGAAAGAAGAAACCAATATGTAAACAAAGAAACGAAACAAGTATATTTATCAGATGACTCCATTCTTTATACCCATAAAAACATGACATAACAAATTAGGCAAATGATAGGATAACAAGAAATGCCAAAGCTCTCCTTCGACCGCGTCCCCTTACTATGCAGACTCTCAAGCTGACACTTGCTGCTGCTAATTCATGCCTTCCATGGTTTCAACAGATGATCAATCGCCTCCCCTAGCTGCTGCTGCCAATGTAGAGATCTCCTCTCGCATAGCTTCAAACCGTGCATCATCCATTACCTCAGAAACCAGCTTACCAGCTTGAATTTCTTCAATCATGAGGCTCTCACGTTCAGCTATCTTCTCGGCTAGTTTCACAACATCCTCAATGAATTTGGCTGGAATGAACACTGTGCCACAATTATCCGCAATCACATAGTCATCTTGGTGGACATTGACGCCTTGAATCTGCACCGCTGTGCCAGACTCAATTTGCACTAATCGATTGCGACCACTGATCATAGTCACACCACGGCCGTAGACGGGATAGCTGACCTCACGGTTGCCGTCGATATCACGACACATGCCATCAATGACGGTTCCGCGAATGCCTTTAAGTTTTGAGGCATTGGCAATGATGTCCCCCCAGCACGAGACTCCTTCTATCCCCCCAGAGATAACGAGGATACGGTCATCGGTCGTAACTGCATCTATGACCGAGCTGAAAGGGTGAGCCGTAGTTTTTGAATCGGATTTGCGGTCCACTTTCACTGTGTTGGCTCGTCCAACAATCTTTGGGCAGTCCCAAAGCGGTCGGAGGCCGTACGTGGCTCCTTCTAATTCCAGAAAATCCAAAGCATCGGAGACTGAATTGGTATCGAGCGCATAAAGTCGGTCTAAAATAGTGAGGTCATTCATAGCGTCGATTGACTTGACAAATATTTCTTCAGGGCGTAGAATTCGACGCTGACCGATAACTCATGTAGGACGCAAAGACTGAAGAATGAAGTCGTGGGGACTGGGTTGGTCGAGTTGAATTAAAATGGCCAATGCGGTCAAGGATCTGAGACTACATCATAATCTCCTATTTATGAGCCGGTCATAGCCTTTGTGTGATGCATGCATGTCCGCAATTTCCATCCCGCAATATCTCCGATGCTAAAGATGCATCGGCGAAAAGACATGTCACCGAGCACTAAAAGTAAACATCATTTGCTGAGACTTCTCGATGCTCTATTCAATCCTTGCAAAGTGGGCGGGGTTCCTTTGTGCAGCCGGCACACGACCCCATATTCTTGTATTCGGCACCCTGAGCGGACCTTAAACCCCGCAAGCCTAATCAGAGATTAATCGCGTTAAGCTACGGGCAATGAACAGAACTAACTGAATCATCCTCCAAACAGGCTTGCAGTCAGCCCTGAAAGCTAGTGATATAACTCGAATGGGACTCCAAACCTAACCGCGGGGGTTCTTATGAAATAGGTTGGGTCTTTGTGAGCCACACCACATGTATATAATTCAGGAAATTGCCGCACTTTAGCTTCTTTTTCTACAGTCATCGATCTCCTCCTTTTATTTGAAATACCGGTCTCATCGTGACCAGTATGTCTGCATCACGCGTAGAGCTGCAAACTGGGGGTGACTTGGCGGATGAGAAACTGCCCAGCACCGAGAACGTGGAGAATTGCGCGGTGATCACCACTATCGAGAACTTTCAAGTGCTTGGTCTTTCCTCTGTGGACGCCAATTTTTATGCCAGCTTCTCCGCTGAGCGGAAGAAAAGGCTTATGCGAAAGGTAAAAATCCATAATACTCTCGACCTGAAGGCAGCTAAGAATGTATTTACTGCAGGTTGATTTCAGATTGGTACCTATGCTTGGAGTCGTCTATTTGATCTCTCATCTCGACAGGTCAAATATCGGCAGTGCAAAGATTCTGGGACTAGCAGAAGATCTTGGTCTAAGTGGCATTCAGTACAATGTTGCGCTTAGTCTCTTCTTCATCCCCTACGTACTCCTGGGTGAGTAGGTCACAAAAAAGTATTGTCCATCTCACTGATCAGTGATCAGAGGTGCCAAGCAATATTTTACTCAAACGATTCACGCGGCCTTCTATCTATTTGGGCTCTCTGATTAGCAGCTGGGGAATCGTTATGACTTTGACTGGCGTCGTCCAAAATTTTGGGGGTTTATTGGCGGTGCGACTCTTACTGGGAATTTTCGAGTATGTCCAGCCACCTCCATCTATCTCCCTTATCCCACTTAAATTTGGTTTGATTGCTAATGTGGCGCTTTAGAGCTGGATTCTTTCCCGGTGCAGTATACTTGTGTTCCCTCTGGTACATGCCCAAGGACCTGGGCACCCGCATAGCCACGTTCTATTGTGCAAGCGCGCTATCCGGTGCATTTTCCGGTCTTCTCGCGGCTGGAATTGGTAAAATGGACGGCGTGGGCGGCTATGAAGGCTGGCGCTGGATCTTCCTGATCGAAGGCTTACTCACTGTTATACTGGGGATTCTGTGTTTCTTGTTCCTCATCGACTCCCCAAAGTTGTCTGGTAAGTGGCTTGATCAAGATGAGATCCGATATCTCGAAATACAGTACTTCATCAAACAAGGGGGGCAATTCAGGGAGGAGGCTGATAAGACGAGGTGGAGAGATATCTGGGAGTTGATTCTCAATTGGAGAAATTATCTGTTTTCCTACATTATGTTGTGCCAGTCTGCCTGCGCCTACGGTCCGTGACCTATCCTATCAGAGCAGGGATTGCCACTAAGATCTTTTTCACTAGGGACAAAGTTTACTCTCCCGACGATTACGAAGGCAATGGGCTTTCAGAATACAGATGCGCAGCTTATGACTGTCCCTCCCTACATTGCGGGTGCTGTATGCGCGATCGTTTTCTCCAAAATTGCCGACCGCTACTACTGGCGCATGCCATTTGTCGCTCTACCTCTGCTACTGATCATTATCGGTTATGCTATTATCATTGGTCTTAAAGGTAACTTGGAGACCAATATTGGGCCTGGGTTCTTTGCAATTGTCGTGACATCTATAGGTATCTATCCAACCTATCCAGCCACGACATCATGGGCAATAAACAACCTGGCCCCTTCAAAACGCCGTGCGATCGGAAGTGCGCTTATCATTTGCATTGGTAATACCGGTGGCATTATTGGTAGCTATATGTATCTTGATCGTGAAAGCCCGACCTACCCGACTGGTTTTGGTTTATCATTAGCCTTCGGCTTATCGGGTCTTCTCGTGGCTATCATTCTGGAGCTATCCTTCATGTTCGCCAACAAACGAAGAAGCAGGATGTCTGAGACTGAAATTCGTGACACATACGCTGATGGACAACTTTTGAAAATGGGAGATCGATCTCCACTCTTCCAGTATACGCTGTGAAAGAATTTGTTGTCATCTTCGAGCCGATGAAAATTTTGTCTGCCTTTTACGGCGAGTGACTTCCCGCCACATGAATCAAACAAAGTTTGTAATACTGCTTGAGACAAGTCATATGTCATCTCCATTCACTCATAGTGCCCTTTTGATAGGTCGAATGTCATGCCGGTGTCAAATTGGGGGTTAAAGCCTAGTCACCGTATTTTGTCCAGACTTGGAAAAAATTATTCTGCAGGTTTATCTGATTCGTTCAAACTTGTACATATCCGTGCCTTTCTGCCCTACAAAATTGCGAAGCCTTTTGTTTCGAGGTCGGAGAAAAGACGGACATAGGCCACTGCACTGAGAGATATTGCCAGATACTTGTCTGTAGTAAATGTTTATACAAGAAGTAGGATGAGAATTGATCTGATTCGTCATAAACAGAATCGGATACGCCGGCGGAGAGATATTGGTAATATCTCTTCTTGACTTTTTGAACAAAAAGGCGGGTGTAACTAGAAAGGATCGTATTTTGAACAACTTCATGACCTTGCGGGATATGGAAGCCAGGAAAGCGTTGGCGTAGTCTGCCCAATATGAAGAAAATACAATTTGAACTAAATTGGGTCTAACTTGTCATTAGTTATACATGTGACCAACAAGCCCTACGCTCTTTTACCGTATTCCGCGAGTTAATCTGCGGTCGGTCGGCATTTTGTCCAATATGCTCGTGGTTCATTTTTCGGACGAACCTTATCTGTGGGAACACAAGAGCGCATTATGACCAAATGCACGAAAAATAATTCGAGCAAGTCAAAGAAAGCAGAGTTTAGGGAATACTGTTGTACACTCAAAGGTGCGAAAAATCAAGCCGCGGGCCGCGCGATCGCTGCACTGACCGCTCAGTTGAACCTGTTCGAATTGATAGATATCATCATTCATGTCAAATTTGAAATCCTACGACAGCTTATTGTGGAGACTTTTAGCTCACAGTAGATTCTGACGGGCCTGATTGATCCATGCCAGACCCTGTTTTGCTTGGTACCAAAAGGGTAATTCCTCGGGATGAGTAAAGGAGACCCTTGTTTCAAGTTAGTTGCTTCTGAAACATCTTCATAACCCCGACTTAAGATTACGTAGTATTAAGCCTTCTGGTCTCAAAGAATCGCGATGGCGCTTGGATATTAGCAGGCTGACAGGAAATCTTGGTGGCGTTACCCCTGGCGTTACCACCTCAATTAAGAGCATGAAATAACCCACTTAAAGCAACCGCGGAGCTTCGCGCGTGAAGCCTAGACTACGCTTGACTCTGTCTTCCCTCGTCGAAGGAAACTGTCGAGCGAGCTCCATTTATCACCAACAGGTAGAATCACCGTAGTTGGGAGAAATTCGAAACTATATAAAACATGACCATCATCTTATACTCTTTCTTTTGTGTCTAGTCGTTCCTCATAACCCTCCATTCACTTCTCTCAGGGGTCTGGTTACCCACAAGTTCTTCCATCTTTCCTTGTTTCCTTTCACTCTTTTACGGTGTACTTCGACTGGATTACACTAAGATGCATTTCAAAGCTACAGCTATTCAGTTGGCTGCCTTCTCCGTCACAGCATTTGCCAAGGACTCTCGAACATTCGCTGTGAACCACTTCTATGGTCGGGGTCCGCTAACAACGGGCCGTATGGATCCTATCATCAGTCCCGGTACGGCATCCACTCATGTGCACGCGATCCAGGGGGGAAGTAACTTCAATTTGACTATGGGCAACGATGTTCTTTTGGACTCGCATTGCACTTCTTCCCTTGTGAAGGCGGACAAGAGCAATTACTGGACTCCGGCCTTATACTTCCAAGATCCCACGAATGGAAGCTTCATCTCAGTTCCCATGTTTTACATGAATGTCTACTACTTGTGCGTAGCTTCAAAGTCCCACATTTCTGAGATATCATGTTGCCGACTAATAAATAACAGTTTCGAACCGACCGATGATGATATCAAAGCTTTCCCTGTCGGCCTCCGCATGGTCAGTGGGAACAATAGCCTTCGAACTCCTCCACCGCGCGGAGCTGCCAATGTCCTCGACACGAATGAAGGCGTCATTCAGCCAGTGCAGTGGACATGCCCACGGACTTCCTATAACCCTCCCTCGTATCCTACAGATTCCGATGGATTGCATGGTGCTGGGATTCAAGACCCAAATAATGCTGGGGCTGGGGCTGGCTTCCCGCATATGAACTGTGACGGATATGCATCCCCTTTGCGTGCTGATATTCACTTTCCTTCGTGTTATAACCCCGAGGCTGGCCTCGAGGATTTCAAGAGCAATATGGTGTTCCCAAGCAGTAAAGGCACCACAGGGGGCAAAGCGAATTGTCCGACAGGATGGATTCACCTCCCTCATATTTTCTACGAAGTTTACTGGAACACCCCTTTGTTCGTGGACATGTGGGAGCAAGGGAATGGCACGCAACCCTTTATTTTGGCAAATGGAGACCGTACTGGGTACTCTCTTCACGGGGATTTTGTTGGTTTTATCCTGATGGGTTCTTGGTGCTATAGCTAATGGGTTTATCTAGATCTCTGGCTGGGATGTGGATGTCTTGCAAAAGATTATTGATAACTGTGATGCCGGCGATTCGGGCATGGACAAGTGCGCTGATGCGGGCCCAATCAACGACTCTGCCGACAGCTGCAACATCGCCAACCTGGTCCCCGAGGAGATTTTCGGTGTTCTCGAGAAGCTGCCAGGCAACAATCCCCCAACTGAATGGGGTCAAGACGAGAGCGCATCATCTAGTTCATCTGATCCAAAAAATACCCCGACTACAACCAGCATACTGTCTACATCTCAGATCTTGCCTACCACACCCACTCAAGTCTCTACTACAGTCAACAGTATCACCGGTTGGTCGTATCTAGGCTGCTATTCTGACAATGAGTCTACTCGTGCACTCACTGGGATCCAATTTGCGGATCTGGGAATTGGCAATGTGACTTCAACTGGCTGTATGGAGTATTGCGGAAATGCAGGCTTTAGCCTGGCAGGCACTGAGTACGCTGGACAATGCTTCTGTGGTAACAAAATGGAAGGCAGCTCGAAGATTGCGGCAAAAGAATGCGATATGAAATGCGAGGGTGACATCTCTCAGGTTTGCGGGGGCAGCTTGGCATTGAGCGTGTTTGAGAAGGCTACGAAGACTGCATCAAAGAGATCTCGCATACACTTGCTTCAACATGTGCACGGCAGCCATGTTTGAATTCAGTCTTGCGCGAGTGAGTCTCTGGCGTGTTATAATGCGCATAGACCCAAATTGCACTCCAAGGCGCTATGTCTCTTAGCCCACAAGCCTTTCGGATTGAAAATCCGAAACTCTTGGGATGGATGGTTTCATTTACGCTGATGAGAGCCAAAACTTTATTGATAACCTAGGCCAATGTTCATTTGTTTCTCCGTACACATGCTGCCTGATCCGAAGAAGATTGCCGACTTTCAAAAGATTCACCACTTCCAATTTTCCGGGTGCTGACTCCAGTCCAGATCCTCCTCTGGCGGCTCAGCCAGGTCATACGCAACGTAAAGGGTATCTGACCATTGTTCCTTGTCGAGGATTGGCCATCCCCGCTGAAACCCCGAGATGCGGCTAAAATTGTCAGCAAATTCTATCAGCATTTAGGGAACCATTAACGTACATATCGCCAGTAGAATGATCGTAGATGATTTTGGAAATCCTTGACAACTGTGGTGCTACATCATAACGTAGTAGCTCTCTTTTGGTCGTGTTAGGGTTCGTTATCTGGTTTTCTGGGATCCAAAACTCACTCGTAGGCAGCGCGAAACTTGGCACGGATATCATCACGTGTAGGGCGGTCCAGGCTCCAGAACAATTCTTCTGTGAGTGACTCCCCCGGGACCTTTTCCCACACAACATATTGGATAAAACCACCAGGTACGAGATCACTCTGCCCCTGCATCTTTTCATCGTATCCAAGAAAACGCGGAACAACGCTACATCCCTGCCTCATCAATACCTGAAACGTTTCATGCTCACCACAGATCCTACCAGGACGGCCCTGCTGAGCTCGAGTAGCTAAATTAGCGAACTCGGTCCCAGTAATAGGAATCTGATAGTAAATTCGCATGAAGGCTATTTGCGCCGGGTCCTCTTCTAGGTAGCATAGGAAAATACCAACTGTCATAGGAGGCCCAGCGCCCATATTGACTTGGTCCTGTGCGAGGTAGAGCGCGCTCTCAGAAAGCTTTTCCGTGATAATCCACGAGCAGGCCTTCGAAGGTGGGGATTCAAGGAATGAGAGGCTAGATACTGTAGCAGATGATGCCGCAGTAGTGAGTGAGGCAGTAGTCTGCGAGACCGGAGGAGGTGAGGTCGAAGTAGCTGAAAGTGGAGGGGGAGAAACCCCGGGAGGGGAATTCGCAGACAGTGGCACAGGTGCCTCAGAGGCAAAGGAGACGGATGAGAGCTTTTGTGGAGGGTCAATGTCGAAATAGGTAGTGACCTTAGTCCCAACCAGGCGATCGAGGAAGTGAGCATCGAAGTCCGTCTGTCTCACAGACGGTGCCATGGTGTTTGATGCGGGGAGAGAACCTGGGAAGAGGTAGTAAAAGTGCGTGAAAGCAGCTCAGAAGTCTGAGGATTTCTTGCCAACGAAACTTATGAGAGTAGGAGAAGGCGTAAGGGAAGCAAAGAGCAACGAATGACCACATAATAACAGGCATACACAGGCGCAGTGCCAAGCTTTGCGTAGCGGGGCGATTACCGATGCCTAGTCCTGATTAGGATCATTGCCGCTTCTATATAAGTTGCAAACAAACGGTCATATATTTCCGGTGACATTGTGTTGAGCTTGATATCCTTGATAAGATACTTCGCGAATTGCATAAAATTACGTTCTTTTCTTTATTGTACTACAACTTCAAGTTGCGAGCTACGGTCTTCGAAAAGCGCCCTCGAATCAGAGTATCCTCCTGTCCAGCATCTCTGGATGACCGATCTAGTGACTATTCCGTTAACTGGCGGATACTGTTAGCGTGCAAACAGATTTTCAATCAATTCTTGTAATTCTCTATCTTATCCAGAGATTTAGATACCGGCCATCTACTTATCCGTTTGATGAACCTCCAAAGTCACAAAGTAGAAGCTTGAGCTCAATCTCGGCTGCAGTGTGCAGTAGAAAGACCTCGGGTCGGAAGTCGGAATGTATTAAGCCCGCTTGATGGATGAACTGGATGGCCTCTTCCACAGCTTGTGTTCGCGCGGCAATCACGGAGATTCTGGAGCAACTTCAAATTGGAGAGCCGGAGATGCGGCAATAGCTTTAGGAAGTCATGTTTGTCAACTTTGTCCTGTGATTTCCTCGCTGAGTCAAGCCCTAGTCTGTGTTTAGATACGCGTTCTTCGTCCCTAGTCAACAAACATTCAAATCGTCTCGAACCATTAACTCTCTTCGTATTTTGCTCCACCTTAGCCTTCAAGTTCGTTTCTGGCTGCTCAGCTTTCTCCGTACGCACTCTCTGTGATCCATATTTGATAACTTGCTAAATTGAGGAATAATGAACAGCTTTCGCTACAACAAACTCAACTTCTGGGAATGCCTCGTCCCGCAGTCCATATTGGCCCGAAGACATTAGTCGAGGCTTCTGCGCTTAGGCTCCAAATAGGACCATACCACACGACATCAAGCGCCTTCCACAGTCTCGAGTTCACGGGGAATCTTCGCCCATGGCCAGGCTTCTTGAGTGCTGTGCAGAATACACACGACAGCTACGCCTGGCGGAATGAGTGTCTAGGCCTAAGCCTCCGTACCAGGGACCCCTACACATATGGAAACGCCGTGGTTGGGGACGAGCATGGCGTGCAAGGCCGCTTCCATAAATAATTCGGCGACACTATGAATGCGGTCTTCAACTCGCAGTCGATGGGCATGCGCTTCGCGGATTTCACATGCATACAGTCCACTTATAGTGGCATACCTGATGTGATCTTGATGGATGATAATCACCAGTTGAAAGTTGTTGGGGAGCTTAAGGTGCCCTGGATTCGAGATCACAATATCGCGAAAAACTACTATCGACGGGATGGCTTGAGAAAGATACTCGCCCAGCCAATACAATACATGCAAGCACTAGGATGTGTGCATGGATTTTTGAACAACTACGACCAGACAATCTTCCCCAGACAGCTCGTTGATAGCCAACGAGTCTGGAGAATTAAGTATTCTCCAGTGATCCGGGCATCCACCTCATACAAGAGTAGCGACTTGAATCCTGTTGTCTCTGTTAGGCAATGTTTGTTCTATGTAGGACGTGACGCTATGAATCAGGGGCCGGTCCATAACACCACTCCTCTGTGGGTTATTTGAACTAAGCAATCGTCAGCATGTTCAATTACATGTGTGTTCAGATATCACGAAGCTTTGATCTAGAAATATGATAAAGTGACGTGTATTAAAATTGCTCTCAACTAGTCCCTGTATATCTTGTCTTATTTGAACTAAGTGGTAACCACCCCCAATTCCCTCATAATGTCAATTTCTCTTCATAGAAATTAAAACAACCAGATCCTGCAATTACTTGAGAAAACAAAGCTTTTTTGGTTAGACCCGCTATGTATCCATTAATGGATCGAATGAGGCAAAAAAAGATGACCAGACTGGGGCTCGATCCCAGGACCTTATCGGTGTTAACGATACGTGATAATTGGAGGGTATCGATGGAAAAGTCACGGTCGTGCGTGCTCTTCTGTCCCGATACCGTGGCATTTTTTCCCGTTACCGTGTTGTTTCCATCCTAGTATCAGCGCCCCCATCCACAACAATTCACGCCTTACCGCATCGGGCTTCCTCTTCCTTCCTCTCGCATCTCAGTCCAGAAGAGCAGGCCGGCGGCTCTATCATGAGCCTGTGACGGGGTTTACGGGATAAAGAATATAAAGGCGGGCCTCGTAGCCTGCTCGTCGGAATCATGCTTCGATCACAGTCTTCACTTACACTCACTGTAGAGCGCCTTTATCTTCTATGCTTCTATAGCATCCTTAAAATGTAATCCGAAAATGGCGTTAGCTGTCGCCGACTGGAACGCCTTCCTTTAGGAGCTAGATCCTAAGCCCGACGCCGATAATAAGGCCTCGACCCGGCGGAAAGTGGTGGCTAGGCCTCGGCAGAGTCCACGCATGGACTGTCCAAAGCTGCCCAAAGCTGCCCACTGGGCGGGTTTGGACAGTCCACTAATATCCATGGGCGGACAGGATAGGGGGTTGTCCGCCCACTGTCCAAACCTGCCCGCCCAAACCCGCCCACGCGGGGTATTCGTAACATGTATATAATTATGCAGTAATTTAGAGTATCTTAAGGTATAAGGGATACACGGAAACTCAATTACATCCAGTGAAAATAGCATCAGTTCATTTTTAATAGGTTTCATAATCCTTGAGCCGCTTAGAAGGTTTATATATCCTCCCTGATGAGCGCTTTCGGCTAATTCCTTCTGGCAATGGAAGAACCAGACCGTCATCACTTTCCTCATTAGCATCGCCTTCCTTACTAGCTAAGCTGATTTCATCGCTATCGCCAGCCTAATTACCTAGTGAGGGGGCTTGCTAGTTATAGGCCTCGACGGTTAACTGATCTAAACTCGGATTAGACATAGGATCTTATTCCTCAGTATCACTAATCCTATCTACATAATCATCTCCACCATTAGCGTCTACCTCTTTATCCTCGGCCTCCTTCTTATTCCTGAATCTATCCTGCTTTACAGTCTCTAAATAACGACCAGTAAGTTCAAACTTAGCCGAGCATATATATATCATTAGATCCTGAATACTAGTTGGCTTTAGTGATCCTCGACGATAGTGATATATATCCCGTGTAGAATTAAAGAGACGCTCTACACCTGCACCTATCGCTAGGATAGAGAGAACGTCGCGTGCTACGCTTGCGAGGGCTAGTAGCGACGACTCTTGCTTTCTCTAGAAGTCGAGCGGGTCTTCTTTAACTATACCTAAGGTATTCTAGAATTAGCCTGCTTCTACTTATTAGAGTATGGTTAACTCACCACTATTAAGATATCTTTGAATCTCGTCTCCCTAGCTCTCCTTACTCTCCCGGTCTAGCATTGCCGAAAGCCTTAAGCCTGTTATAGGTATCGTAGAGTGAGTTAGTGAACCAGGACGCTTCGACAATCGTACTTAGTAGGGCTAGATATAGTTAAAGAAACTATCTCGGTATGTCGTACGCTATTTATACTTATTCTCGGACTATTTATCACTAGAAAAGTAGTTAAGCTTATGCGATAGGGTAAGGATTGTGCTAATTATATAGAGATGACTATAGGTATTTATTATCTTTCTATAGTAGACTACTAGCTTCCGCTTTCCTACTTCTAGGGCTTATCGCATCGCTTGCTTCTAGCTTACCCTTTTCCGTCGGAGCTGGTTTAGTGATTTCTTAAGGTATTTAAATAGTGCGTTGTAGATCTAGAAGATATTGTGGATAGTGATATCTTTAGTTTAGTAAAGAACTATGGTAAAGTTATAGAAGGGTCGGGTAATACAGAGAAGGTAATCGATCTAACGCTACTCCTCTCGATCTAAGAGAAACTGATTGTATCTACTCTTAGTGTAGAAGGTATGATAAGTAGATTGGATCCGCTTTACGCGGCGAAGTATTAGGAATGTTAAGTTCTAGCGAGTCTTTATATCTTAGATCGGAACTAAGGTTGTATCCCCTAATTAAAGCTTTAAAAATAATTCACGGCGCTAGGGACTAGCGTTGATAAAGACTATAAATGCCCGGACCTTTTAGCTATATTAGTAATATAAATATCGATTAGACTTAATTAACGTACCTTATTAAGTGTTAATAGAATATCTTTCTTCCTACTATTTAGACGGGGTTAGAATTCTCTCTCCGTATACTTATTCCTTAGCTTAAGCTTTATATAAATCAGAAGATCTCTGAGGCTTAGTTAAATAATATATGTAATATATAGAACTCTAACTATTAGTATACTAGTAGACTCGGCTAGAGTTTCGATCTTATTATTTAGACTGTCTATTAAGGTTTAGTTGTTCGAGGTATTATTGGTTATAATTACTAAAATCCGATAAGTGATATCGTAGTCTTTAAGGCGGGTAAGAAGAACCGAGCTAAGATTCTTACTAGAATAAGTGCCTTCTAGGGGCTCGAATCTAAGTAGGAACTCTCTATAATTCTAATTAATATCGATAAAATAACTAGTGATTACCATAAAAGCCTAAGAGAATAGTGATATCTAGTAATTAAGCGCGATTAAAAGCTTAGCTCCCTCTAGTAGTGATTTTAGGATTATTTATTATTTTTCTTACCCGGTCTAGTGTATTTATTAATAAACTGTTCTAGCGGATAGGAATTAAAGAGGCCTTAGTGATACTTAGGCTCGCTAGAGAAGCTTCCGGAAAAGAGGGTTTTCAACAATAAGATATAGAAGACGAAGACTAGTAACAAAGTCTATTATATCCTCTATAAAAGCCTTCTTATTGAATTCTATCGACGAGGATCGCTAGGACGGAGGGTAGAGTTATCCCTAATAATATTATATATTAGTAACTAAATAGAACCGATAGTATCTCCGGTAGAACTTACTTATAGATCAAAAAGCTCTTTTAGATTACTAGTCTTACTAGTATAACTAGCTAGTTTCTGGTATTTAGCCCCTTTTAAATGTCTTATTATTAGTGTTGTCCTATTTCCTTTCCGACTCGGATAGTTAAGGAGCTAGCTATACTCCTTATATAAAATGCGTGGATCCCTAGTCCGGGTATATGCGACTTAATAGAAAGATCTCTACCTATCTAAATAGCGTTTCTTTATATCAAAAAACTAGTGACTCTTCTTATAGAGCTCACTTCTAATCGATATTATAAGCTACCACTTAACAAACTCGTCTTTGTTTATTTCTATATAGAGGACCTAGTCTTTAATGATCTCTAGATAAGAGTGTGGCCGAGTTAATATCTAGTTACTACCTAAAGAACGTGAAGTAGGCGCTATTTATTAACTGATTAAGATATCTAGTTCTAGGATTAGGTCAATATTATCTCTATAGAAAGACGAGGAATAATCTTGAGTTTATTATGACATTTTCCCGGGTAGATAAGAGAAGAGCTTAAGTTTATAAAGTAGAATTAAGAGGATAGAAACTACTTATAAGTTATAAGTAAGTAGATAAACAGAAACTAGGAAATTACGACCGGGGGTCTGTTTACGCGTAGGATAGCGATGGGGATTAGTATAGATTTTAGGTGATATATTATAAATAGGCGATTTCAGCTGAAAAACTCTAAGATCCGATTGGCTACACTATACGTACTTCTAGATAGGCGGATTTGGACTGTCTAAACCCGCCTATTAATCCTTGAAATTTACTTAAGACTAATACCCTAGGACTTTAGTAAGTTCCCTTGTCTAAAAATTTTTATCCTTCGGACCCTATTTATTAAGCCTAAGGCATCAACCTCAATAGCTATCAAACTATATTAATTTAAGATAAATAGGATTTCTCCTAATTTCATTAGGAGATAATACATTTTTGATAATTTTGTATTTAAATTAAGGATATAGTCTATGAATCTATATAAAGCTTAAGGGGAAATTAGCTATATTTTTATACTTATACTAGATGTGCTTCCTTAGATAAATCCTGGTGTAGTCCTGGAGGTAAAATATATTTTTTCAAGCTTAATATTACTTAACCAACATTACTTTTTAGAAAACATAAGCCTATAATAATAATATTAATTTTATTGTTCAATCAGAAGGTAATGGTGTAGACAATTAAAGATATATAGATATTTCATGAGATTTCCTTGAGGAAGATAATAATATTAGGATCTAGTAGTGTGACGAATAAGAACGATAGTAAATAACAGTCTTTTATTTTGCTGAGTGATCAGATTTATATAAGGATTTTATGCACAAATAGGCGGGTTTGGACAGGTTTGGGACTTAGCGTGTGCGGGCTGGGCTGGACTGGACTTAGCGCAGTTAGACTTTGGACACTAGAGGGGCGTCCATAGACGGGTCATAGACACCTTAGGGGTGTCCATGGACGGACTCTGCCGAGGTCTAGTGGTGGCTATAGGAAACTGCTTTAAAAAGTAATACCCTTTCCGAGCAGAAGGTCGAGCAATCACTAAGCTCTCTAGATAGACCGAAGAACTTAATCCCCCGGACTGGAGGTTCTAGCTTCTCGAAAAGTTTAGCTTGAAACTTATTAAGGGCTTCCTCCGCTATTATCTTAATATATATAATGTTAAGCGAAAGTCGTCTTTCTAAACCCTAGCGCGATACTTCTCGATATTCTATAACTAAGAACGGGGGTAGGAGGCCCCCCTATAAAATAAAGCAGAAACTAAAGCGGGTAAGGCCTTCGATTTATCGGACCAGAGATCGCTTACTAATTATTTGTGAGCTTGTTAACGTTACGCTATCGGACTAGTACGAGCTTAAGTTAAGCGCGAAGGAATAACCTCCGTTTAACGTCGACGATCTATTATTTATAATATATTATCTACTAGCTTAGTGCCCTATCACCTTTCTAACTATACGCACTATCTTCTAAGTTAATACTCTCGGAAAATGATGACGTCCACGAGTGCCCGACCGGGGACGTTAATCGAATCGTCGGGATATATCTATAAGAATAATATATTAAAATAGAAAGATATTAAACTCTTCATAGTGAAACATCCCGAAGATCCTACCTCCTAGGTTCTTCTAATACGGGTGAGGCATAGGTTAAATAAGGGCCGAAGGAACGAAGGCGTACCGTGAGTTCAGCATTAAAAATTATATCTATTATATATTCTAAGTCCTACTAGGCCCGTTTACACGTATACCGAAAGGAACGATAATTTAGGACTTTACGTTATCTAGGATATACTTATATATACCTTTCTCGATGACGCCTTCGACAGCGAATATATTAAATATCTAGCTAATATCTAGCGGCTCACGAAGATACCGGAACACCGTCTTAGTACACCGATTAATTTCAAGGAGAGCGTCCAGGAACTTCCGATCCTACGAGGCACCTATTAGGATAGATCCGGCCTTATTATCACCGATCCCCAGCGTACCCTATAATACTATTAAGCGAGATAGTGGGAGGCCGTAGCTAATGAGTCGGCCGGGTTTAAAGATAAAGGAACTCTCTATAAGTACCGTAAAGGGGCGGCGGTAAATATAAGTTCGTATATTCCTTATGGTATAAGAGGTAGGCTCGTTACTAAACTAGTTATATAGGGTATCTCGACGAGCATTCACGGAATCATATTATAGGGTATACCTAAGGAAAGACGTTCGCTAATTACATCTCGATTATAGATAACACCTAATTAATCTTTATAGAGACGCTATCCCGAAAGTCCCTACTTAGCCTCGCGACGCGCGCGAGTATCACGCGGGATCCTTCCGCACTATAGAAGGCCACGCCGGCGTAAAAAATAAGGGTCGAATTAGACCCTAAGCTTATAGAATAGAAATAAGAAAGCCAGCGACTATGGGCGGATCTTATTATAGAGTTTAGTTAGTTAAAAGATACGCGTAAGTCTAGTGATAAGCGTTCTAAGGACCTATAAAAGCTTTAGAATAAAATTAAGTCTCGGCGAAAAAAACTTTATAATTCGGTAAAGAATAACGCTCGTGCTAAGTTCTTTCGTGAGATTAGTAACCGTATCATCGAAAGTAACTATATAGGGGAACAGATTAGGTTCACCCCAGACGATAGTCGAATCTAACCTAAGAGAATTACTCTTACTAATCTTAAATTTCAAAATCGAGACGTTAACACGATTAATGATTCGTTATTAATATAGACCGTATCCGATCCCTAGACCTCCGGCTGGAGTTAAACCGACTTTATGTGCCTCGTGGTCTGAAAGCGCACATTCGGTTTAATGAAATAAACATTAAGATCGCTTCCCGCGATGTATCAGAGGAGACCCAGCCTAAACAGATTCTCCAATGCCCGGTGTGCTTAGCGCGTCTAGATCTTCTCCCGGTAGCGAAGGAATTCCGCTATTCTCGAAAGGACGCGCTTCAGACGTATTTCCGGGACCATAAATTGCCTATATTCTTCGACAATCCTGGACGCCCGTATAATATCCCCGGCTGTATCAATATATTCCCCTCACTCAACGGCTATAAGCTCCATCTATCCATACACCATAGTATATTTCTTTGACACTTACGTGCCACCGCCGTGAAATATTGGATTTTAGGCCACAAGCAAGAACCAGGGTAAGATTTTACTCTAGTATCTCGTATGAAACATGTCAATTCTTAGCCCCTCCGGGGCTACTTTAAATTTACCATCGTATAAAACGGAAAGCAATAAAGTTCTTTAGGCAGGTAACAGGTTAGCCCGGCATGTCCATACCCGCGGAATGGAAATTTTCAATTGTCTTTTTGCTCTACCGTGGCCATTACCACTTCCTGTGCGGTTCAGCCCCTAGAACTATCCAGCAAAGTATGTCAGTAAAGTGGGTGGAAAGCAGTGAAACAGCGAACACTTTTGCGAAATGTCAATTATATATAGAAACACGATGATAGGCTTATTTGCGAATTATTCACCATTTACAAATGAGTTAGAGAGCGTCGTTGCTTCTTGCATCTGTTGCTGCGCTTCGGTTAGACCTTTTGGTCTCATCACTTGATAAATTCGGACGTACGATTTCCTAGCCTCGAGCAAGATGGATTGGTTGACAGAGAACAGGCTGAGCAGATTCTTCGATGCCCGGTGTGCTTAGCGCGCCCAGAACTTGTCCCGGTAGCCAGGGAATTCCACTCTTCTTGAATGGACGCAATCCAGACGCATCTTCGGACTCATGAATATGTTCTTCAACAATCCTGGTCGTCAATGTGATATTCCCGGCAGCGTTTATATGTTTCCATCACTAAATGGCTATAAGCTCCATTTATCCAAGCACCATAGTATAGATCTTTGATATTTGTATCTTGCAGTGAAATTTTGAGACCGTCTACCGCTGTGAAAGATCCGACTATATAGAAGGTCCAGGACAATAACCTTCTACAGTACGATTTCCTGTGAAATCTTGACATTCTCAGCATCAGTGGTGGTGCTTTAAGTATATCATTATACAAACCAGAAAGTAACACAGATCTTTGAGCAGGTAACTGCTTTCTAGACCGTTATATCTACACCCGCCGAACGGAAATTCCCACAAATGTCTTTTGTTCTACCGAAAGCATAGCGCAACGACGGCGACGTGTCCTTTCACTACAGCCTAGGATAGCGGCGCTCTACGATCTTCATCTTACCAATCAATGTCGGCGCCCTTTACCAGAAGTAACTCGACAACAGCGTTATGTCCGTTCCATGCAGCCCGGGATAGCGGCGTTCGGCCATCCTTATCTCGCGCATTAAAGTCGGCGCCCTCTTCAAGAAGTAGCTCAACAACAATCTTGTCTCCGTTCGATACAGCCATAAATATTGACATTTAGCCCTCTTCGTCTCTCGAATCAATATCCGCGCCCTTTTCTAGGAGTAACTCGACGACAGCCTTATATCCGTTCAATACAGCTATAGATAGTGGCGTTTAGCCATCTTTATCTCTGGAATCAATATCAGCTCCCTTTACTAGGAGTAGCTCGACGGCAACCTTATGTCCGGTCGATGCAGCTATAAATAGCGGCGTTTGGCTATATTTATCCCTCGGATCAAAGTCGGCGCCCATTTTCAGAAGTAGCTTAACGATTGCCACGTTCCCGTCCTCTATAGCCCAGGATAGCGGCGTTCTACCATCCTTATCCCTCGGATCAAAGTCAGCGCTCTTTACTAGAAGTAACTCGGTAGTAGCGTTATGTCCGTCCTCTATAGCCCAGGATAGCGGCGTTCTGCCATCCTTATCTCTCGTATTAAAGTCGGCGCCCTCTTTAAGACGTAGCTCAACGACAATCTCGTGTCTAGTCGCTGCAGCCATAAATAGCGGCGTTTGGCCATCTTTATCTCTCGGATCAATATGGGCGCCCTTTGCTAGGAGTAACTCGGCGATAACCTTGTGTCCGGTCGATGTAGCTATAAATAGCGGCGTTCGGCCATATTTATCTCTCGGATCAAAGTCGGCGCCCACTTTCAGAAGTAGCTTAACGATTACCACGTTTCCGTCCTCTACAGCCCAGGATAGTGGTGTTCTACCATCCTCATCTCGCGCATAAAATTCGGCGCCCTTTGCTAGGAGTAGCTCGACGATAACCTCGTGTCCGGTCGATGTAGCCATAAATAGCGGCGTTTAGCTATATTTATCTTTCGGATCAAAGTCAGCGCCTATTTTCAGAAGTAACTCGACGATTGCCACATTTTCGTCCTCTATAGCCTACGATAGCGGCGTTCTGCCATCCTCGTCTCGCGCATTAAAGTCTGCGCCCCTTTTAAGAAGTAGCTCAACGACAATCTCGTATCCAGTCGATACAGCTATAAATAGCGGCGTTTAGCCATCTTCGTCTCTCGAATTAATATCGGCGCCTTTTTCTAGAAGTAACTCGACGATTGCTATACTTCCGTCCTCTGCAGCCCAGGATAGCGGCGTTCTACCATCCTTATCTCTTATATTAAAGTCGGCGCCCCCTTTAAGACGTAGCTCAACGATAATCTCGTGTCCAGTCGCTGCAGCTATAAATAGCGGCGTTCGGCCATCTTTGTCTCTCGAATTAATATCGGCGCCTTTTTCTAGAAGGAACTCGACGATAGCCTTATATCCGTTTAATGCTACTATAAATAGCGGCGTTAGGCCATCTTTATCTCTCGGATTAATATGGGCGCCTATTTTTAGAAGTAGCTTAACGGTTACCACGTTTCCGTCCTCTATAGCCCAGGATAGTAGTGTTCTACCATCCTTATCTCGCGTATATAAGTCGGCGCCCTTTACTACGAGTAGCTCGACGATAACCTCGTGTCCTTCTTTTACAGCCTGGGATAGCGGCGTTCTGCCAAACCCCCCTCTTAGGTCAAAGTTAGCGCCCTTAGCTAGAAGTAGCCTCACGATAGCCTTATATCCGGTCGTTACAGCCATAAATAGCGGCGTTTGGCCATATATATCTCTAGAATCAATATCAGCGCCCGTTTCTAGAAGTAACTCGACGATAGCCTTATATCCGTTCTCTGCAGCCTAAAATAGCGGCGTCCTGCCATCCTCATCTATCGGGTCAAAGTCAGCGCCCTTAGCCAGAAGTAGCCGCACGATAGCTTTGTGTCCGGTCGTTATAGCTATAGATAGCGGCGTTTAGCCACATTTATCTCTGGAATTAATATCGGCGCCCTTTTCTAGAAGTAACTCGACGACAGCCTTATGTCCGTTCTCTGCAGCCCAGGACAATAGCGTACCACCGAAAATGTCCTTACACCCAAGACCATAGCTATGTTTAAGAAGGTAGCTCGCTGCTTCATGTAGCCTAAAATAAGCCGTCAAGTGCAGGCCTGTGGCCATTCTTAGACTACGCCGACTGAAATCGGCGTACCCCAAAGGCCAAGTTTTAAGCGCTTAGCTTGAGGTAGAGACCTTCGCGTCGCTCTCAAGAAATCCTAGAATTAGACTTTCTATGCCTCTGCGAGCTCCACGAGTATAGTACCCCCAGTTCTTGGCTATATAGTTATAAAGTGAATTTTGTCGTAGACTCGTCCCAAACCTTTCATCACTTATACAGTAACCGCTTTTAAACATATTAAATGACAGGTATCTTATATAGACAGTTACTAATTAGAACTCTGCATCACAAAACCAAGCGTTCCGCTTCCTTTCAAAATAGTCTTACGCCGTATAATAAACCAAACGGATAACTTTACTTTCTTCATCGATCGTGACTAATCCAGCGCAAACCGAGATAATAAATCCCTCCCTAGTAATATTCTCTTCGTCGAGGAAGCTTCGGTCTTCTTCTACTGCAAGTACCTCTTAAAGTTCTCGAATAGTAAGCTGTCTCTAAGCGCAAGTGATCCACATCAAAGTATTTATAGCAAGATTTAATACATCAGAATCCTGCTCTTCGATTCGGCATTTAGTATCCTCATACGCCTAATCATATACATCATATCCCCTGGAAAGAGCGCTCAGTTTTTCTTTAAGCAGCTTGAGTGTCATCTTTATCTTAATAGAGTCGAAATGAAGTTGTGCCAGTAGAAACCTACGTTCATAATTAAGATCTTCAGCATTAGCGAAAGGAAATAACAAGGGTAACACACATTCCATCTATAACTTCGGTGATCTTGTTCTTAATCTCTTCTTTATATATCTCTAGTAGCTCAGATCCGGCTTGTGAAATCCGCCCATCTAGATATTTACGTATATCACTTTCATAAGCGCGAATTTCCAGATAAGAACCAGTGAACCTCTCAGTAATTTCCGGTATTAGCCTAGCGGTAGCAAACAATTTCACAGCGCACTTCATCTAAAGATCGAGGAGGTGTGATAAGAACACGTTTCGGCAGTCATCCATAGTTTAACATTCATTAAGTGCGTTAATAACCACGAATACCTTTGCATATATCGCTGCCACAGATTATAGAGTTCTCGAAAGCTCCGTCAGTAATAGCCGCGTCTGTCTGTCCTTATGTTTTTCGTAAAGCTTTCTCACGCTTTCTAGCACCGTGAGTGCGAGTTGTTTAAGGATACTCGCGAGTAAGTCTTCAACTTTCTGCTCATCTCTCCGCCGATAGCTACAGTAGATATATACAAGACCTATCGTTATATCCCTCGAGTATTATATAGTGAGGTCTTTAATCACTATTGCAGCCAGAATGGTTTTCCCGGCTCCGGGAATACCTAAACAGAAAAGCGTCTGCTTATCCTTAGTTCGCCAGTCCCTGTAAGTAGTCGATTCAAGGAGCCACTGGCCAGTCCCTGGTTATCTCCTCTTCAGATAGTTACTCTGATAAACACCTTACCTTTCCTAAGTGAGCCACTCTAATACTTCACGGTCCTCCTTTTAAATCAATTTTAAACTTATTATTACAACATTAGCTTCGGTATTCAAGACCACTGCATTCACTATATATTATAAGAAAAGATACAACATATTAATAGGGAAATCAGGAAGACTAACTGCGGTGAAGAAGTTCGCTGATACTCTTCTCGTTCTCAACTCTATTTAGAGTAAGTCGATAGAGAAGATCTCGCGTATATACAGCCGCTACCATAGCTATATAGCCTTGCTACTCTTTATTCTTATAGGAGTCTACGTAATCGTATATACCACGAATGACTAGGCAAGGAAAATGGTTAACCAGCCCCGCCGCCTCCATTTCAAAACAGAGAACGTCCTTCTCTGCGGAGAGTCGATCCCGAATTAAAGCATCCTTCATCAACTAATCAGCGGAAGCAATCAAGCCATAGTATATTATCGGATTATCTTCGTCCTCCGTCCGTTCATGGCGCATAATTAGGCAAGACGGATCATCACCACATGCTTCTGTACAATTTACTTAGTTATCTCGTGGATGGATGCAGTCGCTTCGATAAAGCCGGTCGCTAGTTAGGTCTGGGCGCTTATACTTCTTCCGTAGTCTTGGTTTCTTCTCCAGAATACTATCGATGTATTCTTAAAACTAATAGCCTTCGCTCTTATAGTGACTGTTTAGTCCGGTTACTACCGCTCGCAGGGCTGTTGGTGGCTGATTAAGAACTCCTATTGGTTGAAAGGCTTGATTTTGTACGGTTTTGCCGAAGTCGTATTCGAAGATACCACCGTTACCATCGCGAGGAGCACTAATCACGAGGTCTCCGAGGCGGATATCATGCTTCAAGCTTGGTGCACCACCTACAATGCCGACCATTAGACCGATTCGGATATTACGAAAGCTATACAACATATCCCTTACGACACTTACTGCAGAGGATTTCCCGTATTCCCCATCCGGCAAGACGGCGATAACAACGTGATGCTTCCCAATCTTGCCACATACGTAGTCGTTATTGTCAGCAGGCAATAGGGGTTCTAGTATCTAGTACTTCTCATCAAGAAAGGCTTACGCCGCAGTATACTCAGTACCAATAGCGCAGATCCAGCCAATTGTATATTGCTTAGGGTCAGGCATAGTCGCTTACACGGATATATAAAGGAAGGAAAACTGCAAGACGTTGAACTTGGTGGGTGTCTCGATTGATGGGGGCCAAAGGGGGACAAACAATTCAAAAGGGCGGGGTACGGCGAGGCGGTCAAGAGAATATCAGCAGTAGGTGATTGAATGCATAAAAAACGTGTTGAGACAAGGCGCCACGACAGGGGTTATACTAAGCGGCCCACTCTCCTTTATATTTTATATAGGGTGTTTTAATCTACCCAATAGAGTTCTCTCTTTTCTTCAATCAATACACTCAGTATGAGGGGCTCAGGCCGAACTTGATTTGATTGGGTGTAGCCGACAATCCGTCTATCGAAAGCTTAAAGAACGTAAACATGGCCCTCATGAAAGGCTAAGGATAAGAGGCCCTCACGTGACGCCCGTGATCAGCCTCGATTCTGGCCCCCGTTACACTCAGTCATCAAATGATGGTTCCGGTTCAGTTTAGTCAATTCGATGCCATGTTTCGATGATGTTACGCCAGATTTGTGGAATAAAAAAGATTGCCAGTGACTACGTGGATTTTTCTCAAATGGTAAAGGTATAGCTAGTTAAAAGCTGCGTGAAAGTCTGGTGATAACCGTTATTGTGATAAGCGAATGCTTTGGATAGAGTTAACTTGCTGGAAGAAACTTGATAACTCGGCAAAGAGCGATAAGCAAAATCGGGAACGCTCTCTTGTGCAAGCTATGTAGAGATAGAAAGAAAAGGAACGGTCAAAAGGAGTTGACCAGACTGGAGTTCGATCCCAGGACCTTGTCGGTGTTAACGGCACGTGATAATTAGGGGTATCGATTGAAAAGTCACGGTTGTACGTGCTCTTTTTTGTGTCCAGGTGTTACCCTCACTCAACGGCTAAGCTCTATTTATTGGTGACCTCTCGCAGTCAGAGGACAAGAAGACAGTAGCGGCCGTGACGGGTCACCTAGCACTGCGGTCTTAGACCGTAGCATCAGATAGGGTCTATCCGCGCTCCCTAGTAGGGAGGCAATGTGTCTGTATTGTAGTGATTGGGGACAAAATCGAGTCTTGACTGTATGAGCAATGACGAGATAGCTACTGAGATAAGCAACGGACTCTCGTGAAGTAGTTATAGGAGACGAATCTTTCAGTAATGTCGGTGTAGATATCACGTAAGGTAACCCTAATAAAGCTACACCCTAT